TCTCGATATCAACGAATTCAAGACCTCCAAGGTTAGTATAACAGTGATCATAAATTATACATTCTAAACAATATCTTTATAGACCTGCAACTCTTACTTAAGCCAAGACCTTCAGAATCTAAAATGTGGAGAAGGTGATGACATCAAAAAAATCCATCAAGTATTAAAGTGCAACATTTGTAATATTTTTTGGAACCGTGATGTTATGGCAGCCAAGAACATGTTGACTATTTCACATTGTATTTGGAATGGTCAAGGTCGACCTAATGTCTTCAAAAGACAACTCGCCACCTCCAATGTGGTTGCCTCATCCCACTCCGGTGGAGCGCTGGCTTAAAGATTTTACAGGCAAAAAGTGCCTGTATCTGTGCACTTTTCTTTTTTTTTTTGGCTTTTTTCCTTTTTCTCTCTCTCTCTTTTTCAAACCAAAAAAATAAATAAAATATGCCAAAACAGAGACCTCCCATTTCAAGCAGATTACGTAGTCGAGACAAATCTACGTCAAGGACAAACACTGATTGTAATAAAGAATAAAATAACTATATAAGTAAACTAACATATCAACAGCAGTTACTAAAAGAGAAGAACAGCGTGAAGTAAAGACTGGTAAATAAAATAAGAGAAAGAGAGGCTAGTCTCATTAGATTAATTTTTTATATTTTATCAGTAAGCGAAAGTTCATTTTCACCAAGACACGATATCAATATATATCTGGATGAATTACATAATCCACTCTCATTCGTCAGAGGTACAAGCAGGGAGAAGGATTTACAAGCTGAACCAGATAGCATCGTTCATACCTTTGGTCACTCTGGAGTACGACTATCTACTTTTTATAAAGCTAACGTGGCACCGCCTATTCAATCCAAAAGGATGGATCATTTACACTTAAAAGCTGAAACACCACAAGTGAGGCCATTGCCAGCGTCTTTCATTATCAGTAAACGCCAAAAAACATACAAGAAAAAGACAGAAAAAAGGTATCGCTCACCTTCGTCATCGCCTATTCTACCTGCATCGTCATCCTCAGCGACACCATCCCCTATTAATCTCAACACGCCTTCGTCTGCATCTGTATCACCACAACCACCACAAACTTTATCTGAAGAGACAAAACCACCAGTGCCTGTCGAATCATCCTCAAAACCAGAAAGAAAGAGACCCAAATATTCAAGAAGAAAGCGAGAGCTCAAGTTGCTTCAGCTAGATAGCAAGATAGTCTTACCTCCACCTGATACGCCCAGAGCAAGCAAGCTCCGCAGTAATACACCTGTGACTCGCGAACGAACAGGAAAAGCGACGACCGTAAAACAAGAACCAAACGAAAGAAGAACAACTATTTCTAAGCCAAAACGGCCGCGTGTGGATAATACGGAAGACAAGGGGAAATTAAAAAAGAAGGCAGCCAAGTCTCTGCGGGGATTAAAAAGCGTCAAGGAACCAAAAAGTGTGAAGAGACCAAAAAACGTCAAGGGATCAACGCTTACTCCTTCTTCAAGTACTTCAAGTACATCCAGTACGTACGATGAGGATTCAAGCGATGATAGTTATTCCAGTGACTCTGGTAGTTCCAGTACAGCAAGTTTCACTACCGATGAAAGCGATTCTAGTGTCGAGAGCTATTCAAGTTATACCTCTTCCAGTTCAGATGAAGAAGACTTTGACAAAGAACCATCTCCTACTTTCAAAAAAAAAGAACCATATTCTTCAAAGGAATCTTATACGCGCACAAAGACGAGTACCAACAAGACGAACACTCATGCAAAGGCACTCAACAACTCCAAAAGAGCGTCACAGAATAGTGATAGCGATGCACCCCAATTAGAAAAAGATATGTCACACAGATCTCTTTTTTCATCCACAAGAAAACTACCGTCTATAAAGCGACTTAAGATCGCTTCTAAAAGAACGCCTATCAAGAAAGTCACTTTCTCATGCCCAGTTGTTGCCGACTATCTTCCCAAGAGAAGAAAGACAATTCAATCGCCAGCAGTCTATAAACCAAGCCATATACCCCTCCCATTAAGCGCCACGATACCCTCAGATACCGTGATGGACGCAAAAGAGAAAGAAGAAGAGTATGAGAGAAGACAGTTCCGTTTATTTGTACATAGTAGATATATAAGCGACGAAGAAGCTGCTCTGGTTGCCATGACTGTGTATAGTGATAAATCAATTGGGACAGCTGATCGACTTGTTGTGTTGCTTCAGAATAATTTTAGCAGATTCAGAAGAAAATTGAAGAGAATATTTGATGATCTTTCAAGAGTGATCAGTATTAGCAAGAAAGAGATGATAAAGGATGAAAGAAGGATGAAAGCACAGATATCTAATCAGGTAATTATTTAAATGAATCATTAAATATGCCGAGACCTTATTTTTTTATAGATGACAGATGAAGTGCTGAGATCTATTTGGGAATATTGGATTGATGAACCATACATTAACGCTGGTGAATTTTTCGAAAGCATGGCATGCGCTAGTTTATTGAAAGAAGTGACGGTTCAATCGGTGATATGCCATTATAAAGAAAAATATCGCATATGTACTACAGAGGAAGCTTTTGAAGAAATGAAGAGATTGGATAGAATTACTCGAGCATTACAACTTCCTGAATATGTAGAAAACTCATCTAATAATAATGACGCATAATTTTTTCTCCCTTTACTCTCTCTCTCTTTTTATACATATTTTCCATAATAAAAAAACAAATATTTGTACAAACCTATTTTTTAATAGAAATCACAAGTGCGATGAAAAGTTTTAGGACAAGGTAGCTTTATATTTTGCTTTCGTTCTTTTTTTATGCAATATTTAAATTGATATTTTTGCGTGTTTAACAGTATAATGTAATTATTGACAGATTGCAGGATTTGTTTATTTTGTAAAAAATAATAACCATATATTACAGATTGGTCTGAGGATAAGCGTAGAGTTTTTATTTAATTGCGTATAAACATTTCAACAGTGTGATAAAAAACTTTCTGACAATTTTTTCAATAATTAAATATATTACATAAGGTCAGAAAAGGCCATCAAGACTGAATTGTGTTGTTAGACCTCTTTTTATTAGCATTAACTATTTGCGTTAGTTGTTCGTAGTGACACGCTTTTTTTGTTAAGAAAAAAAATCGTTACAATTCCTATTTATTAAAGATCAAATTGTTGCTTTGTATTGTTGCTTTATCAATGCTTCTGAACATTAACATAGTAATTTTATTATTATGTAATAAAATAAGGGTTTGTATAATAAAAATGTCAAAGACAAGCCCTGTGTCTGTATTGGTATAAATAGTCCATTAAAAATCATAAATTCTTACAATGAAGCGAAAATTAAAAATAAAGAAACAAGGCACACTTTGAATATGTTGTATAGTATCTATTATTTTTTCATGATAAAATTATTACATGTATTATCAACCAGTCCTGGATGCACTGGTGCTTTCACTCCTAATCTTTGCAGCATATGGATCAAGTGGTGTTCCAATCTTCGAATCTAAATACTATAGTTAGTCTTTTTTTATTCTTTAAGTGACAATGTGTCTTTATTACCAAAAGAGCTGGTTTATTATCGCCTTCTTCAGTAATAACTTGGCTTGTCCAAATAGTCAAGTTTCCGTTACGGTTGCCAAATAAGACATCTGTCAAGATGCGATCACCCACAAATGCCACTTGTTCTGGTTTGATTGGCTTTACATAGTCTGCCAAGTGATGCCCTCCATCTGGCTTCTTTTCTTCATGCCGTAACACCGTAACGCCTAGGGATGCTTCTAAATGCTGGGCCTGTATAATAGAAATGTTTATTGTCCTGTCCACCTTTTGCTTTACTACTTTTTTACTCATCTTTGTGTCCCACATCATCCTTTGTGCCTGCAGAATTAGAAACAATCATCACCTTGTCTCTACCAAATGTCTTTTTACATTCCTCCCAAGCGTTCTGTAGACGTGTATATATATAAGTCGGAAGAACAATGGTTTCTCTAGCTCAATTTATGTATACCTCGAATGGTGGATGTATATTAGAGACATAGGGTGCTGTTAGACAATTATCCTTATCAAATCCAATCGCTTGTATATTTGCTTGCTTTTTTAAAGCTGCATAATTAATACAACTCATATCTAGATATAAAGACAAGGTGAGATCTACAATAATCGCTTCTCATCTCAAGATCTCACCTTTGACAATAATATGTGGCATAGCAAGACTAGGGTTCCACAATAACTTAAAGGCATTCACAATGCCAGAAACATTTAAACTTTGCACCATGTGTGAGGCCAGGTGTAAAAAAAAAAAAAAAGGAAAAAGAAGGGAGAATAGATGATATGCATTCAACCTCCGTTGTTTCTCTGTTTTTTTTACTTTCGAATAATGAGCATTCCTAGTTGGGCATCTGTGCTTATTGCATTAGCTGCAGCAGCAGTTGCAATTGCTATTGGTGACTTTTTCTACAAGAAACTCACTCGGGTTCCTTTTAAACCGGGAGGAAAGGCTTGTTTTATTACTGGTGGAAGCACAGGACTTGGAAAGGCTCTGGCTATTGAACTTGCTAAAGCAGGAGCTGATGTTTGCATAGTAGCAAGGAGAGCAAAAGAATTAGAATTGGCAACCCATGAAATCAAGGTAATTACAGTTATATAAAAAAAAAAGCGTGGAACTAACAATATTATGTGTATAGTCTTATTGTATTAATAGCAATCAACAAGTCATCTATATTAGTGCTGATGTCACCAATCCAAAGGAAGTTGCTCATGCTTTTGAAGAAGCTAATATTAAACTTGGCAGAAATCCAGAATTTGTATGCGCCTGTGCAGGTAGAATGATAAACACCTAAAAAAGAGAAAAATATCTCATCATTTCAAAGGTGCATCTTATCCCAAGTTCTTTTTGGATTATTCTATGGATGAATTTGAAAAGCTCACCAAATTGAATTATCTTGGTCAAGCTTATGTTGCTCACGTAGGACAATTGATAAAATACATAAAGTATAATTAACCTTGGTGAATAGCAAGCTGCTCAACGTATGAGAGATTCCAACATAAAGAATGGCAAGATCGTATTTGTTTCATCCATGTTGGGCATGCTTAGTTTTGCTGGATGGTCTACTTATTCACCTACTAAATACGCTGTTCGTGGTTTAGCTGATACCCTCCGTAATGAATTGAAGCGATATAATATCGGTGTACACATCTTCTTCCCAGGTGGTATCTTGTCTCCTGGATTTGATACTGAAGTAATGCACAGAAAGACAGATTGAAAGGGATACTAATATACCATATAGAATCTGACAAAACCTGAGGTGACAAAGATCATTGAAGGAGCAAACACACCCCAGACGGGTACTGAATGTGCTCAATCGTTGATGAAAGGCCTGCGTTCAGGCGAATATATGATTGTTACAGATTTTATCAGTGAGCTTCTTCGCTGTACCGTCAGAGGTAAAACTCTGTTTTTTTTTTTGAAATTTTGATATGAATTTATATATAGGCGTCAGTCCTACGAATAATCTTTTACTGGATTGGATTCTGGCCATGATTGGACAGGTAAAAATGTTTGGTGTGATAGGGGGTATTAATGTAACTGTTTTTTATATTTTTTATTTGTTAGCCTATTGGATCTGGATATGCTTTATACATGGACTACGTGGTGAAGAACACTACGTACTGATGTAGAGTATTATGTAGAACATAAATAAATGTGATATATATATACAAAGTCCATATTTATTTCTTCTCAGTGGCCCCATGGTTCAGGTCTGCAAAGCCGAGGTTATTCATGTCATCTTTATCCATCAGCCCTCTATGGAACATATATAAGTATCCAGCATATTATATATAATAATACTCTTTTACTTGTCCATTCTACACTGAAGATATGCTCTGGAGAATTGACGGCATAGTCCATTATTGTTGGCATTCTCTTTTAAGCATTTTATATACTCTTTTATGTATGACTTACATTCGCCTAATGAAAGGGGAATTATTAGAGCTTATTTTAATGAACAACTTGCTAATTTACCTTCGTGATCTAGAGGAAAACTACCACGTAATGGTGCCTTGCCTGGTGAAGATTCAACGTTTGAGGTTCTACCGAAGGCCATTGTGAAATAAGAGCAAGGGCGGAATCATTAAGGTTGCTCTCCTAGAATAAATAGTCACAGTCACGATGAAAGTTAGGTAGAAGGCTGTGTAACCATCCGTAAGGTGCCTAGATTATACCCTTCTTCTCTCATTAGAGTTTGTCTCTTTGGTTTTAATAAGTTACATGCAGGGAATATGTAGATCCTACATGATGGCTACTGAATAAAAAGAACTGCTACTGGCAACTAATCTATACAGACTGTAGTTTTTTCATATCACAAAAGTAAAGTAGGCTTTAAAATGTATATCATGCTCTTTTATTCTCTGAAATCATTGTGAGTTTATATAACACGCCTTTATTAAAGACCAAGACGCTCAGTTACTTCATGTGATCCTTTTAATCAAACTATCAACCATATTATGTAAACAAAAGACCACTGTTGCCAATATTGACAAATTGCCTTTTTTAGTCTATTCTTCGTCATTTACCCACATGAAGCGCGGGTCTAGATTCCTAGGTAAATTAATTCAAAGCAATTACGTATTTTTATTATGAGAGATGATGATATGTGACAGAAAAAGGAGGGGATGTGTATACACAAACTATGGTGTAATCTAATTCGATCTGTGAGATTCCTGCTCACTAAAGTTCTGAGGCTTTGGAGGCTGACTTATGTCAAATGGGTTCTGGTTCGTTGATGTAATTCTTTGAGCAGGCAGTTCATACTTGATGTCTAGTTCAGTCAAGATCGATTTCAAGGCCAGCATGAAACGAGTCTTTCTTTGGAAGCGTTTGCCTAGTTCAACCCAGTTGCCCTTGTGAGGTAACCAAGCGGTAAGGATGATTTGGTTCATATCAATAATTTGAGACACACGCAAGTCAAAACCAGGAGCAAAGTCGCGACTTTGAGATTGGACCCATTCGGACAGCCTCTCGCGCAAGAGGTGAATGGTATCATTATCTGTTCTAAAGTCGATATTGAACGTCAGGGTTTCGCCCATGTTACCAGAACGTCGTACATTGGTGATGATCTTGGTCAAGAGCAAGGTGGTGGGTGCATACAGCTTACAGCCATCGCCACTAACAAAGACAGTTCCCAAGATACCAATGTTCTCTACCGTCATATAGGCATTGTCGATCATGACTAAATCACCTGCGTCATAAGGATGAGTGACAAATTGGAAGATGATGCCTTGACAGAGTGCCTTGGCAGAGGTATCAAAGATGAATGTACAGGCAGCCAAAAGAGTACCAAATGGAATAAGCGAAGCCCAAAAGTCAACACGGAAAATGGAAAGCGAGACAAAGAGTGTGATAAGACAACTGATCACAAGCAAAGTAGCATCAATCTTGCCTAATGCTTGACTAGTATCACGGATCGCCTGGGCCAATCCTTTTCGCTCTCTATAGATTTGTACAACCGTATCACGGAATTCACGTCTTGTCAAGTTACCGTTACCATCCTTATCGAATACTTTAAATGCCTCTTTAGCTTCGTCGTGATCCTTAAAGTAGGGAATAAAGTGGTGAATTTCTAATTTCAGTTTGGTGTCTTCGTCATGTCCTGGTAAGTGACCATTGGGGTAAGCCAAAGAGTAGAATAATTTCTTTGCCACCTTTTTCGCATAGTCATCCGAATTGATGTCCATCTTGTTCTTTTCCAAACGACCAGAGACATCACTTGTAGGCTTTTCAGCCAAGACAATATTGGAAATGGACTTTTTAAAGATATCGAAGGAAGAGGGTTGCTGTGGAACAGGAGCGTCTGATAGAGTCACCGGTCTTCTCGACCCCTGATCAGAATCCCATTGTGGAGAGCGACGGTGTCTTAACTTGTTACCACGGTTGACCCGACCAGGACCGGAAACAGGACGATTCTTTTTTTCTGCCTTACTGAGTGTATCCAGAACTATAAAAGATAGATTTCGTTAGTTTAAGATATCAATCAATAATTGATATTAATTTACTTTTCAAACTCTTTTTGTTCTCTATTAATCTGTCTTCAAAAGCAGTTCGATGAAATCTGACAGCTAAAAACAATCGTTAGCTCCATATTTTAATTGCCACGTATCTTTTTTGCTTTACCAATGACTTGAATTACTGTCTTTTGTCCAAGGAATAGAGCAGAGGCGGCCAACAGACATCCAAATGCCTTGGTGATAGCATCTGAATAAGGGTGAAGCTTAATTGACTGAGAATAAAAAGCGATCAATATAAACAATAATATTAAAAATAAACAAAGAACTTACAGGAAATGGCACGTTAATTAAAAATACCCATGAGCCAATATTCCAAGCAGCAAGCAAGACGAGACAAAGATAACGCTTAAGGCTCATGTAATACTATAAAAACAGGTTAGTAATATGTATAGACAATTGTTCCTTTTCCCCTACCTCCATGTATGATTTAGCTCTCTCAGAGCGTCTGCCTCTGAAGGTCTTTATCCAAAGAGAGACAATAGAAGGAACAGAATCAAGAGTGAATGTGGTTACCCAAAAGATATGCCACATGAATGCAGCCCAATACATCCAGCACTGAACGTTACTTCGTACATTCTTAAACAGTGGGTTTTGTTGTTCGGCATCAGTTGGCTTTGGTAACGTAAAATAAATCACGATAGCGACGATAATGAACATACAAGAACCAAAGATAGCAATGATGATACGTTTGAGTAAAGGAGACAGATAGTGCCAGCAACAAGGATTTCGCATCGCAGCCTGGAAACGTTCCTTTGCTGTCTTTCGACGCTTAGGCTTGGCTTGATCAGGGTCATCGTTCCAGTCAAACTCTCTATCGCTGTCTTCATCACCTGTCACGGTTGTGGAATTACTGATCTCTTGCTTTTCATCCATGTTGGATGATACAAGCGTGTTTTGCTTGCTAATATCATCGCCAAATGGATTTTCAATTGTTTTGGCAGAAGACCATGATTCATGTGGCGGCCGTGTGTTTTTATCATAAAAGTAGGGATCTTCCTGTTGCATTTCTATAGTAATTGAGGACGGATCATCTGTCGATGTCCTCCTACTAAGATGAGTTGCAGAAGGAGGTGATACCAATGGGATCATGTCTAAACAAAGAGGGTAAGACAATGTCAAATAGTTCAATATACTCTTTACCTGGCATTAATTGACACTCATCTTCTTCTGATTTAATCCTAACTGCTTTTCCTTTTGCCATCCTTTTGTGTCCTTTTTGTTTTTTGTATATAAATATAAAAAAAGAAAAAGGGAAAAAAAAAAGGGAAACCTGTCAATTTATAGCGCAGTGACTGGTTCAATCTAGATCACTTGCTTAATATAGCACACAATGGAAGAGAGAGGGTACAATAATGTGCGGTCTGAGAAATTAAATTTGACCAAAATTAGAACTGTTGTAATATTCATACATCCAACACTCTCTGTATCACAAATATCTAGCGTGCGGGCTATTATGTAAACATGCTACTCTTTTATGTTTTTATTATTAGTAAAAGAACTCGTCAATTGAATAGGCGCTACTGGTCATGAATTTTTTTTTCCCCTTCCAGTTCTTCCCTTAATTACGAATTCAAGCTCCATGCCAATAGTTGCTCCAGATTCTAGACTTCTGAGACCCTTTTTCGTCCAAAATTCAAAAATTATGACAACCTTGCTAAGGAAACCCTCTTTTGTTTTACGATAAGAGTTCACTTTGATGGCATAGCCGCCTTTTAGGATAGCATAAAGTATTTATAGATGAACTACGACAGATATATGTTGTTACTGTGCGAATTGAGTTGCTTATCTCACATATGGTACAAGTGCAAAACCCGTCAAATTGCGCGTTTTTCACTCTTACATTTTTTACGTCATTTTTTTATATTACTGTTAGATATTACCAAAATGGATCAGAAAACACCATTACAACCTCTGTCGCAAATAAACAAACACATATCAACAGTCATTACAGGCATTCCTCACGAAAGCTGTAATTGACCTGCCCAAAGATCTCAGTTTTAAAGATAAAAAAAAACGAATGAGCTTCTCAAACTTGAATCTTTTGATCCATCGAGAGACACTCTCATTGAAGTTCTATATTACGTTTAGCTTGGGTTCTATAAAATAGTTGGTGAATACATTTGGTGAAGAAGTGACTAGATGACAAGGCTGCGATTGTTAATCAATTTCAAAGAAGCATAGAGCGTTACAGCAAAACTTATTGTTTTATTCCATATCGACGATTTGGAACAGAAATACGAGACAAAAAAGGAGGAGAACAGTTCAACAAACATATCAGGGCGTATTCATGCTTCCCTAATAGACGAAAAACCGCAAAACACGTTGGATTGAAACTTGTCAATCAATCGACAATACAGCATGTTTTGGATGGAAGACGGTAAATGAGTTTGTGCTGAAAAGAGCGCAATTCATTCAAGGAAACAGAACAAAAGTTGGTTTATATTTGCTTGGTGGTTTACGAGAATTTGAAGATAACAATGATACAACGGCAACAAGAAAAAGCACAAGTCTACACGTAATGAAGAAACGCTTGTATTTTTTCGATGGACAACCAATATACGTTTGTTGGAAGAATTATCGATGGGGGATCAGGTTATTTATTTGTGTGGATATCACGACAGTAAACTGTTATACTCGTTGTGTGCGATGGCGACTTGGCTGGTTGCCTCTTGGTAAACCCCAAGTCTGCCCCTTTCATCCAAATGAACTTTTTTTCACGTCAACATAGTTTTTCTTGTTTAGATATGCACAACTGCCTTCAGATACCCAAATCTATTGACGATCCACTTTTCTATCTTTTGAACCTCTTACCACCAACACTCCTTACCAAGAAAGCGAGAAAAGCAATCGATGCTTGGCTCATTCGTTGGCCTTCCATATGTGCAATATTACTTGAAATGGACTGCTTAGCTCACGCTCAGTTCCCTGAAGCTTCAAACCATTTTGGTGAACTCTTTGTCAAACGTCTTCGTTACATTCAGCAAAAACTTTCAGATAGTTAACTACCATCCCTAATACGTGATACTTTTACATTTTCTCTCTAATTCCAAAAGGGTTTTTCACTCCTTCTCACTTCGATCTGACCCGGGCAGTACAGCATGAAAATGCTATGTGCTCATTGGTCACATAAAATTATTATCAAATAAAATTGTTCTTCTTAACTGTACAATGGAAGTACAATTAAACCAATTGAAAAAAAAAAACATACCAATCCCCTGCTTATAAGCAAGGAAAGAAATCAACCTGCGTAAGTAATTCCATGCATTTATGCTAAATTTTTAGTCTATGTCCTGCGGGGTTATTTTCTTTGTTCTTGATCAACCTCTGTCATTGTTGATCCTCAAAGGCGTGTTATCCTCGATGATCATAGTAACTACCTGAGTTTCTATAGTTTCGCACAGACATATTCCAAAATTGGATATAGCCTCAAGAAATCTATATTTTCCAACATAAACAACTGTAAATGGATATGGATTATTATCGCGGCGACTATATCGATGATCACAGGTACCAATGAAAATCAAACATACCCAATTAGACCTGGAAAAATGGAATATTCCAGGTCGCTTTGCTTTTTTATTTGCAAGTCCAGAATTCTAATATAGCGTGTAACATCCACTTTTGGTATAATTGGTCTGGTTATCGTTACACGGTCATAACGTAATCCGTTTCTCTTGTCTCTTTGCTTTTCACGTCTGCCCTTTTTTTCTTTTCTTTTCATTTTCATTTTTTTTTTTTTTTATTATTATTATTCGTGCTGGTCCACGAAATGGAGGCATCAACAAGAAAACGTACACATTTATCATCTTCTCAAGTGTCAGCACTTGAAGCTTCTTTCAAGGAAAACTCACTACCCGATTCTACTACTCGCAGCCGGTTAGCTAAAGAGCTTTCTGTCACTGAAAGAACAGTGCAGATTTGGTTTCAAAACCGTAGAGCAAAAGAAAAAAAGATGAGAGCTCGCTTTACAGAAGAACATAAAAGGGAACCTACAGCACCTCGTTATCAACCGACATTTCGCTCCATGATGACACCGGAAGCATTTGAACAACCTAATGAGTCTGATTCAATTCAAAAACGACCTCGTTCGATTTCCAAACCTGAGAAACCCAAGGCATCGCTTCAGTTAACGAGTGAACAAGAACAGTACAGTAGAGCTTTGTCCGAAGGCTTAACTAGTAGTAGTCAGCAAGGTACGTTTCAATCACACGGCTTATCTTCCCATATTCACTGTCCGTTTTTAGCATCAAGTCTTGGCTCAAAACATATTCCGCCTGTGATTCCACTAGCACCTAATATACTCCGCATAGGCACATGGACAAGATTTAGCTCTGAACAGCACCAGGACTGGGACTTGTGTTGCTATGCTGTTCCTTCAGATTGCATGTTCGTCTGGAAAGTAAAGGCAGGACAGCATCAGTTCAAGATCGAAATCCTCTTTGACCAAATACAGTACATCCACTTACACGCTATTGGACAACTCGACATTCACCTTAGTAGTCTACCTCTTTCGTTTGCCATGCTGCGATATCAACAAGACCAGGATTGGGTGCCCTGTGGTGACTTTACAGAGATGCAACAAGCGAGTATGGTGCCTATTCATACCTTACAAGGAAACTATGAATCGTTCAAGTATGCTTTGCTCGATCTAATGGTGTTAGCACCTGAGTTATCCACTAAACTGATTAATACCGTCGATTTACCTGGCCTTGATGATATCGGAAGGGAATACACTCTGTCCCCATCAGCTACACCCGAACCTTTTATGATGCAATACACAGAGTCATCCAAACTGCGAGCAAATACGACACCAATACATCATCTCATGCTTCAAGCCCCCTTTTTTTATCCTACCCAATCGCCTCTTGACGAAGACATGTCCCATTCGGTTGAATATTACACTCCGCCTCCGCCTTTGAATAGCTATCACTCATCTTTTATATAAAACTGTACATGTCCTCCTGTTTATATGTATAGTATTCAAGCTGTGCTTCAATACTATATATCCTGTATTGCATACTTTTGCATTTATAAAATAAAATAAAATAAAAAAATCCACTAGTTGATTTATTGGTACATTATTACACTTGAAGTCACCCTGATATCATTAGTTTTTCAGCATCAAACCAAAACGAAGACCAGCCACAGCCAAAGCAGACACTTTGATGGTATCCAAGGCAATGTAACCACGATGGCCCTTCAAGAAGAAAGGGTCACGGTCCCAGAGTTCCTTTGTGGTAACCTCGGCGCGACTGACCTGGGCCGCACGCTTATTTAATCGTGGCAAGAAGTAGACAGACTGAATGACAGTGATGGCTACTGGAGCAATGACAGCTGCCTTGAGTGCGTTGTCAACGAACCCGTTGTGCTTGATGATTCGACCGTTCCAGTTCAAAAACATGTCAAGACTGATCAAACTGACAGCAGCCTAATATCTAGATTAGATCCTATTCACCGCTTTTTTGTATGTGTATTACCTCGATTTTATTAATCCAGCTGAATCTGTGACGGCCCACGTCCAATTTCTGCCATTCATCTAGACTTGGTACATTGGCGAGAAGCGGGGTCTCGAGATAACTCAAGTTAAGAGTAGTAGCAAACCAGATAGCATTGAGCAAGGTTAAACCAAGTGTTAGTTCACGTAAAGTAGTCTTGCTGATGACTGTTTTATGAAGTATGAGCTGAATAGCAGCAGATGGAACAACGACTTTGGCAGTAGACCAGGGATCAAGTAAGAATTTAGACACCTTGGATGGGCTCTTTGGGATAGCAGTAGTGCTAGTAGTAGTAGTAGTAGTAGTTGTTTTAAAAGTAGACATGATGTGTATTTGTATGTGTGTGTGAAAGAAATAAATAAACAAAGAAAATAAATAAGCGTGTTTAAAAAGGCTCAGAACAAACCCTTAAGAATGACACAGGGATTTCGTCATGCTACGCGGAGTATCAAAAAAAGACACAATGCTTATGTTCCTATTGAACCATTATAGGATTCGCATTAATATTAGAAAATTCGACTGTGAAACACCTTCTCTTTAATAAACATTGACTACATCGGTTTGATAAAAGAAAATTGAATGAGGACAACTGTATGTTTATCACCCACTATAGTCACTGCCAAGTTAAACGAGAGAATAGAAGAGAAGTGATGAATAAAAGAATAGAGAATAAAATGTATAATCGCTATAGTATTTCTCTTTAGGCTGTAGAATATTCTCAAATCATGAAATCAACACTGTCAAGAGACATATTCTGTATAGATCAACATGATTATGTATGCTACTCTAATAAAAAAAAAATAGCCTTTCTGCTGTCTGAATTTGAAGTTGATAAACTGTACAAGGTGAATGTTTCTTTAGTGTCTAAATAAGGGAAAAATGTAAAGCACACACACATAAGCACATCACAGACAGACAGCATGATTTATTTTACATACAGCCACAATAATAATAATAGTCTGCAGAAAAATATCCCCTTTTTTCATTATTCTTTCTTCTTTTTTTTTTATAAACATGACTAGTTACTTAACATCCACTGCTCAACTGCCTTTAAAAAAGCCATTTGAAGGTTGACATCATTCTTGTATCCCATTATAACCTTTACTTACTTAAGTTTATAGAGAAAAAGAAAATGGTGAATGCTTGGGAACTCATTCAGAAAAAGAGTAAGTAAAATAACCGTCATAAAAACATTGGAGACTCATGAAATCATTATAGCCTTTACCAAATGGTATTTCATTATCTATTTTTTTATGCCCCTCTCAAAATCTAATCATTTACATCAGGGTCAATAATAAGCTTGATGTAAAAAATATCCCAAACATTGTTCATTTGAATGAAGACTTAGCAAATGGTGTTCGATTGATCCAGTTACTCGTAATAGGATGATAAAAAAAAAAGTGTTCTTTTTTTACCAACAGTATAATATTTATAGGAAATTATTGGTGGGGAATCACTAAGGCCTTACAATCAACACCCGACCATGATTTTTCAAAAAATGGAAAATGTCAATAAAGCGCTTGATTTCATAAAATCAAGGGGTGTCGCACTAACAAACATCGGCGCAGAAGATATTGTCAATAAAAACCTAAAATTGGTATTGGGTATGCTCTGGACCATTATCTTGCGATTTACGATTGCTGATATCAAGTAAGTATATGAATAAAGCCGTAGATTATTTATTTATTTGTGTATAGCCAAGACGGAAAAAATGCCAAAGAAGGTTTGCTACTCTGGTGTCAGCGCAAGACCGCATCTTATGAAGAGGTTGATGTACAAGACTTTACTTATAGCTGGACGGATGGTTTAGCGCTGTAAGATTTTTTTATTCAAATCTACATATATATATACTAACTTGTCTATCTAACAGGTGTGCCTTGATCCATCATCACCATCCTGAACTTATCGACTGGGATGCTTTAGATAAGGTTATTTTTCTTATGAAGGATATATAGGCAGAATCTTACCTTTTGATTATAGACGGACAGGCACGGAAATACAGCACTCGCCTTTGAAATTGCTGAAAAGAATTTCAATATTCCTGTAAGTTTACATCTTTAACTATTTCTTCCTCTTAGATATACTCACGGTATCATAGAAATTATTGGATGTTGAAGACTTGTGTGATATATCTAAGCCAGATGAGAGATCAGTCATGACTTATGTAGCCGAATACTTTCACGCATTTTCTGCTCTAGGTAACACATAAGTCATGCTATGATGGGTGCATGTACTGATTGCCCCCCTTTTTTTTGTAGATGAATTTGAAACTGCTGGCAGAAGAGTTGCTAAATTTGCTGACGTATTGGCCTCTGTTTGGGAAATGAAGCATCATTATGAAGAACGTGTGATCGCAGTAAGTATATATATATACATATTATCAGAAATGTCTTTTAACATTTATTCAAAAAGCTAATGGAGGCAGTTGACTTGATGCAAGAAGAATGGGAATCTACTGAACTGACAGATAGTTATACTGATGCGAAGGAAAAGAGTACCAATTTTGCTATTTATAAAAGCACACAAAAGAGAGCTTGGTTAGCCGAGAAGAGAGATATAGACGCGCTTTTGGGAAATATTCAAACCAAGGCCAAAACATATAACCTAAGGCCTTACTATCCACCTAATGGTCTCACCTTGAAGGACTTGGATGATTGTTGGAGTCGACTATTGCAAAATGAAGCTAGATACCATCGTAGAATAAATAGCACTATTCGACAGTAAGCCATCCTTATGATTATATACAAGGCCATATTGTAACGATTGTCCATAAATAGGATTAAAGAGGGCCTTCGAAAAGCATTTGCAGAAGCTGCCAATGACTTTCAAGAACAGTTAGATACTATCTCTGCTAAACTAGTTAATCTCGAAGGAAGCTTACAGTCACAGCTCAGGATAGTACAAAATCTAACAAATCTATTTGAACCCCTTCAAGAGTCATTAGATATCATTGAAATGCTTGATCAAGAGTGCATTGAAGCCAATACAGAAGAAAATGATTATACAGTATATTCATTCGAAGATTTACGGTTCGGCTTAGACTTGGTAAAAGAAGCTGTACAAAAGAAGAGCGCATTTATCCAGAATCAGGTACAGACACAGAAGAAGAAATCATTATCAAATAAAAAAATAACTCAACTATTATAGATCATCTCTCGCAACATGACTAACCTGACACCTGTTCAACTTGAAGAATTTGAACAGACGTTCAGATACTTTGATAAGGATAATACCAACACACTGTCTGTCTCAGAGTTCAAATACGCGTTATCTAGTTTAGGTATTGTCTATGACAATGATAAGCTAGAAAACATATTCTATACTATTACCAATGACAATGATTTTGCTACCTTTGAACAGTTCATTCGATTTATGGTCTCGGTTACAGAAGATAAGTCAACACCGGATCAGATACGAGAGTCATTTAGAACCATGGCTGGTGATAAGCCATATGTGACAGAACTTGATTTAAAGATGAGCCAGATTCCAATGAAGATGATTGACTACTTAAAAAGGACTATGCCAAATAGCGAAGACAATGCGGAAGGATATGATTATGAGTTATACATTGAACAAATGTTTAATTAAATAAAATTTAGAATACTACTAATAGCAGAAATCATTCACGTACAATTTAAAACCAATAACAACTACACTTTAGTTGATTATCAATCCTTTCTTTATTATTAAAAATGCAGTGAATCCTGTCTTTTTGAGAGAAGAGAAGATAAACGTGGTAACACTTATGATAACATGCAGCTGAAAAAGTTGTTAGAGACTTTGTTTAAATAGTCTGAGCTTGTCTTCTTTTTCTTTTCTTCTTCTTTGGACCAAAAAGTAAGACCAACTATTCCCCAGCTAGCCCTAAGGTATGTTATAGTGATTTTTCAAAAATAAGCTACAAGGTACTTGACAGTTTGGCCTCACGACCAAAAAAGTTTGCGTATGTATGCTTACATGGCTTTTTCTTTCGTGCTAAACAAATGTTGTCATTGTAGAAATGTGAACACTGCTGATGGTTATGCTGTATCCTTCATGTTTAAGAAACTGTCGCTATCCAAGCTGAACCTAGAAGAGAACCAAAGACACCCAAGGATTTTGCTGATATAGCTGACGATGCAGAAATCTGGGATGTAGATCCTGGTATATCAACCATCTTTACTGCAGTTGACTCTACAGGACATGCATGTATCCGAACTACAAACTTGGAAGAATACTATCATTTATGTGGTTACAGTCTTGCTACAAGAAGACGAAAAGAATACCAAGAGTGCCATTTAGACGAATTTAAGTATATTAGCGAATTACCTACTTTAAAAACTGCAAACTTTGATCTCATTTCTACTAGCTGACTCTACACGTCTACAAAACTATCAAAGAATCCATAACTACTACTGCCAAGATAAATGGTATGTCGATCTCTTACATGGTATGTATTTTAATAACGCTATGTATGGAACAGATATCAAAAGTTCAAGCTTTATATCAAAAAGCAAAAGGAAGCTCAAGAAATTGTTAAAAGTCTCTTTGATAGAAGCAAGTAATATGACAAATCAAGCACAGTTGGTGCTAAAAACCAAAGCCCAAACAAAATCAAACATGTACCTTTACCTCCTGATGATCTCCCTTCTTCCTTTCAACAGAAGCGGATCATTGCGTTCGGAAATGGCTCTTTTAGTTCAAGTATGAAAGGAAAACGAGCTGCAACTACTAGACGTATTACCGAAGAAATCAAACGAAAATGCAAACAGTCTGAATTTGTTTCGGTTGACGGGTATTTAACGAGCCAAATCTGCAACAAGTGCAAAGCCAATCAATTAAATAATACCTCCATTGCTGGGTCAAAGCGAAGAGTACACTCTGTCCTCAAGTGTGAATCTTGTGGTACGGTTTGGAATCACGATGTGAACAGTGCATTGAATGTATATGGTATCTTTGTTTACAAATCAAAACACGACAATGAAAGTCCTCTCTCCTTCAAAAGACCAACGTTGTTCCCTGGATTTAATGCGCTGTCTATAACGGCAGTGCATTCCTTAACACCTCGGTAAGTATAAAATGAACAGTACATTATTTTTTATTCATTAATCTTCTAGTTACATAAGCTTTTGCTTTATAAAGCTAAATTTCAATCTACGCAAATTAAAATTGGGGAAGACCGTCTGATGTTTTTCAATTTTCCCCTTTCTTTTTTTTTTACTGTCTTGATCATGTCTCAGTATTATAACCCACCTACCCTCTTTCGTGCGCCAGTGTCTGTACGAAAGATGGTCAAGATACTCCAAGACCCAGCCATATTTGCAAGTGTTGCGGCTATAACAGTCGTAGGTAGTCTTGGTACTTGGTTTTACTATTTTAGGAAACGTAGGTAGTTTTACAATTAAAGAATATATAATATTAAATAAAGCAAAAGGCTATATAGGACCCACTCGAGTTTTAGACCAACACACGACCAAAGAGTTCAAGCTACAAGCAATTACACCTACTAGTCACAATACCAGCATGTAAGATAAATGATTCACCGAGAAAAAGGCTTCTTTCTTATCCATCCTTTTTTTTTTTTTTTTACCGCAAAACCACTAGATATCGATTTTCTCTACCTCGGCAGAATGATGTCCTCGGATTACCTATTGGCCAACATATTGTATTAACGGCAAATATAAATGGAAAGGAAGTCTCTCGAAGTTATACGCCTATCACCAGTGATGAAGAAAAAGGTTATTTTGAATTGCTTATAAAGGTACAGCCATCACAACCATTCGGTCTGCATTTACTCACTCATGTAGAATTATCCTAATGGAACATTGACACGACATATCTCCAAAATGAAAGTGGGTGATAGGATTGGAGTTCGAGGTCCTAAAGGCGCATTTATTTATTCTCCAAATATGGTTAAAGAAATTGGAATGGTTGCAGGTAATGGATATTGTGCTTGCTTGTGACAATGAGTTTTAAAAAATATGAACAATAGGCGGTACTGGAATTACACCAATGCTTCAGGTATAAAATACAGCGAACAATAAAGACGATGATTAATCCAATGCACACATACAGATCATAAAAGCCATTTTACGCAATCCAGCAGACAAAACCAAAATATCGCTCATCTTTGGTAATGTCACTAAATCAGACATCCTGTTAGAGGAAGAGCTACAGGGATTAGTGGAGCAACACCCGGACCGTTTTAATGTGTATCATGTTTTGAATGAACCTCCCGAGAATTGGAACCAAGGAGTTGGATTTATTACAAAGGATATACTAGAGCAAAGATTACCAAAGCCCTCGAATGATGTCAAAATTCTTGTTTGTGGACCACCACCGATGGTGAAGGCAGTAACAAACGTAAATGGATTAAAAATGAATTATACATGTATTCACCCTTATATAGGCTACAACGGATTTAGGATATGAACCACCTAGAACAGTGAGTAAATTGACGGATCAAGTGTTCAAGTTTTAGAATAAAAAAAGATGCACATGTTGTCTCCTCTAATGTATATTTATTAACATATATAAACAATTATGTAAAGGCATATGGCAAATATTTATGTAATTACATAATATACTCAAGGGAATGGAAAGGGGTATTACTACACATACACACAAAAGGTGAGAATATAAATAATAATCAAAGGATAGGAAAGGGGGTAGATTAAACAAAAGCTATATATAAATATCAATATATATATACACACACGAATGGTACACCAGTGCACGATTATCATGCGCTTTTCGGTTTCTCGGCAGTAAATATCTTCCACCGAGCCATACTGTGATACTCTTCAAATTCCTTCAACGCGTCTATGCAGACTTGATCATACTCTTGAGGAGATACTTTGATTTCGGTACACCACCAACGTTTCATGGATTTGAAGAGTGCCTTCATCTGTTCCTTGTACAGAAAACCATACTGCCTTTGCACTACAAAAAAAAAAGAGTCAGTTTCGTAATGAAACGACCATCGCGGACTTACAATCATTCGTTGGCCATTCACCAATGGGGATATCAATGGTCTTTTCGGTGATATTGATGTAGCCAGCGCGTTTCAAGTACTCTGATAAATAATTTGTATAATCTTGGCGAACACCAATGGTGGCTGCTGCTGCACTGTACCATTCATTAACTAGGTTCAGTACCGGCCCTGGATTTTTGAAGTGTAGATCTATCATATGCATATGTTGTGAGAACAGCGGGGGGGGAGAATATGTGACATGAGTTATAAAAAAAAATTACCATATTCTACCAGTTCGATCTTTCCACCTGGCTTTGTTATCCTAAAAAATTCCAATAATAACTTGGGCCATATATTAAAAGGTAAAACCGTAGCAACATCCCTTTGATAAATAAAATCAAATGAGCCATCATCAAATGAAAGAGTAGATTGCAGAATATCCTGCTTCTGAAAACAAACATTTCTTGTCTGACCAGCAGACCAAGCACCCGTTCTAGCAAGACTCCATCCCTCGTGTTCAGAGGGAGGAAGGATGTCGATACCTATGACTTGACAATTTGGAAAATCATGAGCCATCTCAAGTGACCATAAACCTTGATAGTCATGAAATGAGTTTCTACTAATGCATATGATTACAATCTACACATTACCTACACCGCAAGCACTATCGAGTATCCTCGTTGGTTTATCCAATGTGACGTGAATGTTTCCTTGAAGAACTTGCTTGAGGACATAATGCTTTTGTGGGAATTGAGTACAAAGCTAAATTTAATTTTTTTTTCTCTTCTCTATTTTACCTGTCTTGTTTGTCTAACAATGTGTAATGAACGTAAAAGGTTAAAATTTGATCTACTGTGTTACTGCTCTATGTACCTGTCTCTTTCTTTCTCGGCACCATATTCATAAACCCAAACATCGTGATCAAATACCGAGTCTTTAGGTAAAGAACTCGATAGTTCATCATGACCGAATAAAAATGTTGGTGTATTAGGTTCAACTTCTTCAGAGGTAATCGATGAAATACTTTGAGAATCGTGACTTCCCCTGTGTTTAAAATAACCAGTTGATCTTCTTGGACTGAGCGGATGAATGGTAGCTGCATGTGGTAATGAAACAAGAGGCGTGACATTATCAAGAGTAACTATTTGATGTCGCACTGGAATAACAACTGAAGTTTTTGAATATCTTTTTGAGTTGCTCGGTAATAGTTTTGAAGGAATTAATGATGGATCCCCATTGAATTGTTTGCTATTTGATCTCATTCTTTTTGGTAAAGCAGCTGTTGATTCAATCCATTCTCCTCCTTTGCTCGGTAAATTGCCCATTATTTCTATTTAAAAAAGAGAAAAAAGAAAAAAGAAAAAGAAGAAGAAAAAAAAGGAAAGAGAGAAAGATGGACTAAAATAAACAAATAAAATTATGTTGATGGGAAAAAAGTTGAAAACACTTGAAAAATTCCGCACAGCTTTATTATAGCTTGGATTTTTTTTTTCTGCAGTAAAATGATCGTCTCCTTGATAAAAAAAAAAGACGTCCATGACATTAACTAAAATCAAATGGTAGGAGACTATTTGCGTTTGAAAAAGTCCAAGTAAATACTTAAGTTGAACTGAATGTGTAGTTTGCTTGAAAGTGGATTAAAAATACATCAGGTAACACAGCTATTTCACGTTATGGATTGCTGATCAGATATCATGTCAGTATATAATGTATGAACAAGCAGATATCCTAAATCTATGCAATTCTCAATTTGAGAAAACAAAAAAAAGGAGGGGAATAGGAAATAGATTGTGATAGATGAGAACAGAAATAGTAAAGATGTAACAAACACCAACCCCACATTCAAATTCACACCCCTCACGAATGAAAACAAACAAATGGGTTCTTTGTTGCCAAGTATTTGGTTCACAGAAAAAAAAATTCAACAGCAGAGAATATACCTCTTTTCAAGTTCCGTTTAGAAAATAAACAAAGAAAAAAATGGGAGCGTTCCTTAAAAAGAAGCTTCTATCTGTTGAACCAAGATTTGAAAGCAAGCAAAGCAAAGGAAGTGAGCAGGCAAAAAGGACTCATGTCATGACTAGGAAGAGGAGGACAACGGGGGAGGGAGGGGAGAAACGTGGCAAGTGTCTGTGTTCCCTGTGTGTGCGTATATTATAACCAGTGACTTCATCTCTTGTTCATTGTCGCTTAGCACAATAATAATAAAAAGAAATACATCTCTGTTCACCAGAGTTCTCGCTACCGTCAACTGTCTTCTTCTTGGGAGATCAGAAAGCCAATCATCAGTCTGAACAATGTCCTTTCTTCTTATGGATAGAGAGACAAGGTTAAGCTTTTTTGTTGTTGTTGTTGTTGTTGTCATTGTTTTCCTTTCCATGTGCGTGCGTGTGTGCGTGTGTCTATGTGTGTCTATGTAACAGTTTATCGGTATCTTTTCATCTTATCTGACATGACTAGACTAATAGATGGAAGCCTTGATCCATTCATCGATTTTAATCTATCATTACATTCAGTAACCAAGGGTGATAAACTGTATCTCACAAGTCGTCAAGGCCTGTGTGCCTTCCGTCATAAAGTGCTAGCATCGTGTCAATTGTCACGTTAGACTGCCTTGTTTGTTATGATTGACAGCTGCTGATGGTACCTCTGATAGCGCTAAATGAAAATGCACCAGGAACCAATAGGCAATTTCTCTCAGTACTTTCCAAAAGTATGAACGCCGAAGTAACTGTCTATAAATAGAAATACTAAAAGGGGTGAAAATAGATGGGGGAATGAAGAGGGTAGGGGGCACTTAAGGCTGATCTACACAGGAAGGGATCGACAGAATGAGAGGAGGGAATAGATAGGTCTAAACACATAAGAACACTGCGATGGTGGACTGAAGCTTACTAAATAAAATTAGGTGTATATTTATACAAAAGTCAAGAATGTAAGGGGTAAATGAATGTACGTTGTGGTTGTAGTTGAAGTTTAAGGGATTAATTCCTACTGTGAATCATGACATATATCTCTCATATAATTTATATCACAGACTGAAGTCAAAATACTCTCTCAGTAAGAAACATCCACTTGGGATCTCGATATATTGCTACAATACCTGATTCGCCAATTTCAAGATAATGACCCACTATCTCTCACTCAACTGCAAAACAAGGTGATCCTGCTACTTTGCATTGCAACAATGTTCCATCCATGTTCCGGCATAGGCATCTTACAATGTAGAGACGTAGAATTTACTTCCGAAAATAACAGTAGCTCCAGAAATTAAACCGTGCTCGGCATGACACTGTACGTTCGACAACCAAAAAAGCTTAAATCAAGACTGCAAGGCTTGGATGGTTAGATCTTGAATCTATGTGCCTAGTAAGAGCGGCATAGCTTTTTATAACCAAGGCTGAACACCTTTGCCACGAGCTCTCCGAGAACTATTCACTATTCCTGGCATACTTGATAGAGCCCAGCAAACTTTTGCCACTCAACCCAATTTCAGTAGCGACCATTGTCAAGAAGCACATGAAAGCTGCAGGGATAGATACAAAAGTATATGACTCACATTCAACACGCCCAGCAAGCAGCTCGAAGGCCGCCGAAGTAGGCAACGAGCCAGATAAGATAAAGAAGCATGCCAATTAGAGCCTGTCTGCCAACACATTCGAGCGACTCTACTACAAACCGCTTCACCAGCAGGCTGACAGCAAGAAGATGACAGATTCCATTTATTCTTTTTGTCTTGAAAGTCATATCACATCCGAAGTTTGACTGCAGTCAACTGGAATTGAGTTGGGCACCTCAAGCAATGCTTAAGTTGACAAAAAGAGGACAGAGGATGTGGTCACCCAGCCCAGGTAGGATGGAAGATTTTTTATGTATATTTAACTTGCCCATTCTTTTCATCTATGTATATATAGAATGCTTAGCTTGGAAAAGGGTTAAAAAAGTTAGTTTATTGTTTTTTGTTTATTTTATATAATTTCAACTAAAAGTGCAACTCGAAGAGTTTATACCACATCCTCTGTCCTCTTTTCGTCAACTGTAACATTTTATAGAGATTGTCCAAGAATCTGTAAGTATACTATTTTCCAGGACGGCTCAGCGCGTTTAACAAAGTTTTGAAATAGATCTTTCCTAAACGAAGAGGCTCCAAACAAAGCTTTAGTAAGCAAAAAATTGTAAATGTACATATCTCCTAATTATTTTGATGCACTAGCTTGCTTTTTAATGACATATATCCTTTGCAAAACAGATCTGCAAAAGAGACACGATTAATGTAATTGGCCTGGCTGGTACCCTTGGCGCAAATGGCCAGCACCACATGCACCAGAAAATAGACTAATGCTACGGGCGCTTCCTTGAGGCGCTACCTAAGTTGTCACTTTACAGCTTCACACTATCAAAGTCTCTGCCTAACCTAAGGCTATCCAGCTCACTCTCTTTGATATAAAATACGATGTCATCATAACTACACGTGTTTTTGCATCGTTGTTGATAGGGCTGACAACATAAAAGTAGAATAAAAAAATAAAAATTCTTTTTTTATCTCTTCTTCTTGAAAATAAACAAAACAGGTCGATAGTTTTATAAATCCATATTTAGCATGACGCCACACGTTGAAAATTCTTGTCAGCAGCGTCACAGGTAATGGATAGAGGTAGCTCCCGTAGAGTTAGTCTAACTTCTGGTGCATGTAAGACTTCTCCTCAAGTATTCGAGAGTGATCCCTGTCCTTGAACTCCTCATGAAGTCAGTTTTTACTGGCGTTTGTGTCATTGATGAAGAAGTCAACTGCTTCCACTATGTCATTTGGCATTTACTGGGTACTACTATTGTCACTGTTGACGAGCTGAAGCTTCATTGTGATGAATATCGTTTAAGATCTGTTGACAAGGAACTTTCCCGAAGAAACATTCGCAGCAATGAGCATTGCAAATATGATGGCTGCATTTTGACTCTCATTGATGGTGTTCGTATCGAGTTGGTGCTCTTGAAGGTGACTGGTCCGTTCAAACTTGACGATGAAAGCAGATTTTTAAAGGATCATGTTAAAGCTGGATATGGATTAATTGTAATGCTCAATGAAATTACTACACTTACAAATTTGCTTCATTTGATACATTCACCACTGTTCGTATCTTCTTACATGCAAAGAAAAACAAGTTGCGGTTCTGGGGCTTTGAGATGCCTTCCCCTGATCTTTACGTACCGAACTTGCTAAATAGTGTGGTTATCCCTGACAATTATGCTTCTTGTGAGCTACCAGTGGAATTCCTTTGCATTGAATTGTGGAATTTGCGAACCATGCTACAGCAAACAGTTACGGCCATCGCTAACCTGAGGCAATCTCACATTGTTAACCAAAGAGCCTATGTTCCCACAGACAGTTCCCTGACTTGATGCCTACTTTGCTTACTGACAGCTTGAGAATCAATCCCGAGATAAAGCTCGATGTGAGTTACATAGCTACTTATAATGAACTGGCTATCAACAGCTCACTTTTTTGAACCCCTTGTATTATTCTTTTTCATAACCACTCCACTTAATAAATTGCTCATCGCCTTATCTGTACATATGTGTCGAGTTAAAAATATGTGTACCTTTTTTACTAATTTGTGATTTCTTACGGATATGAATAAGGCGTAACTATCTCTAATGTTGGTGTTCTCTTGGAATTAACTTACCATCTCTATGACAGTAAACTGGATGTCAAGCGTATAATTGTAATAAATAAACTCGGATCTTTTGTTTCTTAAAAGAACATTGATGGAAAATAGCTCTACCTATGGATAACATCTTCTAATCCTGTTGACCACATCATCTTAGAGAGAGGATATATATCATTATACGTTCCTCTTTACTCGCCTGAACTCAATACTATCGAGGCGTTTTGGAAAGTGTTGAAGGACCGAGTCAGAGGAGATGAATTGACAAATACAGAAATACTTTTTTCAAGAGTAATTGAAGGTAGCGAGGATGTTCCTGTTGAACACATACAAATTTCGCCCAGCACTCGATCGATGTATTCCCTAAATGCTTGAATAAAGGAATTTTGTAACCATTTTAATATCTGGTCAAATTATCTTAAAAGTGGCGAATTTATTCTCTCATTTTTTTGAGCAATTTAACCTCACACAAGTGTCCAAGATTATTCAAAAACTGGGCGGTGTTTTCAAACATGCGATAATTTGAGAGTAGAAACAAAGTACAAAAGGCACCAAAATGTAATTTGGGCTTCTTATGTTATTGACATCATTTACTGAACGCTTTCATCAGCCTTCGTAATAATATAATTAATTAAAAATGGCTGCTCATAGCCTAATTTGTTATACAATTGGCTGTTTGCTAAGCATTAGAAAATATCATCTATTCATATGCTTATGACACTCGAATGAACACATGCAGGTACCTGAGCCCCCTTGCAAGTTATTTTAAATGTCGTCATAGTAACTTGTTTCTAGTGTATGTATTTGGCTGAGCACAAAGGATTGAAGTATGGTCAAATAGGAGAAAATTGCTTTTAACTCTTCATCATAAAGTGAAATGACCTAACGGATCAACAAGATAAAACCACAACAGGAATATCGACGAAATATTCATTAATAATAACAAACAGGTGTTATACATACCATGATAGAGAATAAACTTTTATGGTATTCACTATTACGAATGAGGCGAGGCTTAATACTTTTGGACATTATTAAAAATGTCAGATAAAACCTACTATAGGTATGAATGCCATATATTCTCAATCATTTGCTACTGCTTAAATCCTATTGACTACATCCTTAATCTGAACCCGAAACTAGGAACTCGGCTGCTCATTTACAAACAAGATTTGAATGGTTTATGAAATGGAAGGGCCCTGATTTGGGCTTCATTTTCCTTTTTGACTTTGTGTTTTTTTCTTGTTCAAGATATTCTAGAAAGCTTTTTTGTCATCTTTTCATATAAAATGACGCTGTTTGTAATAATGAGCTCTCCCTCGTCTTAATATACAATAAAAAGGTTATATAGAGACTCATCGACACACACTTCCCTTATTACTTCTTCATATATTCAAGACATATCACAACCATGTACCTTTCGGTTGGTTTTTTGATAATAATATGGGAGCAATTGATGAAGATGTCAGCATCCCGTATTGCATATTGTCGTGGTTGTATACAACGGGGACTCATCGGCCCAACTTGGCCAGCGTCATCTTATCCTCTTGGGTCGCTTTATCGGCAGCGTGAGAGTCCGTAGTTGTCAAGATCACATCGCGATGTGTGAGATGAGGTAGCTTTGTTGTTGGCTGTACCGCCAATAATAATGACGACGGTGGAAGCTGCGTGAAGCTATTTTCGCATGTCGTTTCATCATCTACTACTTCGCCAGCCAGATGCTGATCTGTGTCTTCATCTGTCTCTTCTTTGTCCACACAGTGTTCATCAGCAGAATCCAATCTATCGAGTTTTCTCTTCTTCACAAGGACACATCTAAGTCGTGATTTTTGAGATGGGTAGTGAATGATCGTGTTGTTTTGTTATTTTTAAGGCATATTGGGCAAGCGAAGCCTTTTTCGTTCCTAGTGATGAGTGTCAAACTTACAAAAAATAATGATGTTAGAATGTGGAAACCCTCTCTCCAAAAACAAAATACCATACTTTCTCCATAGTACACAGTGGCTACGTGGTGATCACGAATGTGGGTTTTTAAGATTTCAGGATTAGCAGAAAAATGATCGTACTGATCGCATTTTTGTATTTTGCCCAAACGCAAACACAAAGTGAGGGTTGAGGAAAGAAAATCGCGAAAAGAAAAAAAAGGGGGACCCTTAGGAAAAGAATGACAAAAGCCCAAAAGTGGTTCCATAACCTCAATTTAAATCAAAAAAAGAGAAAGAGGCACAACATCCTACCATACTGTTAAATCAGATCAAGGTGCCATAGATGTACTTAATAAACAGGTTTTATATCGCCATGGATAATTGTAAGAACTATCATACTGCCTTTATAGTTGATGCCATAAATAATAGTGGATGCAAACAATTATTTATACCATCTTATTCCTCTTTTTCTTGAACTCAGTTGGAGAGCGTTGGTTAAAGATGCTTGGTAATCTGGCCAGATGTCACCGCATAAATAATCCTTAGAGCAATGATTGATCATATAGAATGTGTGATATCCCCTTTATATGTAAATGATCAACTTCACTTGTCTTTATTTGATAGATTGTCAATTAATATAAATATGCACATTCTATTCTATTATAATAAAGATATCTAAAACGTCTCAAAGTACTAAGTTTTACTTATATTTTATGTACCAGAGACACAACAGTCCAAAAGCAACATCAAGTGAGCTACTTTCGAGTGAAAACTCCATTCTTACGCCTCCCATATTGTACAGGTGTGCCAAACAGTTACTGTTGATGATTGCTTGAGTTGGATTCGACGCCCTGAAAGCTACTGGGGTCACTGTATTGACAAAGAATTGAGTCCTGTATAAAAAATGCGACTTATCCCGGAAGTCAACTGTCCTCTCATCTTGTACAGATGGAGGCGGCGAGAATACGTGTAATCAAAAACAACGAGGGGAAAAAACCAAAAACCAGTTTGCAGAAAGAGACAAAATTGTGGCCAAACTGTAGCAATCTGGCCTAAGCGCCAACCAGTTTAATGAAGAGACTTTTTTATTCATCTCATAAAGGATTAATACATACTTTTTTTTGGGATTTATATATTTTTATAGCTGGCGTGCTATTTCCATACTTTGTTCGCAAATCGTTTCTCTTTTATCATATTCTATTCAATGCTTATAAATTCTATAAGCAAACCCTCGGACACACATCAGTCATCAATCCGCAGAACATCCTCCATCGGGTCAAAAATATTTATTCTTTGCACGTTACAAACATTTTCCTGTCCATATTGTTAAAAAAAAAGTACCTTCAAAAAAAAAAAACAAGAGCCATTATTTAGGTCAATTTGATTTAGCTTATTGTGACCTTTCTATTTCTTCAAAAGGGCAAAATCTCTAGACTCAAAGGGACAATAATTTTTGGTAAAGTGACAAAATTTATCGCTCTCACTGTACCTCTAATAACAAAAGGGGCCATGACCATAGTTTAATAACTCATTGGCGTTTGGAATAATAGGTCACACCAAGGCACAATCAATTTCTAAAAGTCATCATATGACTAACCACAGGTACTCCAAGTGCAACACTCAGAAAACCTTTCCAAAAATGCTCATCAAACGTCTTGCTTCAGACCAACCAAAGGAACGAATAGAATCTATTGAGAATACCTTTCAAATAAGGAAACAGTAAAGAGCTGATACCAAATTGCTAAGTATTTTCTCTACGAAAAGGCAAAAAAAAAAACCGCAATGTATCACTTCCACAACAATCAACAATTCCCTTACTTTCGGATCCTCTCTCAATGGTAATGCAAAAATAGACCTATGGGATTAGTGTTCGAACCAGGTTCAAAGATGAACGTTCGCTTTTAGCAACAATATCTGCATAAAAGAAGAGATTTTCTTTATAAATTGTAGTAAAACTAAAAGTGCCCTTTCACATGTCTTTTTGTTCTCAGGCCATTATTGTTAGAGTAGCCTTTGTTTGTTACATTTAACCAAGCATATTCAATAAATTCAGCACGAGTAGACCAGCTATGATGGTCTAATTACTAAACCAGTTGCAGGAATTGTATCAAAGACCGTAATTGTTCATGTTTTCCTTTTGGACATAGTGTCCTCTGTTATGCTCCGTTCAATGCTGCCATGGAATGTAGTCTCATCAAGACAGTTACGACTGACTCATCAGTTCATGTCATCGTCTTCCCATTTGTAAGCTCAATCAAATTTACGTCGTGAAGTAAGCAATGAAGATGCATTTCCCAATTGTTGACTTGCGATGCTTGAACCCATATAGAAAATAATACAAGCATATATACAATAAATGATCAGGCTAAGATGGGAACTTGATATGAATGTTTTGAGCGCGCCTGAGCGTTCTCAGATTGTTGCAGATACCTATCCTATTTCTATATGCATATTTGAAGCATACACATCCTTGATTTTTCTTCCTGGAAGCATAGTGAACATGAGCATAACTAAAAAAAAACGCACCAGTAAATCTATAGTCCTGTGAAGCACAGCATCATATTCAGAAGACACGACGCCCCATAATTCGCCTTTTTTTTGAAAAGCTGTCGTGATTAAATGCTTTTGAGCTTTACTGCTCGCCCTAGCTTTCTTCTTTATTGTCATCTGAATAATACAGCCTCTAAGCCAAGGACTCTATGCCTATCGTAAGCTACTATAATTGAACTAGTCTCTACTTTCAAATTTACTTTGAGATTACCTTGATATCGGATCTGTTCATAGTCATCGATAATCTTTCAGTATTGCTAAGCATATAATCATTCCCTTATGACGGTCTAAATCTATTGGTACCTTTATTGGTGTAAGGTCCATTTCTGCTTGTTCTCCCTTGAGAGATGCACGAGCTAATAGAGCCTGCAACGAAAATTGTCTGGAATTCAATTCTAGTCACCTAAAAGGGGGTACAAAACATTGCTGAACGATCTTTATGATGTCACAAGCAGATGACCCTGTTCCATTTTTGCTTGATAGAAAAGGGTTATTTTTCTTTTAATGGCGAATATGGGAAAGTGTCTTAACAAACAACCAAAGAATGAGTGTACGGCTTTATGCTTTCCTATCTCTTTCTCAATTGATGACCACAACGTTACTTGAAAGCCGTATTCTAAAGGCGTGAGTTGAATGATGTAGCGTGGCAAAGTTTAACCCTTAAGACCCTGTCATTTATTTTATCTTTCTGTGTGTGTATATGGGCATACTTTTTCCTCCTCTCCTCCATCTATTTTCACCCCTTTTAGTATTTCTATTTATAGACAGTTACTTCGGCGTTCATACTTTTGGAAAGTACTGAGAGAAATTGCCTATTGGTTCCTGGTGCATTTTCATTTAGCGCTATCAGAGGTACCATCAGCAGCTGTCAATCATAACAAACAAGGCAGTCTAACGTGACAATTGACACGATGCTAGCACTTTATGACGGAAGGCACACAGGCCTTGACGACTTGTGAGATACAGTTTATCACCCTTGGTTACTGAATGTAATGATAGATTAAAATCGATGAATGGATCAAGGCTTCCATCTATTAGTCTAGTCATGTCAGATAAGATGAAAAGATACCGATAAACTGTTACATAGACACACATAGACACACGCACACACGCACGCACATGGAAAGGAAAACAATGACAACAACAACAACAACAACAACAACAAAAAAGCTTAACCTTGTCTCTCTATCCATAAGAAGAAAGGACATTGTTCAGACTGATGATTGGCTTTCTGATCTCCCAAGAAGAAGACAGTTGACGGTAGCGAGAACTCTGGTGAACAGAGATGTATTTCTTTTTATTATTATTGTGCTAAGCGACAATGAACAAGAGATGAAGTCACTGGTTATAATATACGCACACACAGGGAACACAGACACTTGCCACGTTTCTCCCCTCCCTCCTCCGTTGTCCTCCTCTTCCTAGTCATGACATGAGTCCTTTTTGCCTGCTCACTTCCTTTGCTTTGCTTGCTTTCAAATCTTGGTTCAACAGATAGAAGCTTCTTTTTAAGGAACGCTCCCATTTTTTTCTTTGTTTTCTAAACGGAACTTGAAAAAGAAGTGCATCAAAGTCAGCGTCGTTAAAGATCTATGTTGACACTGTAATTATTTTTTTATGCCCTCAACATAAACTGGACGATATATGAGATCTTTTCCTTAAAAAAATAAAGTTGGCTGTACTTCAACTTGAGGAAACCATCTTTCCACGCGAGCAAGCTTGGCACGTGCACAGTGACAAAAATGATTTAGACAGATGGAGTATGTATGTAACAGAACATAAAGAAATTGATAGAGAATACAACCTACAGTATACGTGCGTATGATCAACTTGTAAATTCTCAGTATTTTACTTTCTTTTCTATTGCTTAGCAATAAACCAACTGCACTTTAATTATTTTCCAATAAGAATGGTAGTTTTTACGTTTGTGTATCAAACAAATTTAACGTGGTGCCCAAAGTGATATCATCCATTGAAATAAAAAGCGTCGCGGATTAATCTATTTCCGCCTTGTGTGGACAAAGCAGCTGTGTATGTGTGATCCTGTACTCATATCCCTCATGGCCACGTTATTGTGATATGCTTAAATATTTAGTCATTCATTATCAATCCATTAGTCTATTGTTCAAGATCCATTTATATACTTTTCTCTTGTTTTCTGTTTAATCTATTTAATAACTATTCCTGTTGATGTGAGTAGTTCTGCTCGGGTCATTATGTCCAAAAATGGCAAGTGGTGAAACAACTATACACGGCACGTTACAGAATAGAACTATTTCCCATTTTGAGACTTGGACAATCAGTATATAAGAGGCGGTGCATTTGTGGGTGTGAAAAGAATACCCTTTTCCTTTTTTCCTACCTATTTCTTCTACTTTTTCTTTCTTTCTCTTTTTTTCTTTCTTTCCTCAGAGGCCCTTGCTTTTTGTACATACCTCTTTTCTTATATCGATGGCTCATCTCAATTTATCATCTGACTACACTTCAATTCAGGATGCTTATTTTGAAAACGACTTTGAGTTAAACCTAGATCAAGACTTGACGGATCCTCCAATTTCACTTCAAGTTACTTTATCAACTGAACCTGATCCCACTATGCTCGAGTCCGAATACACATCATCAGCCACACCTATTGATATACCCAAATCACAATCCTACTTAGATATGCCAGCCTATGATTCCAACTATGAAGGTATGATTACAATTTTTTTTATTGATGTCAAAGACTTACATAAATACAATAGCCTTTTTATCTAGTGCTCTTTCCACTTCCTATACATCCTCGATCAATGCTCCCGATTTTGCATCATATAACAGTCTTTCTAACCTTCGTTCACCCTTGATCGCAACGGACGATTTGACATCTTGGTTCGACGCCCTTGCCGTTCGATCCCCTTCAGGCTCGATCTATTCCAACCCAATTCACAGCCCATTACAGATCGGAAGCCCACAATCGCCATTATGTTTCAGTGGCGCAAGTTCACCCAACAATTTCTTGGCAGGCAGCAGTCCCTGCTCGTCTCAATTTCTTGGCAGTCCCCTGCTACACGATCCTCAGGCACTCAATTATCTTTCACCCACCCTTCGGCCGACCTTACTTCGATCAACTTCACCATTAAGCAGCCCACGATTGGGTCCTCAATTCTTACCTCTCCATCCATCCACTCTCTCGCCACGACCGAACAAGACGACAGACGACGTGATCCTGACGGCGACTGAATTGAACGATTTCACGGCCTCACCTTACCTTACTGCAGTTCCAGACGAGGAGGCGCCAGTGGCGACCACTGATGGCTTTGACGAGATCTCTGATCTGCTCTTTGGCAATGTTCATATGGATGATTTGGAACTCTTTCCACCTGCTGTGTTACCCTCCGCGCCACATACACAGCCACAACCTGCATCGTCTGACATTAAAAAGCCTAAACGAAAGACAGTGGCGACAACAAAACGAGGCAAGATCCATAAATGTCCCTATTGCGACCACACCAGTAACAGGGCAAATAACATGCGCGAACATACTCAGATCCATAACCCAAATAGACCTAAACCATTCTGTTGCAAGATATGTAAGAGAGCATTTGCAAGGAAGCATGATATGAAGCGACATTATCTCTCTTGTAAGAAACATTTAAGCAAACTTCAAGCCATTTCTGTATAGAACCCCTTTTTTTTATTATATGTGTATGTATATTTTTGTATATATTTATTTATATAGACTTTCTTTTTTCTACTCCATTCTTTTTACTATGTATATCTTTCATGTTTCTATTTTTAAATACTTTTTGTTTGTTTGTAAATTCAATAAAAATAGTGTAAACACATACAATCAAATATGCAAATAAATTATGTGGCTCAGGGCAAGTCATTTGCTAGTTTCTGTTTACCTTTCCTCTCCTGTTTAAAGTGGTATAAAGAGTAGCAGTCCTGTTTGCTTAACTCACATTGTATGTATCTTATATTTGATACTTTCCAGAATAGACAAAAGCAAAATAAAAATGCAAAGTGGGTATCAAACTATACGATTACTCGCGCTGATATATGCTTTCGGTTCAAGTCTGTCAATGCTCTATTTTATTCTTGGGAAACATTACATGCACAAAAAATTCACGACAAAGTGGCTAATGTTACGAGCGCTTCCTCAGGACCGTTAACTGTGGTTTCATTTTACAACTTAGCACTACCAAAGTTTCTACCTAGGCTAAGGCTGTCCAGTGGAATATCCATTAATGTAAAGTACACGTGATTGATCTTGGTTCTTTGTTGATCGAACTGACAACATCAAATTAAAATACAGCAATAACCACATCTCTTTTTTATCTCTTTCTTCTTGAAAAGAAACAAACCAAGACGATAAAAAGTTTTGTTGGGCTATATCATAGATTGTAGCATTCTAGCTTCTACTATATTTTTTGGTGTATGTAGCGTTTCCTTTATTCTTTTAGTCATAAGAAGCTAAATAAATATAAGCAATTCTATTGCAAGATGTAAACAGAAAAAGAAGGAAAAGTGTGATGTTTAACTAACGCGTATGTCCAAAGGTTATCCAGAAATCACGTCTTAGATGTATCTGATGCTAGATTTGGCTCATCTATAACTCTCTTAGATAATGGCTTGAGAGAAAACACCGCCTCAGACGCTAACAAGCCTGAGCTCGAAGAAAGAGATTTGGAACTAATAGACAGTCATTTAAAGGTTTGGTTGTGAACATAACTTTTTATACAACATATACTAACCTTTTATTTAGAATATGAAAATAGACTTGCGTCTTGTTGCTGCTCGCTCGAACAAACGACTTTCCGATAATGGATATGACAAATTTGCCAAATTTATTTCCGAGCCAAAGTTCTATAAAGATAAGAGGAAGGCTGTTTTTGCCTCAAAGGCTTTACTAAATTCAATAATCCGCAAGAACCCCTTTATTAATTGTCAAGAGATTCATGTTCCTTATGTGATTGTGATGGTATTCGAGTTGCACTTGTGCTCTTTGTCTTTGAGTCGCAAAAAGACATACATCACAAGAAACCTAAAGAGTGTTTCCTTTCCCTCGACTCTTGATAATCTTCCTGAAGCATTAGCCAATGGTCTTTTAGGTCTTTTGGTAAGTAAAGAAGGATTTGGTCTTACTTGAGCATGTATCACTGATACTGTTTTGTAAGATATGAGCTTGACAGCCAAGAGGCTGGTTACCAAGGGTACTAGAAGGAAAAGCATGGATGATTTCTTGCCTCTTCTTCAAATACGAACAGCAACAATGGCTGGCCAACCAAGATATTATGGGAGGATGTGGACGAGGAGGTGAGGGTATGGGAGACATGAAGGATGAACTGTCTGAAGACGATGATGTCGAGGAAGAGAATGATGACGACGATCAGGAGTAGTTTAGTTTATTTATTTTTATTTTTTTTGCTATAAGTAAAATAAAGCATTGTGCTTTTTGACAAAAAGCGTTCTAAAATGCATATGTAGCACCCTCAGTGCTGCAAAATATGCTTAAATAAAAAGCCTTTCTTCTATGATAATTGAAAGAATAACATGTTCACAATCAAGAATCTAACCAAGAACTCAGAGGTTGTCATAAATAATAAACAACGCACTAAAAGATAATTGATCAATGTTAATGTTTTGCAAAAGATTGTAATGGCTGTAACACATCCACACATATGAATATTTATAATCTAAGCAGTCCATTTTCTTCACATGCGTTTTCTTTAGAGATGCTTTATCGTGTTATATGCTTATAAAAGGCGATTTATTAAACCTTGTACAAATATGAGCCTACAAGGTTTCTTTACCCAGCCTATTCATTTATATGCATGAATTTTTTGTTCCGGCGACGGACTTTGAAAAGGAGAGATGAGAGTGGGAGAGTGGAGGAGGAGGGGGGGGAGGAAAGGGAGAATAGGTCTTGAAAGACATTGATCCTACCTCCCCTTTTTACAATCCACATCGCAATGGCTGCTTCAGGAATCGCTGCCGGTATCAACAAGGGTCACATCACTACTCGTCGTACCCTCAAAGCCAAGCCTTCTAACAAGATTGGTGTAAGTTTTAAATGGATGGATGGATGGATGGATATATAGATATATATATGCATGTGTCTCATTCAACTTTTTACTTGATTCAATGTAAACTCATTCGACACACATATATATAGGCTGCTTCCAAGCGTACTATCTTTGTAAAGTCTGTTGTTCGTGAAGTTTCTGGTTTTGCACCTTACGAACGTCGTCTTATGGAATTGATCAAGAACTCCAAGGATAAGCGTGCCAAGAAGCTCTGCAAGGCTAGAGTAAGTTGAATACAGATATAAAAGAAAGCAAACTAAAAAGTTTTATAGCTCGGTACCTTTGTTCGTGCCAAGAAGAAGATTGACGAACTTACCGCTGTCATTGCCTCTTCTCGTCGTCATTAAGTTTAATTATAATAAACCATGGATTGCAATATTTTCTTTATTTGTAACCAGTGGTCCACACGATGTAAATTAAGGTTAAATTGGTTGACAGCCTGCCATAAAGAAGGGTCACGACCTAGGATAATGCCTACATCTGCGTTCACAAGAGGCTCTAAATCACCCAAAGAGTCACCGATATAGACAACAGAAGATTGAAAGGTACGGATGACCTCTTGTTTATCACCTGTGGTCAGAATGGAAGGAATGATATCACCTGTCGAATGAAGACCTTGAAAATCAAGATCATTTGAATAGATTTGATGACGTGATAAATCTAATTCATGTAAGAAGCCGAGGATCCAATCCTTGGACCAGTTGACAGAGACAACACGGATGAACTGTTTAGGGATTTGAGAGAGAACAGAGACAAGATCAGGCTGGAGTAGATGTTGATGTCGTTTACCTTGTTCGTAAAGCATATCTCTTGTTAAACCTTGAAACACTTTGCCTTGACTGACACGTGCCAATGAAGCAAGTTCAACGTGTTTGTAACTGTTAAGATGGTGTAGCAGCTGGCTGACCGAGTCGTGGTTGGGTTGGTTGGGGCAATGTTGATTATAATCATGTAAATAAGCTTGGGTGTAGTAAGACCATGGTTGACTCTTTTTATTATGATCAATGCCAAATTGAGCCAAGAGTGCAATCGTATCTTTAATAGTCACAGTCTTGTCAAAGTCAATGACTAATAATGGATTCCGTAAGATACGCATTTAATAACAAAGATAGAAAAAAAAAAAATAGAGAAAAAGAGAAGGAAAAAAATAAAGTTGTGACTTGTGTATTACACATATGAAAGGGCAATACTTGTCTCCCCTTCACATGCTGAAACACTTTACAATATCTTCACGTGTATGTAAACTATTTATTCCCCTCCTTCTTGTTCTTTTTTCTTTATTTCTTTCTTTTCTTTAACAATGTCAACACTTGTAAATCGAATGTTATCTCAAAAGGATAAACTAACCATGATTAATCACTGGTTAAGTTCAAAAGAAGAAGAAGAACAACAACAGCAACAACAAATGTATTATAATAACACAAGCCCTCGTTATTCGATTGGTATTCCACCTCCACCTTATGAAAATGTCGTTCAACAACAACCACCGATGGATAGAAAGAAGTATAGTTTTTCAAGCATGATCTGGAAACGAGCTTCATTCTCGAGCACAGTTTCGTCCGAAGTCAAGATACCGGTGACAACTATTGATAAAAAGCAAGTTGAACATGGTATCACCCTCTTAAATATTGCAACCGACATGAATAATAATAACAGTCAACCGATGGCCATGGACCTTTACATGATGGGCTTGGATAAAATCATGTCGGCATTACCTTGTATGGTCATGACTATTTTTAGTATTTATTTTGATTAACTTTCATTTTAGTGGAGTCTGATCCTAATGCCAAGTTGGCATTAGAAAAGAAAATAAGAGAGATTCAGCAGATGCATCAGTTGGATTTAAACTCAGATATGATTGAAGAGCAAGAAGAACAAGAAGATGAAGATAAGCCTATTCGAAAGCAATTATCTAATTTGATCATCAATGCTGCTGTCTTGGGAGCTGTTGCTTTAAAGAAGAGCCCAATCCCTGGTAAGTTTTATTTATATTTATTTATATATTTATATTAATATCATTTAGACGCTGTATCCGGTGTTGTCAATTATGCTGTTGATAGTATTCAAAGCATAGATGAAAAACATCAAATACGTAAACGTACCTGGGATTTAGCTGCCACAGGTGTCAATAAAGCCATTCAAATCGATCGTCAATATGAAATTCATCAATTAGTTTCTGAGGCTGTCTATACTGGCTTTGCTGCCTTTATTAAAGCTGGAATGGCTTATGCTGAAACTCCTGGTTATGGTCAACAAGATTAAGAGGAAGAAGAAGATAAATACCCCCCCCCCTTAAAAAATTGATTTTTGTATTTTAATAAAGAAGAGCTGCATGTGAAAATTGATGATGACTTTTTTTTTTGAATCAATCATAAAGACGTGTGAAATCAATCTTTTTTTGAAATCTTTTTTTTCTCTTAACCCCCCACTCTTTTAAATGCTTAGAAATACAGCACAGCGTATACGTTCAACATTACCACGTATTGCTGCAAATCAAGTCATCAAAGTAGTTCGACCTTCGACTGCTGTTCGACTCACAGCTGCACGTTATCTATCTCATACAAGATCTCAATCCATCTGGCTTCCATTTGACCGCAATAGTTTACCAGAAGACGACCCACGTCGAATGGAACCCTTTGTGGACGAAACAGATGTGGTCATCATTGGTGGTGGGCCTGCTGGTCTTTCGGCCGCTATTCGTTTGAAGCAATTAGCTAATGAGCAAGGCAAAGAGTGTCGTGTCATGGTCGTCGAAAAGGCAGGCGAAGTCGGTGCTCACACTCTCTCTGGTGCTGTTCTTGAACCAAGAGCATTGAACGAATTAATTCCTGATTGGAAAGAAAAGGGTGCGCCTCTCAACACACCCGTGACAAAAGATAGTATGCGTTTCTTAACCAAGACCCTGTCGATACCCTTACCTCACCCTCCTCAAATGAACAACAAGGGCAATTATATCGTTTCACTCAGCAATTTTGTCAAATGGTTGGGCGAACAAGCAGAGGAATTAGGCGTCGAAATCTATCCTGGATTCGCTGCTAGTGATGTCCTCTATAACGAGGATGGAAGCGTGAGAGGCGTTGCATTAAATGACGTTGGCCTGGATAAAAATTTTGAGCCCAAGGTAAGCTTTTTCCCACGCAGGTTGCACTTATTGAACACGCCCCACTTTATAGGATAATTATGAACGAGGTATGCAAATTCAAGCCAAGGTGACCTTATTTGCTGAAGGTTGTCATGGTTCACTTACCAAGGGACTCGTCAAGAAGTTTGATCTCAGAAAAGAGAGTGGACCTCAAAAATACGGTATCGGCCTCAAAGAAGTCTGGGAGGTTCAGCCAGAGAAACATCAACCTGGTCTCGTCACTCACTCGGTCGGGTGGCCAGCAGATATGCATACCTATGCTGGTAGCTTCATGTATCATTTTGAACCTGAACGCCACTTGGTTGCTATTGGCTTTGTCATCGGTTTAGATTATGAAAATCCTTACTTGAACCCTTACAAAACCTTCCAAATGTTCAAACACCATCCCTCTATCAAGTCCACGCTCGAAGGAGGTAAATGTATCTCATACGGTGCTAGAGCGATCAACGAAGGCGGGTTCCAGTCGATCCCTAAGCTTGTATTCCCCGGCGGTGCCTTGATTGGCTGTACTGCCGGTTTCTTGAACGTGCCCAAGATCAAGGGTACTCACACTGCCATGAAATCGGCAATGCTCGCAGCAGAGTCTGCATTTGACGTTTTGTTCAACCAACAATCTGAGGGTCCCATCGTGTTGAATAACTATGAGGAGAGCATCAAGGACTCATGGGTCTATGAGGAACTTTATCAGGTTCGTAACCTTGTCCCCTCCTTCCATAGCCCACTTGGCCTCTTTGGTGGTCTTGCCTATTCTGGTCTCGACAGTCTTATCCTCAAGGGTCGTACCCCTTGGACCTTTAAACACAAGAAGGCCGATTGGGAATGCATGAAGACAGCTGGGTAAGAAAAAATGTATTCATCCTCTGATCCCCTATCTAATGAATATATAGTGAATGTAAGCCTATTGAATATCCCAAGCCTGATGGTGTCATCTCCTTTGATCTCTTGACCAACGTCTCTCGTACTGGTACTAATCACGCAGAGAATCAACCTGTTCACTTGCGTATTCGTGATGCTGCCAAGCCTGTAGAAAGAAACTTGGCCATGTTTGATGGACCTGAAAATCGATTCTGTCCTGGTAAATAATCCCCCCTTGCTATTCGTAGTGTCACTAACTTAGTATAGCTGGTGTTTATGAGTACGTCGATGATGAAAATAAGCCAGGAGAAAAGCGACTTCAGATCAACTCACAAAACTGTATTCATTGCAAGACGTGTGATATCAAGGATCCTTCACAAAACATTGATTGGACCGTGCCTGAAGGTGGTGGAGGACCTCAATATGTTTGGACTTAAATTATTCCTTTTTATTTCTTTTTTCCCAATGAAAGCGCTGTTTAAATAAAAATTCACTCGTACTTTTAAATGACCTGGTTGGCGAAACAGAGACGGAGGATGTGGTTATAAGCCTTCGGGCCGCACTTTTATTGTCATAACAATATAAAAATAAGTTTTCTAAGAATTTTAGAGCAAGCTAGGGCTAAGAAAAGGCCACCAGGACTGGTACCAAGAGCGGGCACCCACCACATCCTCCGTCTCCGTTTCGCCAACTAGGTCATTTAGTGCAAATAAATATTTTTTGGCTCTTGTACGAAACTGTAAACTGTTCAGTTCAATTTTTCTAATAGTTTCAGTTTAGGTTAAAAGTCTGCGTTATGTGTAAATAAATACGATCAAGAATAATTTTATTTGATAATAATTTTTAGTGACCAGTGAGCACATAGCATTTTCATGCTGTACTATCCGGGTCAGATCGCAGTGAGAAGGAGTGAAAAACCCTTTTGGAATTAAAGGGAAAATGTAAAAGTATCACGTATTAGGGATGATAGTTAATTATCTGAAAGATTTTGCTGAATGTAACGAAGACATTTGACAAAGAGTTCATCAAAATGGTTTGAAGCTTCAGGGAACTGAGTGTGAGCTAAGCAGTCCATTTCGAGTAATATTGACCATATGGAGGGTCAACGAGTGAGCCAGGCATCGATTGATTTCCTCGCTTTCTTGGTAAGAGGTGCTGGTAGTAAGAGATTCAAAAGATAGGAAAGTGGATCGTCGATAGATTTGGGTATCTGAAGGCGGTTGTGCATATCTAAACAAGAAAAACTATGCTGATGTGAAAATTCAATTGGATGAAAGGGGCAGGCTTGGGGTTTACCAAGAGGCAACCAGCCAGGTCGCCATCGCACGAAGCGAGACTGTTCACTTCTTGTCACTGGTATCCGGAGAATGGTGTCGACAGTTAGATCATTATAGCAGTGGGACAGAAGTTTAGAATGTTTTTCTTGGAGCTTCGAACGGTGGTCAATCAGGAATTGTCTTCGTTTTCTAATAAAATTATTATGAGACATAGCTTCAAGATATTCATTGCTGATTGATGTCCATAAAGGTGATTTGTATAGTTGGGGCCATTTCGAGATACGTTGTGATTGTATGTATGGTAGCAATTTTGTTAATAATGAATCGCCTGGTAGGGAGGAGGTTCTGAAAAGAAATTGTGCTTAAAGTATGGATATACGATCCTTTATGTTTGGTAAATTTGTTAGGTGTAGCATTACCTTGGTAAAGGTGAAGGGTCGTCCGCCGAAAATTTGACGAATGCATTGGGTCTTGACAATTTTTGAGAAATTGAATTTCTCGCAGATTGAAGGTTGTAATTTCTAGACCGTACTCCAGCTGTGGCCGGGCTATCTGGGCATAGAAACGTGTTGAAAAGAGGCGATCAAGCCCATTTTTGCTGACACCAAGGGCAATAGGTTGTCTCATCGTTCCAAGTGCTTTGTTATTGTTTTGTTGTAAAAGTGCTGATTTGTTGATAATACCACCAGACTTTATAGGAACACCAAGGTATGGGAAGTAATCTTTGTTAGGTAGTTCACCATTGTAGAGGTAATATTTTTGACGTGTAGGGTTGGGATCAACAACGACGCACTTTTTAGGGTTCCATCGATAACCTAAAGAAATGCTGTGCTCTTCGCATTTGGAAAGGAGGGACTGCATTGAATCAGTATCAGCAATAATAACTACGTCGTCCGCATACAATAGGCAGTTTAACTTTGGAGCGAGAATGTGAGAACCATTAAAATCTGTGTCGAGGAGGGGTGCTGATCGTAAGAAATTTGGAAAGTTATTGATATATACTGTAGGTAAGGTGATAATACAGATCCTTGCAGGACGCCAGTTTTTGGATGAAAACGGGAGGATTTGTGGTTACTAAGAACCACTTCGACAGAAACATCTTCATACATATTGTATAAGAGGACTAGCAGAGGCGTTGGTATGCTTGAAGAGAGCTCATTCCGTATGATGTTACGCTCAGCTGTATCATAGGCTGATTTAATATCAAGAAAGGCTGGTACTGGGTTGTAATGTAAATGTTTACGATGATATAACTGACATAGTTCTGTTAAACAAAGCACTTGATCGAGTGACCCTCTAGTCTAATGGAAGCCTCCTTGGGTGACATCCAGTGTAGGACAGGTGTTGAGTAGCTCAGGTTGGATACATTTTTCCAGAATTTTACGAAAAACTGAGGTCAAGCTGATTGGTCGGTAATTACTCGGATCAGATGGATCACCTTATTTATGGAGTGGAACTATCTGACTAATGCGCCATAATGGAGGTGTATATGACCATTGCTAGAATAACTGGAATAGATAAAGGAGAATTGGAAATATGATATCTAAAAGTGGTAGAACCACTTCGCTTGTGATGTGGTTGATGCCAGGTGTCTTTTTTCGTGGGAGGTTTAAGATTACTGATTTACTTTCATCCAAGTTAAACGGGCAATTGGTTAAAACGAAACACTCTTGAGATGATCAATATGTAGATAAGCAGTGAGGGATCGGGATACGTTCATTTCGCGGATGATTGGTGCCTGATAATGTCTGCTTTAGATAGTCTGCCATTAGGTTAGCAGCTTTTTGAGGCCCGTCTATAGTAGAGAATGCCGATTTAAGTAGGCGATTTTTCCATATCCGCGAAAACTTAGCTATAGCCTTTGTGTACTCGCCTTTCTTCGTTTTGTCACAAAACAGCTGCCAAGTTTCTTTTCTCCGCTGGATGATCAACCTTCGTAGTTTCGCTTTGGTTTCTTGGTGAAGTAACCACTATTTAAGACAGTTGAGACCGTTTGCTTTTCTCCATTTCCGATAGTAAAGCTCTTTCGTTTCGAATGTTTCCATCATTTCCGTAGTCCAAAACTCTTTTGAACGTAGAGTGTCCGAGTTTGTCTCTTGTTTACCAGAGACAGTGGCAAGTGATGAGGTGTTGATACGTTCAATATACCTTTGAGCATCAATTTTCTGAAGTGTAAAAGAGGACAATGACGGTAGAAAAAGGTTCAAGTGTTCCTTAAAAACTTGCTGGTAGGTTTGCCTCGTCTTCTCTTTTCTAAGTTTTTTAATGTTCCAAAGTTTTCGAGAGTCTGTTACTGGGTCTATGTTATTAGAGGTAAATGATGGTATTTGAAAAGAAAAAGTCAAGCTTATGGGTTGATTCTAGTGAAAGATTATCTCTAACAATTAACGTCGTAGAAGTCAATTCTATAGTACTCAGAAAGTAGTCTACAATACTATGTCCAGAGTAACTATATGAAGTAGGCACGCCATATGCAATCCGTTAATTCCAGTTAATGAGTTCGTTAGATTGAATCCAATTGTGAATGAGTCGTCTTTTATGATTCTTTCTCGTATCGCCTGAGTACTTGCCCATTCTAGCATTAAAGTCTCCACAGATAATAGTTGCTATTGTGTTATTATAGTTAGGAGGTAATAGTTCCAAAATTTCAGATAGATCATTATCATCCAGATTGGGAGGGATGTAAAGACAGCGTATCAAAATTTTAGCAGATATGACTACAGATAAAGTATACTTAGCTAGTGTTGGATTTTCATGTTGGATATGGTAAATGTGCTGTTTAAAAGTAGGATTTATCAAAAGGGCGATACCAAGATGGCCGCAGTTTCTTTGGTGAGTTGAATTAATCGGCTGACCGTAAGTATGAAACTGTTTCCATGTGGTGAGGTATTTGTTTGGTGGTAGAAGCCAAGTTTCTGTAATAAAAAGGGGTGACGAGTTATCAGCAATCTTTAGTAGAGGAAATATAGCTTGCTTTGGGAGTCCAGTAGCATTAAATAAGGTTACTGATATGCTGTTCATTAATGTTGAATGCTGTTAAGGTTGGCTACATTGATTGTCGTGTCTTCAGAGAAGTTACCCACGATATCCTCTGATCGTCCATAGCGAGAGCTGTTAATTTGGCCAATGAATGATTTGGGTAACCACTTTTGCTGATAAAAGTAGTATGCTACTGCAAACTTTACTGGTTCGCGGATATGGAGAACAGCACGTTGAAGGCGCTGTCGTTGGATTTCACATGCTTTGAAAGTTCGTTCTTGCTCTGTAAGATCCTTATACTGTGGGTCTTTGAGAGTAGAACCGTTCCAGGGGCCAAAACTGTTAGGAAGTGGACTCGTTTAGCTTCAAGTAATTGTTTGAATTCGGCAATATAGTCAACATGGATGAGAAGAGCAGCAATGCTGCGGTCTGGATAATAGATATCCAGTACACGCGCATTGTTGACGCCTATATTGTGTAGGTAGGAGTGAAGTTTACCAGCGGGAATACGGATTTTAGTGGAGATATAAAGATATTGAAATCTTTGGTTCGTGGAAGGTAGTTGGAAGAAACGAGCAGCCGCTTCTTCCTTATGAACTCTATTTTTTTGAAGGTTGAGATACATGGATTTCTTTAATGCAGCTACTTTGGAGGGGTTGTGCCAAGGGGTCTGAGAGATTAAGCCGTCAAGGTTTTGAGAGGTTGCTCCATGAAGTGAAGGGAATTCAGTATTAGCAATAGCTTGTGAGCTATTGTTTTGTTGAGTTGAAGCTTGAAGGGCCATAAGTCCAGCGATCTGTTCGCGGGCTTGGTTCAGTCCAGTTGTAAGTCGTCCAACTTGTTTAGTAAGCTAGCTGGTTAGTTTATCACGTGGGTCACCAGTGCTGGGTTCTTGGAAATTTGTTGAAGATCCAGTGGCTTGCTGGGAGTTCTCGTTCATATTGCTACTACCACAGAGCACTTGGTAGATCTCATACGCTGTAGATTGTCTCTTGCATGACTTACACACAAAGACAGGTTGAGCTGAATCCTGTGTAGTGCATCGTTGGCTTCCTTAACTAGAAAAGGCTTGCTCGAAGATATTCGAACTGCTTTTTTAGATACTATCGAGCGTAGATATATCGACAGGCTTTGCTCAGCGGAACGTCAGTTTGCAGCATCTGATGTCAAAGGTGTGAGGCCCATCATGTTTGTCGGTGACCGCGGTCTAAGTGTAGGCTCACGAATAAAAGGATTCATGCGTTACGGTGGCCACTGGAAACCGAAGAAGCACAGTCTTTATATAACTGTATGTATAATAAATGAGCATAATACCTCTCAAACACGTATATACTGCTTCAATAAGTTATCACATCCAGTACGAACAGATCATAGGAACGGAGCAAGTCGGCTAAGAGCAGTTAATAGCGCATTTGTTTGTGAGAATCCAAGTTGTGTCTCTATCCAAGCAAAAAAAAGCAGTGAAAAGACGGGATACCGTGTCTGCAATGGCAATAGGCCTGTCAGGTCTAGCAACACTCCTTTTTGGTGCAGCTTTCCCACAATTCGACCCAAAAGTCAGTCAATCCAACACTGATAAATTTAAAGCGAATGCCACTTCTTTCTTTAGTGCAAACGAAGATAGGCCCGCTGTCGATGACAGTAATACTCCTTGAAAGGTAAGTCTTCTTTGATAATTTATTAACTTGTACTGATTGCTTAACAACAAATGGTTAATACTTTGAATGTTTGATATTTTGCAAGTGCAAAAAAAAGGAATTATTTCATATCATTGACTGTTTTACTGATTGCATCTATTTGTGTCTCAGCTTTGGAACTCGTAGATCATTTACCCTCTCAGTATTTAATGTTGGTTTGAAAATGTAGAAAATTAGAAAGCGTAGTATGAGTTAATTTTGGTGCTTCCAAATGACAGTAGCAAAAGACTACTTAATAAGAATATAAGCTTTTCCCTCCTTTTTCTCTCCACCAGTTTTCACTGCTGTTAACTGACAAAAAAAACATATTTATTAATTATCAATCTTTAAGCATGTATTATCCTATATTTAACAAAAAGACAATTTACTAATAAAAGCTGTCTAAAAAGCACACAAAAGTCTCAGTTTCTAGTTGTTTAAAATTCAGTGCTAAGTGTCTGAATTGAAATAATTTTTTCAGTTGTCTAAATATAAATTTTTATTCATCGGAAAAAGAAATTCATTTGTCTGAATTTAATGTGTGTAAATAGTTTGACCAATCAAAACAGCCAGCGATTTCGCCATCTTCCTGATAGTTAAGTGGATAGCAAAAGTTATTCAGAAGGGGGAAAGAAAGGATGGATGGGTATTTCGTTTTCTTTTCTTCTTTTTTTTTTTATTCTTTTAATATGAAATAACAAAGAGATAGAAAAATAAAGGTTTGTGTGTGTATATATGCTAATAAGGGCTTCATTCGATACGGTTTCCTCCGATAGAATAAAAGGAGCAGACACCACTGCTTCTGGCCCTGCCTGTCTTTTCTTCAAAGGTCTTGCACATCTTATAGGGTGGAGTATAGAGATGAAGAGAGACAGCCCCTCTCTCTCCATTGGGATTAGAGATACGATGTAAACCAATCTTGTCTATATTATAGATGGTAAGGTATATGTACTTTAAAGTGTAACATCAAAAATATTTACCATGGACGTAGGTCACCTGATTAGGCTGATACACAGTATCCCTAGAAATATGTAGAGGTTGTTGTTGCTCATGGAGACACGCATCCTTGTTTGTATTTCCTGCATTAGCCGTTATATCAAAAGGTGTTGCATCATCCTCATCAGCTGATGAAGATTGTGGCCAGTCATATAACGTTTCTTGTAATTCTCCGTCAAGTATTTTCATCACACAATGGGAACCGGAATGGTCATGAATGGGACTAAGCAAAGAGAAGATCGTAAACTTAAATGGACGAATCAGAATATGACATGTATTTACCTTTTTTGTCCTTTACTCCAGGCTAGAATCATCAGATTGAACTAGAAATGGATGAATATACATGTACGACATCGACAAGGGTCAGCTTTACCTTTCCGTTACCATCATCAATTAGATTGCGTGTGTAGGCTCTGGAATGGTCAAAGAGCGTATATTGACTCCAGTCTTCCGCATTGGAACTGTATTGTTCCATGAGTTGAATGATTTTATTAGCATCAATACGTTCAGAGTCAAGACCTTCATCACCCAGCACTTCATGAATAGACTGAACGAGGTCTTTCAATGTGAATTTATTATTATTATTATTGGAAGAAGAAGAAGCAATAGAGAAGGTAGATTCAACTGAGAGAGGTTCTTGAGGAGGAGCCATGATGAATGTTATGAGCAAATGTAAAAGAAAAGAAGAAAGAAAGAAAAAAGAGGAGAGAGAAAAGATTTATAGACACAGAAGCACCACAAGGAAAACAGCGCGAGAGATGAGACAAAGGCGGCAGGAAAGAGCGAAACGCAAGGATAAGCATTGAAATGCAATTTCTTAATATGTCAAACCTTGAATTTTTCCCACCCTTGCTTCTCGAAATGGTATGCAACACCATTTATTATTATAGATAAGCAAATTATACGAATATCAACCACTTTCTTAAAATCAAAAGACGAGAAAGAGAGATGAGAGATGATTATTGTTAGTTAAAATATGTCTTGGATGTGTCGTAGAATATCTAAACAGAAACTTTTCAACCTATTTTTGAACATTTGAGTTATTAGAACAGGTATTTTTTTTTTTTTTTTTTTACCATTCGATCTGGTCCGAATTTAAGCGCATCTTTTTTTGCCTGTGTACGAATTGATCAAATCTATCTTCAATCCTTGGTTTAAAGCTAGCAAAATCCGGTTGTTGATGAATACATTGATATATTAAGGCTAATTGATAAGCAATATAGTCATGATATTCCAAGTTTACATCCTGGTACAATCGTGCTGCTGTTACATATAATTGATTGAGCTGACACAAGTTGATCACTTCCTGTTCACCAAAAACAGGTTCATTCAAGACATACTCTGCTGCCTTTGCAAACTTGTGTTGATATCTTTTGATGAGTGATTGATATTGCTGAAGGTCAGAATGAATTAAGGATATTTTATACTTTATCTCCTCCTATTTTTTGTAATTTAATAATAATAATAATATTATTATTATAAAATAAAAAACTCACAGGTATGGATGAACGTGTTTGTTCAAGCCTAGCTGCTCGTTCTAGTAACAGTTCAAGTTGGCCTAATTGTTTTGGCACATGCATTTCATTACTGACATCATTAGCAAAGAGGGATTGGTTTAATTGCAAGACTAATTTAAAGAATGTTTATAAACCTCAAGTTTTGTGCTTTATTTATTACATCTTGCCTGTTGTTGTCAATGAGAAAGGTTGAATGGTCCTTAAAGGTACTGATGTTATTAACTTGCTCATGAATTAAAGAAAGAAATGGAGACCAGGTGACATATGCACTGGACACGTCTAGTGACCTCTATCTTTTTTTTTGTATTTCTAGGACAAGCACTGCTAATAAAGGGCTTGACGTTCTTCAGCGCATAAAAGCACTTTACAAGTTGCTTAATCAATACATTCTCCATAGTCATATTTTGTACAGTACTTGTCCAAGTCATATTGTATATAAAAGAGAGTCTGTAGACAGAGTGACAGCTCACTAATAACTTGGTGTATATCGATGTCGTGTGTTAATCGTTTGCACGTTTCTTTTCTTCTTATTTTACTAAACATCCAGTACTTGTTCAGACTGGAATAATTAGGAAGGCTTTACAAAATTTAATTGAAAGGGAAAAAGGGCTTTTGGACACGATCACTTTTATATGTAATGTTGGTATACAGCGTTACCAAGATATAGGATACCACTGAACGATTACAATATAATTCCCCCTATCATAGAAAAGAAGCTACCTGCGGAATAAAGAAATTTCAACAAGTCAAACAAAGATTTGAAGAAGTAGATAAAGCAGAAGGATCAAACGAAGAAAATGATGTTAAAAGCGCAGATGAAGATATATATGAAAATGCCATGCAATGTATCATCACGTATAAATCAACTAGGCGTAAGATGAACTGAGTTGCTTGCCATAAACGGCTACAAGAAAAAAACAATGCATTTTATTGCAAAATTTCAGAAGTATCGCGTGTGCAGTATGATAGACATATCAAAAGCAAAAAGTAGCGTTTTTTTTTTTTTTTTTTAATTTTAATTCAACCGTCAAAGAGTCAGCTGACTCACTGTTTGAACCATATCACTATCTTAATGAAAACGACAGTTGTCGAAGAGAAGATAAAAAAGCGTAGCCAATAGCTTTTCGAGCCGCGCTTTATTTCCCTTTACAATAAAACATCTGTTTCTTTACAAATGTTTCAGGACAACAATACTCCTCTCTCTTACGTGCCAATCTCGTTATACACTTTATGAGCATACAGAACATTAAAATGATCCGCGTTATTTCTGCTTTGAATGTACACTTTATTGTTTAGGCCTGGGTAATTCTAGTACGTGACCTGGCATCACATATTGAAATTCGTTGTTATCATCTTCAAATTGTACCTTATAATTTCCTGGAGCGTCTTTATTCTAAGGCATGTGAGGCTTTTTTTTTTTTTTGTTGGGAGCGAATGCTGTTATTTACCTTGGAAGGCGGTTCTACAATTCTGGCTTTATAGAAACAGGTCGTGCTAGGATAAAGTGCCAACACATCTTGTCCTACGCTTAATTCAGGGTGCTCCCTTGCTTCATTGATATTAGGTATTGCAATTACATTTCTAGGCTGAAGCATATATCTTCTGTTTGATGGTCACTTATTTGCTCACAATAAATATATTATATACACCTACTGTTTTTGACCAAACTCATCCTGATCCACATCTTCTATTTGGTATCTATAGGAATTATATATAATCTTGTTTTCTCTTCATCTTTGTTTGCTTACTTGTTCTTGTCAGCATGATAGCTAATGACGATAGCCAGTATCCACACTTCATCTTTATCCTTTTGTTGAGGCTGTTTAGCAGCCACTGATGTACCAGGAGCTAATATATTCCTATCATTTTTTTTTTTTGATAAGCTTTCAAATGATGATAGTATACATTCTTGCCTTTACGTCTTTGCTTTCTTCATCATCATCTCATCCTGATCTAATTTCCTCTTTTTCCTTTTTTGGTCGATAACTACAAACAACAACAGCATACACTGTTATCTAAATGACTTCATCTATTCCATTATTTTTTTTTACCATGATTATATTCTGACGCATCTCTTAGGGCGATCAACACTGACACTTTCTCAATGATATCATGGATGATTCTACTCGTCATGTTAATCATAGTTTCTATTATTAGCTCTCTCTCTCTCTCTATCATCACCTTGCTTCGTTATTTGACAGGTCGATCCCTCCTCGGTAATATTCTGTCAATTTTTGATTGATAGATGCTGGTATACCTATAAAAAGTGTTATATAGTGATAGCGGCATATATATTATATATATTACCTTCTTCTGGATTCACTCGCTTATGTATTTCGTTTATATTACTTACAATTATGCCGGTATCTTTTTGAATATTCTCTAGTTTAGAAAGTGCGTTGCAGATTTGTTTCCACAAGTTGACTTCCTCATTTGTTTCGTCAAGTGTTGCTAATCTTGAAGTTCTTGATTTGCGATCCATCATTAAGTGATTGTAACTATAACAAACACACACAAAAGCCAAATAGGAATGAAGGAAGGGGGTATACTTTTTCTTGTTTTCTGTTATAGTCTTCACAGGCTTTACTTTTTTGCTTGTGAATATTTTTTTTATATCTCAGCGCAAGAAAAAAGTCAAGTGGTTCCTTTAAGCATAAAATGATTTTGAATCCCGGTTTACATCTTTTAGTCATCTCTAAAAATAAATCAAACAAATAAAAAAACGGGATCGTCTTGTTCACACACACATATTTAGGCCTAGTTGACATGAATGCTAAAATGGCTATGTTGCTGAAATGAAGACTAAGGATGGGACTATAGACTTTCTAGTCGCGCTTTATTCTCTGTAATAAAATAAAATAAAAAGTTTTTTCTTATTGTTCTCATTACGTTTTTCTAACAGTGCATTCCCTGTGGTTTGGAGACTGGTGGTAGGGATGAGTCTTTAAAAGAGTCTTCTGTACCATGAGAGGGGGGTCACAACATCCTTAGTCTTCGTTCCGACAGCATAGCCAATGGGCACCTGTAACAGCTAGCTCACACTACGTAAAAAAAAAAGAGAAAATTGAGCACAGGTGATAGGTGTCCTTCTATATTTTTGTTCAAAGATGGCACAACAATCTCAACGAGCTATTGATAACTACTGAATGTTTTGAATAGTGAATCAATGGTGACGGCTTTGCTTTCTCCCAACAATGCACACAAGTCTGCATCATAATGAGGGTTGCAAGTAACGGAGTAACCACATTCGGTTACATGGCTCTTTTCAAGACTATAACCGAAAGACTATCCTTAGGCAAAAGATAAGAAATATTTATATATTTGTCTTGATCAACTATGCCGTCAACCAAGACCAAAGGGCCAAAGTCATTAGCATGAAAACAACACCAAATCATCACCTCACCGCCTTCATACTTCTTCGTTGATACAATATGCTTAGCGTCATATCGTTCATCAACTTTTCTGATGATTCTGGCACCACCATCGTTGCCGGTAATGGCAAACCATGATTCATCGCTCCAAATTACGCCAGACCGCTATTCATCAGTCCAGTTAACATGTCCTTGGGCCCATCGAAGCCTTTTCTTCATGTGCTCTTCTGTCAATGTAGGATTTTGAGCAGAAAAGTAAGAACCATACTCCATCCTCTTCAAACTGCTGATAACAGTGTCTACAGACCTCTACATCTACGTTATGCAGCTCTAATCTCAGACGGTCGTATGTTACGAATGGATTATCTCTTATGGTCCTCATAAGCAGTCTCTGGGATCTCTCATTGGTTTTATGAATTCTGCATTTTGGCTTGGTTGGCAGAGGCGAACCAGTCTTCTTTATTCTATCAACTGTGCTTTGTACTGTTGACTTTGGCATTTCGACTATGTTTGCAATGTCGTCATACGAATGTCCTGCTTTTCCAAGGTAATAAATACTTTCTTTCTTAACGAGTTTGATAAGGACCACGTTATTTAATTGATGCGTTTTCAGCAGACATGGATGCTTAATAAAAATTGAAGTTCTTTTAAACACGCATCCATATATACTTAAAAAAATCAATATGCTTGCTATTAGAAAGGAATAAGGATATAGACTTAGAAATTTCTATTATTGTATTACTGAAAATAAAGCGTGGCTTGAAAAGCCTATTGCCACATCCTCAGTCTCCTCTACGTCAACTTTAGAATCCATCTCAATTTCAAGTGAAAATGCTGTAGAATGGGAACCCTGAATTATTGATTAACCAGGGTGCTATTTTTTATGCCCAGAGAGAAAGGGAGAGAGAAAGATTGACACTCTATTTTTAAAATTTTGACAGAAATAGAACACACTAAATGGGTAGATTACACGTCATTGGACTATTTGACATTTACTGATGGTAAAGCAATGAAGTATGTATATACGTAACGATACTAAATATGAGGCCAAAGCTTCGGTGGATGATTTCAGTCTTCTTTAATAGAAGTTCAATGAAGAACTGTAAATTCACAAAGATGTATCTCTTTAGTTTAGAAGAAAGATGAATCATGCAACCAATGACATCAAGAAAGATATACCTAAACTAGAACCTTCCGATGGTTACTCTAAGGTATTCGAAAACAAAGTCTCTCTATATGAAAAGAAAAAGCAAATCTTTACAGAACATTTAGTAGACGTCGTACAGTTCATCTCATGGTACCGCAAACACCCTTAGTCTTGATCTAACCCACCCAATAAAGAAAGCGACAGAAAATTGGCAAGACACAGCTCGGAAAAGGTACACAAGGAACAATAGAATTTTTTATTATTATAGAAAATTTTTTAAACAACGAATGAACAAGCGCGGTTCAGAAAAAAAAAGAGCAAGTACCACATATTTTGGTAACCGTGTGATTTCGGATTATTGTTTGTAAACATTCTGTAGACTCTATAAAATTGATTCAATAGCATTTAAACTAATTTGGCAAGTGTTTTTATTCATGCTCACTTGTCATTTTAACGTAATTGAATTGACAACCCTTTTTGTAGAGAAAAACCATCAGGAGACAAAACACATTTAGAAATGTTCTTTTTATAGAGACAGAAACGAGTTATCGAAAAGAAAGAAACACGTGTCCTCACGCATCGATGTTAAAATAGTCATTGTGTTGCTTCTTTAAGGAAAGAAAAAAAAAAAAACGCCTATTCGGAAATTAAGCAAATTGTGCCTTTCATAGGCTCCGCTTTTAAAAAATCATAAAAATAGCGTATATAAATATCAGTCTTTTGGTTTTTTATATTTCCTAAAAGCATTCTGTTTCTTTCTCCTTTTTTTTTTATTGTAAATGAAATCTCTATCATTTATTGCTTTTACCTTTATAGCAGCAGTCAATGCTGCTAATGTCACATTCAAGGTCATTGCTCCTTCTGCCAAAAGCTCTGTTCAGGTCAACGTGAATGGTTCACTGACAGATCTTAAGGCTAAAGACCCCGATGTTCCTCTATACATTGGCTCTGCCAATTTGGATGATGGTCAATCGTATAAAGTAAAAAGAAATGATCATAATTATGCCCTGCATTATTAATATTTTTTTAATTTGTAATTTAAACATGCATAGTATGTCGTTGACGGTACTGCCGAATCATTTGATCGTAAATTAAATGGAACATCAACAAAGAACGAGTTCTTTGAGCGTCCTATTACTTATGCTACTCACATTCCCGAATTACCTAGCATTCTTCAGGAAGGTAGCTGGACCCGTGGTGCAACGGATGATCCTATCTGGGATAGCAACTATATTCCTACCATCTTTGTTACCGGACAACAAGAGCAAATGAATGATTTAATTGAGAATGTGCCCAAAACGACTTATCAAGCAAAAATTACTTTTATTGGTCCAGACAATGTCACCACATTCGAGGTAAAACAAATTTATATCGGATATTTTTTCCTTGTTACTGATCAGGTCTGATAGAACTGTACATTTGGTCTCCATAGACCAGGTCGTAAGCACAATGATGCTAAGCAATCTTGGATTTGGGCTCTTCCCGAAGGCCAATTCATGGCTAAGCGTAATTGGTTCAAGATTAGACATATGGAAGAAGACCCTACTCAGTTACGTGAAAAGCTCTATGCTGATATTGCTCGTAAAATGGGTACCTATGCTAATGAAGCCAACATGATTCGATTCTTTATCAATAAGGAAGGCATGGGAACCTTCAATATGCTTGATGATGTCGTTATGTACTCATACATCAATGCCATGTTCTACAATGGTAATACTCCTGAACAGTTTGGTGGTCTTTATGATGGTGCCTCTGGTGCTTCCTTCCAATATCCTGGTAACATGGACAGCTTCGTTCCTAATGTTGAATCTCCTCTTGATCAAGATGCCTTGATACCCTTCGCCAAATCATTTGCTAGCGTTGATTTCTCCAACGATGATCAAGTAAAGGCTATCTCTGAATACTTTGACTACGACCAATTCCTTCGTTTCATGGTTTTGGAATTCCTTACTGCCGATTGGGACGGCTACTGGCAAGAACAAACTAACGATGGTGCCTATATTGATGTTAATGACAACAACAAGGTCTACTATCTTGCTCAAGACTTTGATGCCACCTTTGGTGTCAACCTCGATCAACCTCGTGAATTCGTAAACACACCTTACACCGATTTCCCAACCAAGTTCCCCAATGCTGTTGTCATTAACAACCTCCTCAAGAACCCCTCAATCAAATCTACCTTTGAAAAGTACCTGACAACGACTGTTCAAGAAATCTTTAACAATGCCACTCTCGGCCCATTTGTCCTCGCTCGCCACGAATTCTACGCTCCTGATCTCAAATGGGACCGCTCTATCAAGCAACGATCTCCCGGTAATATCTTTGGTTGGACCTTTGAACAAACTTATGACAACTTGTTTGAAGGTGTCAGTGCTTCTGGAGGAACTGGCGGTGGCGCTGAATGGGGTCTTCTCGAATGGGTCGCTGCCAAAGAAAGTGCTGTCAGAAAGGCTCTCAACTTGTCTCAGAAGGTAGCCATTGCTGCTGCTTCTGAGCCTCCTGCTGCAAGCTCTGTTGCCAAGGCACCTGTCTCCTCTTCGCCTGTCGTATCCTCTTCATCATCTCCTGTCCCTGGCAAGACTAACAAGGCACAGGCTGTCCCTGCCAACGTCAACAAAGAAGCAGCTAGTGTCACCTCATCTGCACACAAGGTTGTGCCTCAAATTCTTTCTGTTATGAGCATTGCTTGTGCTTTGTTTCTTTTTTATTAGATGATATCATCCACTTTTAATTATCAAATCTGTAATATAATAATAAAGTAGCTCATAGTGTACTGAAATGATAGCACCATTATGATCACCACAAGTTGGTTTCATATTTAGCGTTTCTGACTTTCGAACAATCTAAAATAAGACGATTGGAAGTCGAACGTACTATTTTTAGATACGATTGTTTCTATACTTTGATTGTGTTCTACAAAAAGAGTCCATTCTACTTACAAGGACTATTTTTACACTTGAGTGTGTCAATGACGGTCTTTTGTTTTCTTTAATAATAAATAGCAATCCTACAATTTCTATTCTTGATTTTTATTTCTTTGACATAATCAATAATGCATAGCCTGACTTTTTAACGCGAATTGGTAATAGATGTAATAAACCAATCACATCAATGATAGCCTATTTACCGTTTCACATGATGGTTCTTCTCATTACCTTTGCTGTCATAATCACGTTTAAGTATTGTTACACTTGCTCATGGTGGGATACATTCATGGTTGTGCAATAACATGTATTGGCAATTTTTGATACCATGGTCTTTAGAAGATTATCGTGTGATTCCTTTGATTCATTGGGAAGGGTGATTTTCTTATATAGCCGATATTGATTCATTCTCTCCTTGTCAAGACAACAAGTTGCTATGGTTTCCCTGGGCGAGACAGTTGAAGGGTACAGCTGGCAAGACAGTGGCTACAAAGTTAAAAAACCATTATTTTTTCTGCTATTCCTTTGAATTCTGGAAATAATTGCTAGCTTATGGTCAAGATTATTACCCTGATTGAGTCTCTCACCAAGAATATCAGCCAAAATAAACTTATCCTCAGCCAACAAAAGAATATGCGCAGCTCTTTACTCTAATGGTAGAATCTCTTATGTTGTTCGCAACTCCTTCTTGTAAAAGTAATTGTATTAATAATACTCGACTTCTTTTGAGTAATTGTAAGGTGTTATTTTGTCGCCAAGGTGTAGAAATTGAAATCGCTACAGCTCCAGATAAAGTACATATTGATGCAAGCATCGAACTGGGACCTATGAGCCAGTGCAACGCACCAAGGAATCTGCTGAAGTCAAGGTTGATTGATTATGTGTATCAAGAATAAGATACATGGGTAACATTTATGCTATTGCACTCAAAGCGTAGCTTACGCAAGTCTTTGTTAAATATTGTTAGTTTGTGAGTAGACAACGACTACCTTACAGGAGAGTCAAATACATTCAACGATTTAAGGCGAAACCACTCTGGATACGTCAATGTAAAAGGTGATGGCTTTTGTGGTTACCGTTGCTTAGTCCATTCTGTGTACGGTGATGAAGCAAGATTCTGGGAAGTAAAGATGAAGATGCGCGACACCTTGCTGCAGAATAGCGATTTCTTCAAAGACACCTTTTCAGACTCCATTTTATATGACAATCTGAAAAGTAGTGTTTGTTACGCTATAGATGAAGAAGTAGGAAGCAAAGAAATTAACTGGTCAAAACTTTATGACTATACTCAGCAAAACGTCATAGTTCCTGCCCCTGTTTCCTGTTGGTTTTTCGCCCCTAGCTGCGTCTGACTTGCCGCTGATACATTTAGACGCCCTATAGCTGTATACCCAGAAAATGAGTTTGGCAGCAGTCCTCCAGCATTGTTTTTTCGTTGCTGAGAACTGACAAATTTCATTGTACAATTGAAGGATCTGAGGCAACTCTACCAACACTGATAATATTACAAAAAGTAGGGTGCAGCCACTTCATAACATTCAATTTAAAAAAGCAGAAAAAAAAATGCTATAGCCAAGACCCCAGTTAAGCATGTGGGAATGTGCTTGCAACAAAACGGGAAAAATAGAGAGTTACAAGCGCTCTAACTGGAGTAGAAATCTCTACTTTGTCCCAAAGACTAATTTTTCTTTTACATTTGTAAATAAGCTGTATAACTATCTCTTCATAGCTCTACAAAGTTATTGGTAATATATTGTTGTGTATAGTAACAATTAGCACATTGAGAGTGTTGCTGATGGTATAAAGGTGCTCTAGCAGACAATTTCTCAAAAAGATGCTTTATCTTAATGAAACTGAAAAAACATATCCTTTCCCTAAAGACCAAAAGCCCGTTTTGACAGTGTCCTTCAGCCTATCGCTTTTCACTAGTGATCAGAGAGGTGACGTTTAGTAGCTCTCTTTGTTTACATAACAGCAGTCGAAGCATTTCTTCATCGCCTTCAATGTATTAAAGGCCGCTTAACTTTGCTCAAAAATGTAAATGGAGAGTATGAAGACTACGTTTGGTGGAGATGCTTGTCAATTGGGAGAAAGCGCTGAATTTTTAATTATCTTTGGCCTCTTTTCGTACTAGTGTAGTCCTTACTACACTCTCTAATACGTTTTATAGTTTAGTTTATTATTCAAGCATTGTGATGAAGCATATGTGAACATAAAATATGCTTGATCTATAAGAAATCCGAAACTATTCTAAGAGTAAGGTTGCAATAGGCAAAGATCAACTGAAGAGGTGGCATTTTTAGTCCGAGCTAGCGGCATACTCTGTTACTATAAAACTCTCGTGCAGAGTAAAAATGTTTGCATAAAGAAAGAATGCTCTGCTGTGGCGCTTAAAGTGCTCAAGAAGTAAGGATATAACATACAGTGTAAATTAGATAGCCAACACAGTCTTTCTCATTTGCAGATGTTAATCCAAATTTACACTATTCTAAGCTTTAAATATCGTAAGAATGCCTTCATACTTGTAAATCACGCTTTTTACAAAGGAAAAAGAAGAAACAAACAGGGGCCTTCGGAAAGAGACATTTTCGCTTTTCTTGGCGTTGGTGCACCAAAGTACTTCTTAGATCCAGACAAGCCCAAAAGAGACCACGGTCAGAATGACGATAGAATTACTGTGTTATGAATGGCGTGATGCGACGTATAGAGAGGCGATGCGTGGCACGTTGTAGGAAGTGACCATTTCGGATATACGTCTGGTTAGGGTATTCGGTTGAACCAGGGTTGTTCCTGAGTACAACCGCCATGGAAACAAAGGGATAACACAGCAAAAGAGAATAGGGTAAAATAAAAATCAATGAGCAATTAGTCGTAAATGAGCCATGAACATGTCTTCTTTTAGGTTATTGGAAATATTATGCATAAACTACCCTTGATTTCTCTACATTTGCAAACTCTTTCAAAGAGTGATCCAAGTTGACCGTGCAACCACAGAGATGGATGGTCTGTGTTCTAGTTACAATGAGTAACCATCGTGCGAAACGAGTATTCATTACGAACGTTGTGATTCTTTTCTTAGACACCAATAGAAAATGACAGTAACCAACATCCTGTCGCATAAAAATTTAAGCTGATTTAGGTATAATAATAAAAAGTACTATAAATTTCCATATGTAGGAAGTACCCAAAAGAAGGGTTTCGATCGCTATTATGGCAATGTTTAATCTGCTGTATTTTACATGACTAGTTTTTGAAATAAAAGAAGATGATATCTTTTATGTATAAATGGTGTTGGCGCCAATGTTAACGTAGTTCGATAAATGCTAGCTCTTGTGGCACAAACAGTGAATGTGTACTGTAAAACAAGGAGTAACCGTTACGACATACTAAGCAAGTAAAAAGAAAGGACTGGATCTTATCTTATCGTGAGAGAAATAACACTTGAGTTAATGAGAGACAAAGTGTTAATGGGTATAATCTGGCAGTCAACTGTCCCTTGATCTTTTTACGAGAAAAAGAAAGTGATACTCCTTTTATGGTCGAGAAAATACAGGGGTAAAGAAAAACGGCTCTTTGTGTGAAACACCTAGGGATGGACTGCCGAATTGCGTCTAGACAGCGAATGAGAAATTTATATATAAAGGAGGGATGTTTTTCAGCATTTTTCAAATCATTATCATTCAAACAAACCAATCAATCAGGGTAATTGATTCTATTATAGGGAGTGTGTATATTATATTAATCACTATGCTACAGTCTTCTTTTTTTATCATGCGTTCTATCATTGCTATCATCTTCTTCTGTCTTGTTGCTGCAGTTGTTGCTTTTCCCTCTGACCCTCGCCCCATTTGCTCCAAAAATGTGGTTTGCCCTGTCGGTTTCAAGTGCCAAACCGAAGAAGCTACTGGAGACTGTATCTGCTGTCCTCAATGTGCTCCACCTGGCCGATCCGATCTTCGTTGCAAGATTCCTTGTAGAAAGTGTACCTTTAAAGACGAATAACAAACTTTCATATTTGATTTAAAATGCACACTTAATTTGCAAAATCATTACTTTTCTCCCCCTTGCATTATTGTTCTTTTATTTTTACTATTATAAAATAAAGCAATTAATTTGACATCTGTATTTATCTGCTTACTATTTTATCTGGTTGCTGTATTCAACCGTCAAAGGGAGATTGACTAGGCTGAAGGATGCGCATCCACTGTACTACATTAACCGGTGATCGCTTGGAAAAGGACCAAAAAAAGAAAAAACATCAGAGTAGACGCCAGGTACATTCTTCTCATTGGGTAAATGGACACCTATCGTTATTTACTATTTTCAAAGTTTATTTGTTATTGTTTATCTGTTAAAACATAGAAGCTGACGAATGTTTACCAATGTGTTCATCGAGAGCTATATTTAAAAAATAGGGAGATATGAATGCTTATCGTCCCGTTTCTTTGTGTTGGGGATCTTCCAGTGTAATATGTATATTTTGCCCCTTAGAGATAGATTCTGTAGAATTAGTCGTACTTAACGGAGATGAGCTTAAAATTATTCCTTGAGCAGAAAATGACAAGATAAATATATATGTTGTCATGGTCATCCTTTACAAGGGAACGTATTATAAAAATGTCCGCAAGCGCTTGTATGAGATGAAAAAGGTAAAGGAACCTTGTTGGCTTTCTGTCGGTGGGGAAGCCAGGTCGCTTTCAGTGATATGTTTATGACTTTGAACAAAGGGAGGTTATGTGCAAATAATGACATTTAATTTTTTTACACCTCAAGTCAATGTCTATGTGTAAGCATCAAATAAAGTGACTCTTTCCCAGGCAATGCCTGATAATGAATCAGCTATATTACTTAAGATTCTTTATGCTTACTGAGTTACTTGTAATAAAGAAAAGCAATATTGATAGATTTCCAATCCGCAAACGCCGCATACAACAATGTTTATCAGTTTAATATATGACATTGACCTATGCTGAATGATAGCATAGGATACTGTTACTGAAAAGTGATTAAATAAAGCACAGGAATTATCAAGCGATTATGTAATTCATAAGTTTCTATAACACAATATAAGGGATTCCATAGGCATAAATTCAATTAATCTGGATATGCTGATTTAAATAGCCAGATCAAGAAAAGAAGAAAAGTATGCTGACTTTGAATTGTAAAACTGTCAATTCGTAAAGCCTTTCATTGTTATCTGATATAATAATACAATAACTTTTCTATTATCCTCTTATTTATTATCTGGATACTCTTTATTATTTTACTTTCAAAACAAACGCTTCATTTTTTTAACAACAAATTGCAAACAAAAGTGAGTCAAATATGGGTAAAAGTTTCAATTTTTATCATTGTAACATTTTTTTAAACTAAGCTTTTGTTAGTCAACAGATCAGAAAACTGTTCGCCCTGTCAAACATGGTGTATGTCAAGACTAATGCCTCTACTGTCGCTGCTTCAAATAGACAAGAAAAGCTACTAACCTCTTGTTATTAGGGCTTTCATTGATAGATGATAAACAATTGTAGCTGAGCTATCAATTCAAGATCCGGAGTGTGATCGTTACAAGGATAAAGGTTTTATCACAGATAAAAAAAGAAAAAATATACTTTTTTCCTTTCAGTTATCTTGTTAATCATATATTTTCTTTGTTTTAAATTTATTTAAAGCAAAGAAAAATAGCGATTATATGTTTCTTCTTCTTTAGATTTGTAAATAGATCATGAAACTAGAGTATTATACCAAGGCGATACGTGCCATCAACCTATTTTTTGCACAGCAAGTACCTGCATATGTTCATAATCTACCTAGTATTAGACAGTATCTTGTACGATGGACACTGAATATACTATATTTTGCCATTGGATTACTATTCAATTGGGCAGTTAGTGCCGTGCTTCGTCAAATGCCACATATGCATCAATTCCCTTCAAACGTCGCAGGCATGATCGTGGTCTTCTTTTTGCTCATCTGTGCTCATACAATCCTTCCGACATACACCGACAAGTTTGTTCAATTGATAGACCCTTACTCTTCTTTTGCTCTGAGAAGTATGAATATCATGTTTGTACCTGCCGTAGTCGAAATGGTACAAAACTCACCAACACCTGGTCCTGAAGTAGGCAGGATGATCTGTGTCTTCAGTAAGTGACATTTGAACGGCATCCTTTTAATGCATATCTCACATAACGATTATAGTGGTCGGGTACTTTATCGGATTCATCATCACAACCCTCTTAGTTCGCGCCTCTCGCTTCTTGATCTTTTATCTTTTCAATCTTGGCAAAGAAGCTTCCATGTCCAACCCGCTCTCTGGGGAAAAGGCCGAAATGCATACCAACAGGATATTGAAGGAAGAAACTGTAGCAATCGATATACCAGAAGCCATCAGACAAGAAGCAAACGAACTTGTTATCGTACCATCGAACGATATGCGAAACATATCGGGTGATGCAATCTCTTCAAATACAGTAACCGATCGCTCTTCGTATCTGGATAATCATGTACACCATCACGGCTGTTGCTGTAGTAACAGTTCTGCTCAAACGTATATTGCTCCCTCCAAACATAGACATGGTCCACTACATAGCTTTGCTGTATGGTGCATGAAGGAATCCAACTTTGACGACCTTTCCTTCTTTCTGATATTTTGCTTTTGTGCTTTTATATTCCTACCGCTTCCCGAAAACAATCCGGCTATGCCCTTCTTTAGGCTCTTTCTTTATTTATCAATGACTGTTCTTCTATATTCCGCATCCTGTAGGCTTCCACCAAAGCTTCGTATTATCTTCCATCCTATCATCGTCACATCTGCTGCCGTTATGGCCGGTATTGCTTATTTTGAACGTGTCAAGGGGTTCGATATCATACACGGTGTTGGTCTGTACAAGAGTGGGATCACATTTATCTCTCTGGTCGAGAAGACTCATGTTGGCTGGCCAGGTGCCGGTGATATATTGGCAACGACAATGGACGTTTCCATCATTTCATTAGCATTCAATGTATACAAAAACAGGCCAAGCTTGGTTTGCCAGGTAACACCAAAAAAATGAAATAATATTTGCTCCTTTAATCGCTCATTTGTTTCTCTTAGTGGATCGTTGTTATCATCTCTATCGCTCCTGTTGCCTTTTTAGTCATGTTCATTACACCAATGTTTGCTCATGCTATTGGCTGTACACCCGATGATAGTCTTGTTTGGAGCTCTCGATCAGTGACAACCGCGATTGGTATCGTTATCGGTCGGGTCTTAGGAGCAAATCAAAGCGTGGTTACATGCATTATTGTCTTTACTGGGATCATGGGTCCTATCTTTGGTCCTATCTTGTTCAAGATCACTCGAGTGAAAGAAGGTAAAGGACTAGTTGCTATCAATGTAAAGCGTTGCTTATTTTTTATAGATGATTACATGACAATTGGTATTACCATGGGAAGTCATTCTCATGGCGTTGGCACAGCATATCTCATAAGTAAAAATCCAAAAGCAAGTGGTATGTCCTCTATTGCTTTTGCAATATTTGGTACTTTAGGCGTTGTTGTAGCATCTATTCCAGCTCTCTCAGATACCATCAAAAGACTATCAGGATTCTAAAATTTTGTAGATTACCATAAAAAAAAAATAAACAATTTATGTATTAATATGAATTAGAATAACCAACTGCCCACGACGTTTCGAACAATATCTCGTTTTCGCTTTCCACCTTCCGTTTGCTCTCCACTTGCACCAGCTAGCAGATCGCCAAGACTCCACTGCTTGGTAGCATTCTGTAAAAGGCCTTGCCAGTTGGATGCTGACTCTGTATTGGTTTCATAGCGGTCTGCATCCAATTGTGCCAAATCAATCTGACTTGGCTTTGTTGCATCCAACTCACGCCACGCGGCCAGCACGTCTCGTAAATGCTCGGCAGGACTTAGAGACATTGCCATTGACAGCACATTTAATCTTCTACTCACATCGTCAAATGACTTTAGCTTGCCCAAGTTGAAACAGATCTGCCAAGCAGTATGGTCCACTTGATCATTATACGCCCTGGAATGCTTGGTTGACTTGTTCAAAGCCATTTCCACTGCAATTTGACAAAGTTTGTAAGACTGTAAATAGTCTTCTTCCACAAGCGCAGCACTGGCCAACATAGAAATCGCCTTCACCTTTGCAAGCGTGTCGCTCTCATTATATCCCAATCTTGTCACAAGCTGCAAAACTTTTTCGTGATGGTTGTAAATATCTCGTTTCATGTTTAGAAGTTTGGATATAAATTCCAGTCGATCATTAGATTGTCGTATTTGAATTGGCATTAAACTAATTCCAGGTTGATATTGCACCCTATATTCTGCAATAAGTGTATGAGCAGCTTCGATTAGACCTATTTCTTTTTTTATTTGTGTTGTAGGAGGAAGGACCTTGAGGCAATCCCAGGCTTGCTTTAAATCACCAGAATACATGTCTCCTGATGTTGCATTATCAAAGAATTCTCTTTCGGCGTCTATGACTAGTTTTTCAGCTTTTGTTATATCTATCAGCTTATTTCTTCCTAATATCAATTCTTTGGCAAGCTTAAATCCTATATAGAATGTGAACTAATTATCATTCTCCCATTCTTTTTATTTGTTACTTGGTATCACTTACGTCCGCATCTTAATAATGAGCTAAAGAATATCTCCAAAACTTCCTCAGAGTCCAGTTTTCCAAAGACACCTTTTCCGTCATCTTGCAACCGAAGCATATCATCGAGCAATTCGCGCCAATCATCGTCTTGATCGAAGCGAGCGCCTCCTGATTCTACACCACCAGCTGCCTGACTTGCTATACGTATACATAACTGTCGCTGTGAACTGACTGGCTGATCTTCCAAGTACCAACGGAGAGGTACATACGTATGGTATCTAGCGAGCATCTCAGCTGAACTAAGGTGACCTTGCAGGGTATCCATCATCTTGGTCAGACCAAAGGGTCCGGCTTCTTGAAGCGCCGTAAATATGCCTAGGGGAGTGCTTGCGTATGGTAAAATGGTTGCCATATCTGTTACTTCCGTATCTTGCTGAGGGGTATCTGGAAAGATAGGAAGACATTCAAATAAACGCACCAAGTATTCCATATGTGAGCCATCACTGGAATAGATAATAGAAAGAACAAGCCTGGAGAGGTCAAAGTTGTCCTTGATCACACGATCTTCAGTTGCCAAAGTCGGTTTTGAATGCTCACAGATCAAGCAGCATCGGTCAAGATGATCGGGAGTTGCTTGTGTACCAAGCAACCATCGATGCAACAAGAATTCTGCCTTTTCCTCATCCTCGTATTCTTGTATTTTTCTGCTCTTACATACTTCGATCCATGGCAAGGCAAGTCGAAGCATATCATCTATGATTGTCTTTGAGCTTGTGTTGTGCAATAATCCTTCCAACACTTCATAGTTTGATAACTCTCGAAATTTACTCAAGTTGATGAATCTACTGTCGTTGGAATAGTAGACATATTTACATAGCCACTCATACTCTGCTAGCTCAGATTCTATGCCAGTGACTCCCATCACTTGGGCGTATCGGCTAATCTCTAAAGCGTGGGTGCTCAAACCAATAGCATCTGCTGCATCAGCACGTTCCATATACCAACCAGCAATGACTTTCAGAGAGGTCGGATAGTCTGTAGATTGAATATTATCGTGCAGTGCTTTTAAATAGGCAGCCTCTTCTGGCACATCAAGTCGGATCAAATCCTGTACCCAATCCTGCTCTACAATATCCAAATCTGATCTCCAAGGCTCCTGTAACCATGGATCTTCGTGATCATTCGTGACGTGAGGTAAGTCAAAACTGCTCGGATCGGCTGTCTCTGGTATCTGTGAAAGAATGAATAGTCGGTAGGGAAGAAGCTGTTTGCCATGATGCATAAACAATGCATCAAGTATAATATTATTCCCTTCTCTAGCTGATTCGATAGCCAAAGCAATCAAATTGCAATCACGAAACTGACTATAGACCTCAGCAAAAGATCCTTTGTCGATTAAGCTTGACCATATCTTGATCATAGTTTCTAAACGGTCCGAGTATTGCAAAAAATAGTGTCGCGTTCGTAGCCAAGTGAGTTCTTGTGTCGTTGGTGTGTATTGTGGATCGAGTTTTGCTACAATCGCCTCTGTCTGCTTCATGGCACATTCTTTTCCTAGTTCAATAATCTTTTTTTGCACATTGGGTTCATCCACCACTGTATTTAAGCATTGAACAGCTACCCAAGCATCATCGTCTTTCACAAGCGTCAATAGTTCAAGATCGCTTTCTTGAATGTGTGTTCCTTTCTGTCTTGATAGCTGTGACCATTGTGCTTTATAAATGACTGTTTTGTCAAGGTTGAGTTCTGTAGCAAGGTCAAGTGCTGCTTGGTAGTTGCCCTGATTTAAATGAATGAGAATGCTTTGAGTTGATGACTGGTCCATATTGCCCGAGTTCAGACAAGCTGTAAAAAAAAAAGAAAAAGAAAAAGACCGCTTTTGAGCCCGCGCTCTTTATTATGCTGTATTTATCTGAATGCAACAAGGCTTACTACAACGAATGTAAAGTCATGGACCAAAGCTTCCCTTCAGTGCGTCGTTTCAAATTATCTGTTGATCCAATTCTATGGATACTCATAATCCATCAAGAGTGTAGTCGCTGTATTTGTTAGCGGCCTTGGCTGGCTGCTTGGAAGGAGACCACGACAATGTTCAAAACACTTTACTTGTATGTTCAACTGGCCATACGTCATTGAATGCTGTCAGATGCATCAGCGATTATACCTCCAGATCTTCAACTTGGGTCCTCTGCCGTTTCTTCTCAACAAGCTTCTTACGAATCCTCGCGTTTCTCCAAGGTATGCTGACTCTTGGTGGTTTTACTGGTCAACTATCTGCTTTATTCTCTCTGAAATAGAACAACCTTAACACGGCTACTTCCGCCAGGAAGCCAACTCTCCGGATGGGCGTTTCACCCATTGGCTCGATGGGACCAGACAATCTTTAGCCTCGATCGCCTTCTAACTACATTACACCTTTTTTTTACCCCTGTGCACAAAAGGATTTATTTGTTTCCTTTACAGCCCTTCTGGCCTCGTCTAGGCGGCTTTTTTATTGCGCTCTCATTAAAACGTAATATTAAATAAAACACATTATTTTTAAGATTAAAATTCAACAAAATAAAGGGACTTGGCCTGAGTGAAACAAAGTATAGCCTTAGAAAGGCATTGAAGAATAGCCTGCTTCAAATATTCCTTTACGACCAGAAGCCATGATATCCATTATTGATTAACTGCAGTTTGGAGAAACTCTTGGGCATGGTGAGGTGAAGGTTGCCGAACCAACATGCAATAAAGCAGGCTTATGCATGGGTTTGGCAAAAATTGCTTACTTTAGCAAAGAAGACATCGATTGCTGCCTCCTTGAGTCTGCAATTGCATTTCAAGTCCATGGTAATTCAATTTCCTTGTATCTATATGCATACATTTGCGCTTGACAGTGACTAATTTGTAAATATAGGGTTTGCTATAATCTTTTACCTCACAAAGCTCGATCATGACGGGTTTTATACAATGCATGAAATTGGCCACCTCGACTTACCTTCTTTGGCCACTTTGGCTTACCTTCTTCTTTGGCGCAGCTTCCTGCATTCACAAACCTGAAGAATATACATATCTTACTACTTATATATATATATATTTTGGAAGCTTTGCAAGAAGTCAGGCACGTCAGATCTAATCGAACAAAGATATCGATTATCAGTACAGCTTACTGACTTGATCGATCTGACAGATCCAACGAAAGATAGAAACCGCAATTGCTCAATTCGATTCTAATAATGCTAATGTGTATTTTAAATAAAACATGTTAAAGCTCATTGAAGCAGATAATCACATAATTGATTGCTTGTTTTTTAATTGACTCTCATATAACATTTATTTTTATTTTTTCCTTTTTTCTCTATTTCCAATCACTACTCCTGCATTACTTGATGAACGCTTCTATGATAATTATTAGTTATTTGTATAAATGAGCAGTTTAACCGCATTACCCTTCCTGTATTTGTTGTTATTCCTGCTCCACCTTTTTGTAGTTTAACCTTGTGTTCCATTTCCGTTTTATCGACTAGTTTCTTTAATTCAAACATGCTCAAAATAGAATTTTGCAAGTGTTCAAACTTTTGGCAGATAATAGCCGTTGGCATAATGGGCCTTGGTCCTATAAAAGAGAGGAATAAATCATCATGACCACATACTTCTAATGATCGTTTACCAATTCCTAATTCTTCTAGTGTCTTTATCATCTTTTGTTGCATCGCCGGTTTGACTATAGGTAATTTCTGACTTCGCACATAAACACCTGGTGTAAGTTTTTCTCGTTTAATCTCGGGTGGCGGTTCAACAACGTCCATAGTAGCAGATGATAGTTTTCTTCCCTTCTTCATTTCTTCTTGCAACTTTCTCTTTTTCTATATACCGGTAATTAAACTAAATCAGTCCATCCTTTTATTAAAACAATGCTTACCTTCATGTCTGATGATATACTTGATGCTGTGCCACCTGTAATTCCGATGCTTCCAGGTGAAGAGAAATTGTTTGCATGATTAGCACTCAATGGTGTATTTGGTGTGGATGGAATCTGTTGAATCTGTTCCAGTTGCAATGAATTCAATAGACTTTCTCTCTCTTTGGCCAACTTGGATTCATTCAATTCGATTCTCTTTGCTTCAACTAATAATGCTTCTTCTTCCTCTACTTGTTCTTTCTTTCGATTAAATAGCATAATCAACGCATTCTTTCTTTCAATTTCTCTAGATTTATCAAATGCATATTGTTGTGCAAGTACTTGTCTATCATAATCTCCTGTAGTGGGTCCTTTTCCATTTAAAATGAGTTTTCTGTAGATTGAATAAAATCTATCCTTTAAATCTTCCATTGTTCTCTGTTTATTCTCATAGTTGTATCTATCTTCAATCACTGGGAATCTCAAGTCATACTTTTTACATAATTCAAATAAATAATCTGTCTCTTCTTTACTCCAATCATTATCTATTATTATAGTTAATATCAGTCTTGGATCATTTATGAGAATAGTCAACCTGTCAAGTATTTTTCATAGTCCTCGTCTGTATATTGAAGAATGTCAATCGTCTTGTTGAACTTTGCAAATTCATAGCCTATTAGCACATATTAATGAATTGTTTAATTATCCTCTTCCATCAGTACCTTGATTGTCTGCCTCACTTTGCTTCACCCAATGCTTCAGCACTAATCCATCGTTTCTGGCTGGATTGATAAATTCTTGATGAATCCTAACCACACTTATTTCAATAAGCTGCATGAAAAAGAAATCAATATATTACCATGGTGTTGCCCTTTTGTTTGTTTGAAATTTAGATTTAAAAGTTGGTTTTACAAATGCAACAGGTGGTGCTCCTCCAATGAGCTGGTATAATTCTCTACTAATACCCTCTAATAATTTACTTTATTAATCAAATATTCAACCACAATAATTTACTTTGTCCTAACCTGGCCTCTTTTCTGTAGCTGGTTTGAGCTTTTTTTGAATTGGTTCCTTGGGTGGACTGATCTGCAGTATATCGCGAATATCTGAACTGGACATGAAAAAAAGAGAGAGAAACAGAAAACAAAAAAATTTCCTTTTTGGTTTATATTTCTGGAATGACGTACAGTATTAAGCAAAAATTAGGTTTTTAGTGTTTAGCTTCTCTACAGCCAATACCAAAGCGAAGAATAAATCTTATGCTTAAGCAGTAGAGGCAGCAACAAAAATGTTCCTGATGAACAATCACAACATACCTTCACATAGTTATGATGTTTCTGTTTGGAGCACATTACAGACTTGATTCTACAGAGCGTCTGGAACTAATGAAGCTCTGCTGTTCGACGTTTCCGCTGTGATAGGGAAATACATTGATCGCCAGAGTATGGTTCTTCTTAAGGAGCAATACCCTAATATTTACGCATGTGCATCATTGACTGACAGACCTCGCCGTTATCTATACAACCTCACCCTAGAAGTGCAGCCGAGCATGTCTACCTCGAACTCCCCTCAATAATTATGCGGAATAATATCATATACTGCTATGTCTCATTGAATGCTAATAGTCTGATCGAATCCAATTCTTTACAAACACAAAAATACTATATAAGACATCTACGACTACAAAAATTTGATATAGTATGCTTCCAAGAATCTCGTGTTTCTGCACTCGACTCATGACGCGTCAGGCCTCAGCTTCAACGTTTGAAAAGATAAACGGATACTTATCAAGTAATAACAAATTATCAGCTAATGCAAACGAGTATTACTATGTCGAAGAGTTAGATATTAGCCTTTGCTTTCATAACTCTTGAAACTTTGTTCAAGATCTTGTAGTCTCCAAATCTTTTTTAACATTTGAAAATCATGTTCCACGCATGTTAGCCATGTCATCTATTCTTCTTTGTAAAAATGTTGAACGTGATCATGAGAACTATTTCCTCAATTTCACTAATAGACTTGGTCAAAGAATCTTTGAACCTATCAATAAAGGTGATAGTAAGTTTTATCGTATTTCTACTTTTATATTATAGAAGACTACATCCTTTTTCGTCAAATAAACGATATATTTCATACACAAGCCAAAATTACAATACATCATATTAAGCCCATAGATTCATGCACTTAATATAGTTCATAAGATGTAATTGGTTGACAACGTTTGTTTTTGTTTATTTAAAGGTCATTCTCCCTTTTTGCCATGAACCTTTCTCTTTTTCTCTTTCTTTCTCTGCTAATAATGTGACTCATTCAGTCTAATTGTATCAAAACTTCATCAAATTGTAGTTTATCAGCAAAGCTTTTTCGTAAGAAGATGTATACAGCTTATCGTATGCGCTCTGGATGTCCTTCTCAACACATCGAATCAAAATACAGCAAAGGAACACAAGCTTTGCTGCAGGTATTTGCTGCCGATACTGCAAGCATTTTTCGACGACTTTCACTCGGAGAATCCCGTGATGTTCGACTTTACAGACGAGCTCAACAAGGAGTGTAAGTCAAACATCTCCTTCACACAGCGTAGGCCAGATGGCCATATATTCCTGGGCGTGAGGAAAAGAAAACTTTCGGCTATGTTGAGGTGAAGGACATGACCACGGGCAACAACCATAACAAGGTCAACTTAGATCTTGTAAGGCTAGGAGTCTTTTGCAAGAATGCATTGGATGTTCATGAAAGTCAAGGAAAAATCGCCATCCAAGCTGTTGGGGGCGAACATGACATTTTACTTAGTACAGTATATGAACCAAAACATTTACACAATGGTTGAGCTTGACCACTTTCGTTTCCCGACTTAAGCAAAGAACTACGGCTTTTTTTGAATGCCTAAGTAGAGTCATGTATATATTGCATACATTTCATGCGCAGTGTATATCAAGCAACGAAGAAAGAAAGTATGAAGATTTTGTCGAAACGTTAGTCACTCATTCTTCGAATGATAACTGCGACGACAGTCAACAGAACAAGAACGAATCATTGCAAACGCGATTATACGTAATTTTTACTTAATAAGCTAATAATAAATACCTTTATAAATCAGACCTCACTTCTCTTTAATAAAGATATGTATCTTTTATTTAAAAATTGTATAATTTCAAATATGAAAATCAAAGATCCTCTAAACATTAGCTATTCTTAAAGTTAGAGTTTCTCCCCTTCTAAACTTGAACATGTGTTGGATAAAATAGAATCAAGTGTGATATTGTACTGTTTATTCACCATAAGCCAATATATGCATATTACAATCATGAAGTAACGCTAAATATACTTTATTCATAACCGTCTAACTGTTGGTCTCCTGGTTTGTAGAAATAATCTTCAAAAGTTGGGCTATTTAGGCTCCAATTAACATATAGTCTGATAGTATCAATGAGAAACACAAGCAATAACCGCCTTTATTCTAGAGATCGAACAGAGAGAATGGACCTTGAATCTTGTTGTGGCCAGGCCCGCCTCCTTCATAATGCCTATTTTGCTTGCCTTGGGCTTAATCTCTTCTGGTAGACATACAATCAGAGTAACACCGATTAGCTGTCTCTTGAATTCGACGAATGAGACATCTTTGTGTTTTAGGATCCTTAGATCAGACCTTGGCCTCGATATAGTTGTCCAAGTATCAGCCAGGTTCAAGATTGAATCAATATCGAATATTTCCTAAGCTCGGTAGCTTGTTTTCTGTTTGCTTTCTAGCTTTGAAAAATTGTTATTACAAGACATGATTAACCAAGATGGACTTGTAAGAATGGACGAATTGGAAAACTGAGGTGAAAGCAGAACGAACCATATTCGGATGCTGCAAGGAAATTGAGCTTACGGGTACAAGGCACACGACCACTAATGGTGGATTGTACTGGGGGCGCTTTTTGGGGTTTCTGGGTAAGTTCTACGCGGCCTGGTCCCTTCGAGTAGGTTGTCGTAGTCGCATTGTTCAATGTATTTTCTGATACCACCAGTCTTGTATTGTTATTGCACTCAAATTTCTCATATTGATTCCTATGAAATTGAAAGCCGTTCCGCCTTTGGAACTTCTAATAGCCTTAATCTCTCTCTTATTTGAAATACACGCATTCTTTATTTTCTTTGGTGTCATTACATCAAAAGGGGATATTGCACTCAAAATAGTTGTTGTTTTGGGCTCTTGCTTTGGGCACAGCCATAACAGCGCGATTTCCTTTTTTCGACCGTGCTACGGAAATATGGAATGCTTGATATGAAAAGCTGTCTCGTCAATAAAAATGTAGCTGTTCGTTTATAAGTTTTCTTGAATTCCTTTTGTCTCAGAGATGACTTTACGTCAAAAGGTCAAGCCTGTTTTTCTAGATAAACTTCATCATCCACTTCCAAATCGAGTGTATAAACTTGATTTTATTCATCGTCCAACATGTGTTTTCCTTTTCTGTCTTTGTAAATAAAAGCAAACAATAATGAATAAAAGAAAGAAAGAAAGAAAGTGTTCGTTTGTTTCTTGAAAGCACGGAATAATTTTCTTTTAATGGCCAAAGTTTATTCCTGAGCCTGAATTAATTTTTATTTTTAAACTGCACGAATATTTTGTGAAAAGTGTACACAGTACACAAAATAATTATCTCTTTTTTCATAGTCCTTTTTTTTCTCTTTTCTTTACCTTTACCTTACTTTTTTATGTTTGCTAAAGAAAGGCCATTACCAAAGGCTCTAAACATAATCCGTCCTGCACCTCCACCTTTTCCAAATCAACACGATTCACTTTCTTCTTCAACAGCATCCTCGCCTTCTGAAATATCTACCATTTCAAATTTTTCTACTTTTTCTAATAGTCGACCACAACCTACTATATTCAATCCTGCATCACTCTTTCAGAGCAACATAAACACTTTTAAATCACCAGCTAGTACAGTTGGTATCAATCCTCAGCGATTTTATCAAAGACCAAGAAGTAATTCTAACTTATCAAGGTCAACTTTTTTCTCAGCCTTTTCTGATCATCACAATAACACAAATACTGATAATGAAGAAGAGGATGAACTTGATAGTATTGATGGCTTAACAGACGAAGAAGAAGAAGAAGTAGAGGAAGACGATGATGAGGAAGAAGAAGATATCAAAGTGGTAGCAAAAGTAAAGCATGGAACTATCATGAATGGCAAAGGAGAGTTTGTTAACAAAGGAAATAATCACGAACATTGGCTGGAAGAAGCAAGAGCAAACAGAAAGGTAACAAAAAATGAAAGCCAATAAAGGTTTGTTTATATGGTAACCATGTACATCATTTTCAATATAGGTTGCTGATCTTGAAATAGAAAATCAAAACCTACTACAGCTCAATGCAAGTCTTGAAGCTAAATTAAGACAGCAAGCATCACGAATAGCCGAGTTGGAAAAGAAATTACAACAAGGGTAACAAGAGATGATGTACATAAATTAAATAATGAAATGGTAGTAACCCTAAAGAATAGGACCGAAGCACCCCTGACACCCATTTCGGATAAACACGTGGAAGATGAAGACGACCGGGATGAAGTAAGCAGAAATAAAATATTGAGATAATAATCAAATGAACTTACTCCCTCTCATAGACAGCCTTGTTGTATAACAAAGAGTTAGCAGAAGAGGAGGCGGAAGCTGATAAAGCATTTCATCAAATAAGATCCGCCCTTGAACAGCTGATTGTACAAGCTGAATCTGCATTAATTCAGAAATCAAAACAATCTGGCAAGGTACTACAAGATTATACCTATCAGAAGGAAGATGAAGGTAATATTATCTCTCTCTCTCTCTCTCTCTTTATGATGTATTCATTGTTATTCATTAGAAATCCTTCAAAAGCTATCTATTCGTTCATCCTCTCCTACTGAACTCAAGAAAAGGCCTTCAACCAGACGTGTGTCCGATAGCTCAACTAAGCCATTACCAAGACCTTCGAGTGTGAAGATGTCGAGGAACATATCTCGTCAATCCTCTCCTCCTGTTCTTCAACGTTCAGCCTCTCCATCTTACTTACAACGTTCAGCCTCTCCATCTTACTTACAGCGCTCTGCTTCTCCATCTCTGTCACAACGCACTGCTTCTCCATCTATACAACACAGACCTTCGTCTAGACAAAGTGTTCGTAAGCAGAGTCAAGATATGGGAAAGCCAAAATGGCACAACTGAAATTTCTATACGTTCTTTACTGCAACCACTATGATCTAATTCTTTATGACTGAATCCATCCTTTTCTATATATGCCCACTTGTTATACCCAAACCTCATACTTTCCTTATTCATTCAACATTGAAATTTATATATGCCATTTTGTTATTTTTAGACACAGAACAATCACACACACATTCTCTCTCTCTCTCATATAAACCAGCCCCCCTTCCTTTCTAGTCACTCCCTGGACAAAAGAAAAAAAAGAGACTAAATGTAATACAACATACAAAAAATTGACGTGTACATAATTTACCTGATATTTGTAATACAAATAAACAAGTAGTAGCCTCCTCCTCCTATTTTGCTATGTATTCTACAGTTCTTGTACTTGTCTGAATTTAGAGTTTCTTCTTGAGGTCATTCCACAATCTATCGTCATGGTTACTGAGTTTTTTTACAAGTTGTTTATGCGAAATAACTTTTTTTTTTTCAGGAACAGTTACTATTCAGTGTATACGTGTATCCTGTATTCTATTCATCTCTGTTATGAGGAGTATCTTTGACTAATTTACGTGTCTTTTGACAAGGTTCAAGATGATCAGATGATGATAACAAAAAAACGAACCACAACGGACATTCAACTATTGTTGGAATTTCTGAAGCTTAAAATGACACAATGGCTAAAGATGAAGTAATCAGCTTACTCTCTAAAATATAGATATCTCTTGCTCACGTTAGACATGCCTTATTTTACAAATGTCAAACGTCTCTTTTTCATTTAATAGAACTGAGTATCCTTCTAAAGAAGTACATCTTTTGATATGCTTCTTGCTCAGTTTATTTTTTAATTTTTTTTTCCCAAGAAGCCATTGGTTCCAACAAAAGCAAAAAGTCAGGAGTCATTTTCCTTTTGACGGTGTCTTTTTTCATGTATTCAATTACTTCTTTATCTAGGCTTGATGTGTTTGTAACTGCTGATGCCATAGGCATCAGACCTTCCAGATGTCATTTCTCCCCCTTGAAAAAGTCGAGTAAATCTGTGATATTTTTTTCCTTTTTTGAACTTGATGTGATGTGAGAAAAGACCTGTATCCTCTTTTGTTAATCGTATCCACAATAAAAGAAGAATGGTGGATTCTGCAGTTATCCATGACAATATAAAATCTGTATTTTTCATGTTTATTCAGAATATACATAACGGTTTCAACAAATTCGATAAGCCGCGGTGTCATCTTTATCTATATTAGCCATTACTTTCATAGAGACTGGCTGTGCAAACTCTTTATTTTTTCAATATTACTTCGCTTCAAATGTGCGTGTTTTGAAAAATAACTGTATCAATGGGCGATATGCAGCTAGCGATGCTTATGTTTACCCCTTTTCTATTGCGTACTTTTACATTAGATGGATCCCCATCCGTTGATCAAGCGGACTACTTTTTCTTTACGCTTCTTCTAGATATATCAATGATAATGCAAAGCTTGTTAAAAGTTTGACAACAGTAAGTAATCTTTTGCTTCATATATTAAACACTGTAATATATGTTGTCATTGATTACCGTGATAAGCTTAGACAAGGGGTAATATCCGCGTGTGAGAGTATTCGACAGATATTGTTCAGGGCACAAGTCTTTGTAAATCATTATTTACTTTTGCATTCAAATGAAGTCATCCCTAGCTGTATTTATAAGCAAGCTTCTGGTACTTCATATGTCAGTTGGTTAACGATGTCGAGTTACAAATAGTATGCTAAAAAAATTCAAGAATTAAAAGATGAACAAAGACAGTTAGCTTCGCAATCTGATCTGAAATACTATTCATGATAAGATAGTTCATCACTATACTTTTGCAAAAGGAATTCTCGATATATTTGTTTTTTTTTGTTTTTTTTTATATGATAAATGATAGTACATTTATTTGGCATAAGAGTGTAGAATGGCCCCATGTCAGCCATACCAGTATTATCTTTCTCGCGCACCAGTTTTAGAATCAAAGGAATCACAAGCTTGCTCAGTGTGAGGAAGGGAGAGTAGATGTAGTGCCATTTTGGTATCTCCCGGAGGTACTCTTTTTTGAGAATTACAATCGTACTTACCGTTTTCTTCAATCATGCCTATATTATAATGACATAGAGTTTAATTTTTTTTAATCATATTTGACATTTCTATGACTACAATTACTCTCATATTCCAAAAGAACTAGATACCATGGGGAAGGAACTCCAGACGATCCTCAAACAATGGACTAATGTTCAGAAACTCCTCTCTCCACAACTCAAAGAGGCCCTCCTTGCAAAAGCAAGCACTCCACAAATGAAACTTCGTTCCTACGGTATGTGAATGTTAGAGTTAGCATGCAAGTATTATTTAATTACGTATATATATTCAAGATAAGCTTGTATGAATACCTGCGGCATGTAAAAAATATATTTTCAACGTCTTAATAGTATCAACCGAAGCAAAACAATATTCATCAGCGATGGCCTTTAAAATGGTCAACGAGACAAACGTTCCCTTATGGTGGTGAGAGTTACTTTGATCATGTCCTTATTTCCAAAGGAGCCAGACGTTCTTAAAAATAGTATTTCGATCTCTTCCATTTTAAAGAGCTTAATAACCTCGCCTGCCTTACACTGCCTCTTATCATCCACTTGTAATCCCAACTCTTTTATTGATTTCAAGACAGGTTCACCTACTTTGAGTTCCGCACTGCAGTGATGTCGTCAACAAAGCCTTTCAGTGTATAGCACCACGCTAAACTTACTCAGCAATTGGTGTAGAATATTAATTTATAACGCCCCCAGCTTGGTTTTGTTTCTTTTCAAGAAGAAGAAGAGATAAAAAAGAAATTTTTTATTCTTTTTATTCTAATTTTATATTGTCAGTTTGATCAACAAAGACCTACTTCGCTTGCGTGTAATTATGATAAATACAGGCGTTGGTACGTATCAAGGCAATTGATAGCCGTGGTTTTGAGAGAGCTATTGCGTTGTGCGCTTGATGCATGGTCGAAGTTTGCCATCGGGAAGCCAGCCTAATCTCCAGCCTATACACCGTCATTTATTTTTGAGAAAACGTCAAATTCCATAGGTTTGACTGTACAAAAGGGGTTCAACCAGAGAGTGTGTCACTATTGACACCCCATTTCATCTTTATTTTTTCTTGTCGAGCAATTACAGTTTAACGCACAACTTTAATGTTTTTAGAGCAAATTTGCCCTGGACAAGTGAATCCGGTTTTTCAAGCCATTCATACGTTCACTTATAACAACAACAGATTCATTGTACACCTAATATCAGCATCATTGTGTTCATATTAAACCTTTACTTTATAGGTCTATGCAACGGGATCTAAAATAGTCATTTATGCCGACCCTAACAGACTTGTTCAAATCATCACAGCATCGTCAGTATTTAACTTACAGACACCTGTCATGGAACCCATTACAGCTGTGTCCGGAAGTAGTTTTACAGGAAAAGTAAGATTCTTTAGAGTTACACCACAGAAAGAAAAGAAAAACAGAGAGATATTAAGTTCCTTCGAAACTAGATTGCTATTTCATACAAGAGTCAAATAGCCATCATGAAGCCAAACCAAGACGATCACTGGACAGTTGAATGTGCCTTTGAAACAGAGCTAGAGACTATTCACTGTCTCGACTGGAGTAAAAACAGTTAAAGTGATTTCCCCTCTTACTTTGAGTTTTAGAAAGAAAAGCATAGGACTTATACCTGTAATAGATGAGCTACTAAGCGTGGGAGACATGATACTACTGTGGAGTTATCAAGAAGAGAGTTGGAAATTGACCTGGAAGAAGAAACCTGCGGATGAGGTTATTTATGCTAAATTTGAACCAAATTCTAGTTCATTTGCAGCCATATGCAAGGTATGATTGGCTTATTCTCGATCATAAGGTCAAAGAGACTGTGTTTGCTCATTAAACAATTAGTGTGATAGTATGGTTACTCTGTGGTATAAGGATGGTTTAGATTACAGCTTCACTTTTCTTCCTCATCCAGCTCAAGTCACTCATTTTGCATGGAGAGTCTCATCTTGCACAAAGGAAGATGACTGTACATTATTCACAATGGCACGCGATGGCATTGGAAGATTCTGGAGCCCAGTTAGCTTGGATAAACCGCACATATTGTACATGTGCGCTGTCATTGACTCAAATCAATCGCTTGTTACCAGTGAGAACGATGATTTGGAGAACAAGGAAGATTTTTCACCCATTCACTATATTGGCTGCGATGAACTCTTAAATGCTATTCACGCTCAATTCAAGTCTCACTCGAGGCATGATCGCTTTGATCAAAGGCTTGAAAGGATCAGAGATCGTGTAAAAGATACCCCAGATTTACTATTTAGAATACAAGCGGATGGCTCTTTGACTTTGTGGGGAGTGCAGGTAAGATATAAACTATTTTTTTCAGAGAATATGAATAGCTGAAAAAGATTTAGCATCTCAATACTTGGCCACGAAGGATTCCTAGAGTCTTTGTTGTCTTGAGAGTTGCAAGAGCAATCGATCCGCTTCATTACATTTACTTTCTAAACCCAACCCATATCCTGCATGATTATTCTCACATACAATCTTCTTGTAAGCTCAAAGTCTTGACAACAACTAAACAATGATAACTAAGACCATATTTAGCTACTATTAAGCCCATAGAGCTTTCGCTTGTAGCTTATAATTCGCATGGACAGTTAAGATGCTACAGCTTAAATCTAGTAGACTTTTTAGATAGTACATCTTTTTCACCAAAATTACACCTGAAATATTCCTGGTTAGGACATCAGCATGCAATTTCCAAACTGTATCAAACACACAAGAATAGATTTTGTACCATTGGTATTGATGGACAGATCAATGTCTGGAAGTATGAACTACGAGATGTAAGGAGAATATAGAGTGAAAAATGCATAATTAAGCTTAACCTGGTAATAGACATGCAACCGAGTCACCAGTGAGCTCCAAATGGATTGTTCGTTATCTGTTCGTTCTAGTAGCATTCTAGCTGCTCCTGTTGGAAAAGGTAAGAGCAGTACATGACTCTATCTGCGAATACTGAACATCAAATTACATTACAAAGAAAAATATGTGGCAGTCTATGACGGAAGACAAATACAAATATATGGTTTTGACCTACAAGACTGTCATGTTCACCAAAGCACCAAAACATGTCCAGTAGATGGAGATTTGTTACCGCTTTCTGATCTATTTGTGTATAACATAGAAGACGAGGCTACAACAGAAATAAAATCTCATATTTTAATCGGCATCTCCGCTACAGAAAATGTAATATATTCCTGGGAACTCATCCTTAGTCAAGATGATTTTGATATCAAGTCAAGAGGTAAGCAAGAGATGAACTGGGAAGAGCCTCCGGTCAAGGCAGTATCTGCAAGCCAATGGGCAACAAATACAGCCTCTAAACTGTTTCATCGACTGACGTTTGATAAACGTGTGGCCATGGCTTTATGCGTTGGTTCAACTATTATATTCTACAGTATGCATCTTCCTTCTAATGACGGTATCATTGAATGGAATACGTTGTATTCTATTCAAGTTTCTTCTTCATTATTACCTATTCATCATATCAAATTCTGTTCTCCTAATACGCTGGCTGTCGTCTCTGGCAATGACTCGACTCAGCTATCTATTTGGTCCGAAATACGCGTTGGGGTTGCTCCTGTATGTGAAAGAACGTTACATTTCAAGTAAGTAATTTATTGTTATATGTGATTTGATAGATGATTTATTGTCTATAGACAAACCATAAAAGATATTGCTTGGAATGTGACATCAGATGCACAGTTTATCTTGGCTATTGCCTTTACTGATCGTGTGGCCATATACGGACAAAAGCGAGCAACAGGTGTTAGAAGCGAAGTTGAGTGGGTTTGCTACACAGAGTTTAAAGTAGACACGTAATTATCATCTAGATTAAAGTACGCACTCAAAGTTCTCATTGTTTGGCTATTATAGCTCAGAGGATATTACAGCCTTAGCTTGGGTAGACTATGGTGTCTTGACCGTGGCAGCTGGTAATCAGTTGAGATGTTATTTGAAATGGTTAACAGAACAAGATACAGTGAATCGAAGTAAGTTGTATCTCTTTGCGTAAAACATTATCTCATTTTTTTATTACTAGTCAAGGAACCAATCAATAACAAGATAGAGCCTATGTCAAGCATATATGACATATCATACGAAATGAACGGACCATTACCATTTTACCATCCAAGACACTTGATACACTATATTATGTGGGGTAAGTACTGATGATAGCTATCCAAGGGGTTATTAACATTTCGATACTAGGTAAAATGGAGCTTGTTCATAACGTGTTGTTGACTTTGTACAACTTTCTGAACCAATTTATTGATGAGGAAGATAATGTTATCACTGAGCTTCCTCCCGTATCATTTTCCAGGATGCTAAAGTTACAAAATGTAATACACTAAACATGAATACAACACTTGTTTAATACTCCCTACGTAGTTTAACTCGGCCAAGGAAAAATTAAAAGGATACGACAGTTTATTTGATGACAGTGATACAATTCAGGGGTAAATTTCATGCAAAGACGTGAATGATGATTATAACAAGAGATAATAGTAGCAGTATAGATGAAGATGAGGATGAGGAAATCCGAGCTATGACAGCCAGTGAAGCAAAGAACCTAGCCTACAGCTTAAAATCTAAAAATTTACCTGGCTTGACACAGAGCGATAAGTATCAGTTGATCGCAATGGTCAACGCTATTGTTGAGGTAAGAGAGGACACGAGTATGTATTAAAAATCAGCATTCATCCTCGTATTATTAGATTTCGAGTCAAGGAGAGTCCATGGATGAAAACGGTGCTAGGTTTACTGCATTGATAGAAAATCATTTCCATCTAAACAAACAGCTCCCTGAGGAACAACGGCAAAACGAACTACAAGCAAGAGACTTTGTCTGGGCATTACATAGTCAATCCCAAGACTCATTACTGGACAAGTGCCTTCAACTATGTGGTAAAAAGTATGTTTGGGAAGATGCTAGATCACTAGGAATCTTTTTATGGTTGCAGAAAATTGATACTGTGGTAAGCTTTATTATATTCAGCTTCTTTTTTTGTTTTTTGTTTTTGCTAAATATAGAGGACGTATATATAGAGAGAGCAAATGACAGTCATTGCACGCAACACCTATCTATCAAATGAAGACTTTAGAGATCCTGTTGACTGTACCTTGTTCTATTTTGCTCTTCGAAAAAAGAATCTGGTACAGAGCCTTTGGAGAACAGCAAGCTATCACAGAGAACAGGCTGCTACACTTCGGTTTTTGGCAAATGATTTTACCCAGCCTCGTTGGCAAACTGCTGCTTCTAAAAATGCGTTTGCTTTGTTGGGAAAACAAAGATTTCGTAAGTCTCAAAAACTCAACCCCTTTTGATGCAAGCTCAATCATATTCTCTTTAATGTATAGGATACGCTGCTGCTTTCTTTTTGTTAGCGGATAAACTAAGGGATGCTGTAAATGTTATTTTAAAGAATATTAAGGATTATCAGCTTGCAATCGCTATCTGCAGAGTATACGAAGGTTTAAAAGCATACTTTACTATTATCACTTCATCATGATTTACATATAAATCTATAGGTGATCATAGCCCGTTGTTAAGGGAAATACTCGAAGGCACGGTGATTCCATTAGCTATAAAGACGAACGATCGTTGGTTGCTTAGCATGGCTTATTGGTTATTTGATAAACAGAAAGAAGCAACACGCGCCATGATTGTCCCACTCAATCAATTTACCAATCAAAGTGTTGAGCATGAAGATTCTGCTGCTGTTGTGCATGACCCAAATTCATTCATACTATACAACTACTTGAAAAAGGGGCAGAACCAAGACTTGAGTGTCCCTTATGATTTGGAATACAATTTCTCTTTACATGTAGCAAAAGCATACGAACGACTCGGATGTCCATTACTCGCATTACATATTTTAACCAAATATCGTATGTCGCCACCATCTCTATCTTCTCAGCCTGATGAAGCGAAGAACGAGGTATCTCGTGCAGCAGACCTTTTCAGTAACGAAAACACAACAAAGGTGCCTTCTCGTGCTGAAGATTTGTTTGCACAAGAAGATTTATTTGCATCAAGTAATGCTAAACCAGCCTATGCAGCAAACTTATTTGATTATGATGATGAATTAACTATTACAAAGCCTTCAAGCAAGAGTCTGTTTGATGAAGAAGACAATGATCTATTTGCATCTACGTCAACAAACAACAAACTGTTTGACAGTGACCAAGACATATTTGCACAAGGCACTCAGTCTCCAAGTGATGACTCTGAGTCTCTCATTAATGATGTAAAAGATGGGATTTGTGCCTACAAAGCTATGCTTGTCATCCGTCTGCTACAGGTACGTACATGTTTAAATAAGCGAGTCTGTTATATTAACAGACTATAGACTTTTTTTCACGCTGCATCTGCAATTTACAATGGTTATCAAGAGCCTGACAATATACACGAAATAAAATACCGGTCGCGATTCTTGCAAAATAGAAACGCTATACTAGAACTTGGACAATCGGTCAAGATTCCACCTCACATTTCGTCTCGGCTCTTGATGGAAAAAAGCATTGAAGCTGACGTATTCCCCTTATACCTTTATATCTTGAACGAAGGTGTACCTGAAAACTTTGATGTTCATCAATTTTTAAGAGCATTTAAGGTTGGATGCTTTGAAGTGAACGAAGTAGCTCTTATGCCTCAAGATCTTGATTATGCTACACTTGTGTTTGTCGAACACTGGACAGAGTATGTATCCATATTGACATTACTTTATTTATTGATTGAATGCCTTTTTTTTTGCTAGGCATGTCATCAAGACCTTTCATATCTGGAGCCGACTTAGATCCCATTACTGCAATCCAGAAACTGCTACTTTAACTACAAAACAGATTGCTCTTACAACTTATATTAGCGCCATTCTTGTCACTCTAAAAGAAAGACAATATGAAAAATGCTGGCGACTCTTATATCATTTAAAGCACTTTTTGGATACTGTAGGAACAGAGACTAACAGCGAGGCTGCTATCTCAAATTGCTTCAGTCAGTTGTTGAATAGCGATACCAAGATGGTAAATAACAAGATCAGGCATTTTAAAACATTGTCGACTTAATATTACAATATAGATTGAGATGGTGCCTGAGGATTTTGATAGCTTCTCTGATGGTAGCAGCATGTTTGGCTTTGATATGCTCGAAGAAGTGTATCGTCCTTTGATCGATTCTCAAGATAACTCTGTAGCTGCTAACCTTCTGGAAGTTGCTTCTCTGAACTATATGTTATCGTCAGTGGAGCATGCAATGCAATGTCAAGGAAGGCACCATAATCTTGGAGGTATTGTGTGTTTGAAGATTATTATTAGCCCATTGAATTTTAATAGTTATGTGTTATAGAACTGTTGTCAGATTTCACATGGACAACCATATTGGATCCAATTGCTTATAGAGCTCATTGTTTAAAGAATACGATTACTGAACAACTAGAAGGCAATATGAATAAGCGTAAGTCGATCATCATTTTACTTTTAAGAAAAGTAACGTAATGCATCATGTAGATAACGTACTGAAACAATTCAAGACGCTGCGTCAAAGGAAGTACTGGCATTCTATCAAGAGCCTCAGTTCTCCCGACAGACTCTTGCCGTTTATTAATTCTCTTGCAAGTATTCAAACAAGACCTATTTCACTATTGCTTATTTCTTTTCGTTAGCCTACTTCTGTCAATATATTATCAGATGATCAACATTTGCAATTCTGTAATGTATATCATTCCCCAAGCACCGCCTACGCCTTTAGCATTGATTCCGTAAGAATTTATAACAGCTAAACATCATGGTCTAATACTTGTTTTAGTCTACAGGAAATACCTTAGCGATATGCTTAAAATCAGAAATACAAGAAATTGACCTTTCAAAGGCTCCACACACAGGCATTGTAAGTTTAATTTTAGCAAACAGAGTTTTTAAATATTGATTATCTTCTTTTTCCAAAGCAATCCCTTTTGAAGGCTAGATCAATTTCATCATCTGGATTAGCGCACGAACAACATTCGGATAGTTATCCAGACACAGAAGAGGATTATGCTGAAGACTCGTCCGACAATGAGACTGAAGTTGCTTCTAATATGGCAACACCTAAATCCATCAGACGCAAGATATCTCGAACTTCTACAGCAGCAACACCTACTGCGATGTCTCCTGCAGGAAGCCGCCCACTAGAGGAGTACGCCCAAAAGACGTCTCAAAATATCAACCTAGAGTATGTGTACGATTCTCTGAGAAAGTCGCTAGCAAAAGGAGAATCAAGCACAGTCAGGACATCCAATGCAGGAAGCCCCCTGTTGATGGATAATGCAGAAAGAGAAAGAATGGTGAGTGTTGCTAACGTCACTTTTTAGGTGACGCTGATTGTTTGTATAGATCACTTTTAGAAGGAATGTGTCTGCTACTTGTGCTGAAGCACATCCACAATACCCGTTCTGTAAGTATAAAAATAGGGTAATGAAGATCAGGTTTACCAATTGTCTCTTCAAGATATAACAGGATGTGAGATAAATAATGGTAGTCCTGCTGCATTTTTATGGCAATTTGGTCAAGGGCGTGAAATTGCTAGCTATTATGGATGTCAAGGCAAGGTGACCAGGTAAATGGATAATGAAAGTATAGAGAGACCATTTTTTACTCATATCCAAGCCAGAATTCATTTTGATCATTTTGGTCAAAAGTTTGGCGCAGGCGATACCTATGGATCATTATGTCTGTGGCGCTTTGATGCCCACATACACTCAAACAAGCCTTACTATGTAAAAAAAAGAAAAAAAAAAAAGAACAAGAACCATACCTTACATTTTATCCTAAATAGACCATTAACTGTCATTCTAAAGCAACTAGAGACTTTACGTTCATTAACTCAAGTAGTCTTATCGCCACAGCTGGAACTTCCATAGCAATGAGCAGAAAGTAATGTGTGCTGTGTGTATCTTGCACTTGTTTAACATAAATTAATGAATAGACGAGATCACGTTTGTTTATGGGACACCCTCTTGCCACCATCCAAAGCTATGATTTGCTGTGAGTACATAAAGGACCAAAAAAGAAAATACTAATATTCTTTGTTATTCAGCATTACCTGGTCATGAATCAGGAGCATATGCCATTTCGTATGAACCGGAGAGCCAGCTACTCTTTTCCGGAGGTAAAAGAGGCGAAATAGGTAAGACGATGATATTGGGATATGAGCTCTATCTAATTTTGCCTTTGTCTCAAAAAGTCGTTTCTGACCTTCGACAGCGTACAACGATGCATACATTTACAGCACATCAATCGCGCATTAGATCAGTAGCCATTGACACAGAAAACAAGATGCTAATCACTGGTTCAGTCGATGGTGAACTAAAGGTAAAAAAAAAAAAAGTTGTTATTCCTTTTTCATTATACAATATGAATAATGAATGAACATAATAGCTATGGGATGCTAGTACGTATAAGCTGCAACAGACAGTTGATGCACAACCGAGAAATCGGTTCCTTGCTCCATCATTTAACCGAATTCCAGTAAGTCGAGTCCGAGTTTCTTTTAGTGTCCATTCTAAACTCTTTTGTAGTTGAAAGCTTTTGGAGTAACACAAATACAAGTCCTCGGAAAAGACATTTATACGTCAGGTCCCAATGGTATCACAAAATGCCAGTCAACATATAGAATGTAGCTTTATTGTACAAGACAAATGCAATATGATAAATGTGTGTGTGTTTTTTGTGATTAAGAAAAAAAAACACTTTTCTTTTAAATAATATATTCTTTAACTGACAAGCCCCCAGACTTCTAATTCCATGCATTGGAATTGAGGCTTTGATGCTAGGCATTCGTTGTCAAAAGTAGGACAAGTGGTGCTGTACCCTTTTTCTAAATCGGAATTGAGCCATAAACCAAAATGACCCTCACTAACAATACAAAAGATGAGTACCAGATAAGAAAAAAAGAAAAAAAAAAAAAAAAAAGCGAAATACCCTCCACCGATAGCAATAAAGTCAGAATTGCATAAAATCATATAATCATTCTTTCCTGTCCAAGGAAACACTTTAATCTTGGGTGCTATATGATGCTGTTGCTGCTGCTTCTGTTGATCTTCCTTATTACAGGGATGAACATGGTCTGAAGTCAACTTCCATAAAAAGCTATTTTATGAAATTTAAGATAAAGTTTAGATTTTTTTTTTTATACAGAAAGTTACCATTCCCCTGTTCCGTAATAAACATTATTTTGGCATGCCAAAGTATGACTCAGATAGGCGCCATAAACCTATTAAACAAATAAGCATGTGTGTGGGTAAAGTTTAAAATTCTCATGGTATATTTACATGGTTTTCCGCATCCTTTATGATCAAGATACATGGGCCATCATAGTCTCTTGTTAATGAATACAGGGTATATAGACTCACGCCATGCTGATCGAGACTGTAGAGTAATTTCCATGATGAAGCAACGCGGTATCTTCTTGGTATATAAGGACGAACCTGCAATGTTATGTGAATATGATGCATCAGTGATGTGTGGTCATAATAAATACAGTTGTAACATTATTGAACTTGCCATTTCTGCAATATTTTCTGTCAAGACTGGTTCAGTATCCAGCTTACGATCTTGTAACATAATAGGGGGTAAATCAAAATCTGCGAAAAAGGAAGATCTTGCAGAACCAGCTGAAGCCAGGTTGGTCAAGACGTCTATGGCTGTCGTAGTGTTTTTGTTATTGTTTGCGCATACAAATATGAATGAAGTGCTTGCAGCGGAATTAAAAGATGATACAGAACTACTCATGGACGATACACTAATTAAGCTAGTAGATAAAATAGAGCTGGTTTCGTCCTCGTCCTTTTGTGTATCAATGCATTTGGTATGCTTTGGATGATCTGGTATAGCAAAAGAAATGGCAGTTTTTCTTTTTGGTGACTCATTCTCATGATCTCCTGTTGTTGTTGTTGTTGTTGTTGTTGTTGTTGTTGTTGTTGCTGTTGTTGCTGTTGTTGGTGATGTAGATGATGAAGTTGTATGATAGGAAGAAGACAAGATGACGGAGCTCTTGGTAATTGATGTAGTTGAGTGAGATTTGTGAGGTCGAGGTCTTACAGTGGAATGATCACTTTTCTTTAATCCTAAATGGTATAAATAAAATCATAACTAGACATCAATTAGTCATTAATACCTAACAGTTTAGACACAAAGCGTGTAAAAGGAGAAGGATGATGGTCATTATATGTGTTATTATGCTCATCTGTCATGGAACGATGTAAAGGAACTGATTTGTCTTTACTCAAAATACTACTTGCTGTACTATGTCTTTTCATTTAAAGTTACAAAAGAAGAAGAAGAAGAAGAAGGAAAAAAGGAAAAATAAGCTCATGAGTTTTTTTGCTTGTAGAACTTGGAAAATGACCCTTTTATTTCAATTTAGACGAAGACGTGTTGTAACAGAAGAGGAACTTGATAAAGAATTGGAGGAGGAAAAAAAAAAAAAAAAAAAAGAGGGGAACAAGACTATAAATATTTTCTTCCCCTTATTTTTGTAAGATAATTTATGCATCAAATTGACACACACATTTATTCGGTTATTATTTTGTTTAATTGACAAAAAGGCAAGAAAAAAAAAAGAAATGAAATTCGCGTGGATTAAGATTATGTCATAAAATAAAATCATACGTTTAATTTTATATAAGAATAGAACAACACGTCAGAGCGCCATCTGCTTTAATCAGTTCACTCATGCACAATGCCTTCAATTCGACCTTTCTCTTTTCTTTCAATTCTTCCAGTAATACCTTTTCAGACTCGGGAAAATCTTGTTGATAAATAGCGAATTTCTCACGAGAGAAGCTAAGAATATTCGAAGGAACTTGTTCAGGGACCTTGATAAAGCTATACCAGCTCTTCGTGTAGCTCTCGATCTCACCAATAACCTCTAGCCCCGCCTTGTGATCAGTGACAAGTAACGTTTTGTTATCAAGCATGCTGACAATACACTTGAAGTGAAGTGAATCATAATTCAATAAACTATTGATTATATACACTGGACATTTATCCGAAAAGACCTATGGTGTTCTATTATTATCACACTTTTTTCATTTGATATTCACAGCTTTCTTTTACCTCTTTCAAAACCTCTGCACCACGTTGGTTCGTACGACGGGAAAGTCCAACAAAGAGATGCTCCCCAGTGTACAGTACATCACCTCCATCCAAAGTTGCTTCAGGATCAACTTCCCACATATGAATGATTTCTTTGATGACGGGTATCTAAATTTGACGATTAATTTAAGACAAAGAAATGAGTTAGGCTTCCCCCTTTTTTCTTATATACCTTTTTTAATGCTTCTTCAATACCAGAGACTTCCTTTCTTCGTGAAGCTGCTCCCAAATGATTTACGATGGCTCTGTCTTGAACAACAACAGCTGTATCTTCTACAAAGCAACAATCTGTGTACAGACATTAGCTGTCAAACTCATTTGGATTCATTTGTTTATCTACCTGGGTGTAAAGGGTCTGCAGGTACCTCGATAACATGATCCACATGCTCCTTTAGTACCTTGACATATTCTTCATGTTGCTTCTTTGCTAATTCAACATTAATCGGACTGGATGTATTATCGACGGCAGTGACACATTGATCAAAAGTATCAGGGATATCACGAACAATAGCGTATGTCTCTCTAGTAACTACCATTTTGTCTTATTCTGTTAGTTGTGCGCGTAAATTTTTGGTCAATCGTTTTCTTGCTTTAAATAGGCTTTGGAGCTTAAGTAAAGTATAGATAAATAATAAACTTGAGATATAAAATACAATTGTATGAAGTTCCATCTTTTTTTCTTGCTCCCCTTTTATATATCGCTGAATTTTTTAGTGTAAAAGAAAACGTGAGAAAAGAAAAGAAAAAATGTTTATCAAATCGGAGATTCATTCTACACCATCCCTTCAATACACACACGTCCAGACAACAACAGTGTCTAATTTCAAAGTCATAGCATAATATCTTTCTCTATGTTTTCGGCCCACGAGTAAACAATATCCAAGCATTTATTTAGAATCGAACTTTATTCAGTAAATAAAGACTACAGTTTCACGCAAAAAAAAAAAAGGAAAGTTCAACATGCTCCCACTGATAAGAGCATGACTCATGCTGACTTTTTCTTGAGTTTGTCAGCAATTACGGAGCGTTATAAAGCAAAACAGTATGTGTCTGTTGACATAAAGACAGTGCCCTTGCTTGTATTCTACTTTTTTACTTTCAAGAGGAAATGGCATTTCTCTACAATAAATATAGCAGATATACTTTAGACACACACACACGCGTGATTTGGCGGGATTAAGCAACTGCGGGAAAGATTAGTAACTATGGTGGGAAACTTTTTAAGAAGGATTATCATGCTGCGTGGGAGAGAGGCTGCTTATCTCTCGAATGGCACTATATTTCCTGTTTTTATAATGGACACAGCACAAATATAACAGGTACATCTAGACCCTTACTAGTTTAAGAATGAAATGAACTATTATTTATGTGACAGCTTACTTTTAGTCATATACTGAAAACGCTTGACATCTTTCATGTGAGCAAATGTGCATAAAATAAACCATTCTCGAATACTCTTTGGGAACAACGGATCTTTAACCAAAAGTGGCAGCTTGCCGACAAGGAGTCCCGTCGTAAAGGCTGTTACAAGATGTTGTATTTCCTATAATAATTGTTGTCAGCTGAAATTCTTTACGAAAAGATGAAGAGCTCTTTTATGCCCTCTGAAGTAGACCTTGAATGTATGATCCAAAGGAAACAGTGTGAACTAAAACAGCCCAAGCTTACAAAGAAGGGAATTATATTCCCTTCTCTTGCGTCGGTCTGAAAAGCGGATTTTGTTGCTCAAGTTGCATGACATGATTTGTTGCAGTTTTTGTTTATTAAGATGAATGTGGTAACTTGTATTAAAGAATAGGTTTATTAGTTGAATAATATTACTTGACATTTTTTCATTGCTCTTTAAACAATCAGGATATTTGACCATATGCGATCATTCATGTAGTTGTAATATGGCTTTCAGGGGCAGCGGTTATTCATTTTCAGTACGTTGACAATTTGGCGATACTCATAATAACACCAGCTGAGCCATTTTAATCTCTAAGCGACTAGTGCAATAACAGAAGGAGCCTAATCGGAAAAACCGATTCCATAACAAAGGTGTGTATATGATCTTTATATCTAAAAGACGATATTTTCACCACATCAATTTGCACTAAGGGAATCTGGTCAGCTTATTGTAACCTTTACGTTTTCGTGCATGAATAAGAAAAAGTATAGTCTAAAAGCTACGTTTGAGTACATTTATGCACTGTTACTTTAGCTAATTTTGTATTGATTCACTTGCTGCAGATGAAACACTTTTATTCAAGAACGTTTCTTAATACTGCTTATTCTTTTGGCATTTCTAAGAAATACATTGTTGTTGAATTTCTCTTAGCGACACTACGATATTTGTTCGTAACATACAAAAATAGACTTATCCATAAAGTGACTTTGTTTTACCCCTTTCTCCTCTTTCCCCCCTTTTTTTGAAATGAGGGGCCGAAAGTTAGAAAATGAAATTTCTATTTTTCTTCTTGGACACAGGAAAGAAAGGAAGGCACAATAATAGCAATACAGCGAATAAGAAAAATATAAAAAGATAAGCTTATTTAAATACTGAGCATCCTAAAAATAAACTGGTACAGATAATTTCTTGAAAAAGTTGCTGCAGGGAAGTCTATTGGGATGAACAGTAATTTATATATCCTTTATCCCCTCCCCCTTCTCTTTATTATTTTTCTGGGCTTTTTTAGTGTGTAATTCATGACCTATTTAAGCACAAGAATGTTATTTAAACCAACTTTGGAACGATTGTAGAAGAGAATGCTAAAGGTTATCCAAAATACCTTTTACAAAATCAATTGATAAAACAATAAAACAGACATACAAGCTATTCATTATGCCAATGGCCTCTTGTTTAGTCAAAAACAATGATCCCTTCTCCCCTTCTTTCATCTCTTTTCTACTGGGCTTTTTTCAAGAATTCTTATTATCCTTTTTTGTCAACATATAAACATGATTGTTGAGAAAAAAAAGACTTAAGGCGGTTTTTTTGAAGATAGAATGTAAGGAAAATAGACCTTGAATGAATGTGGCAGCCAGGATAACAAGATAGGATAGATTAGACAAGGCCTCTCAAGGGATCACCTAGTAACTTCCAAGGGAGGAGAATATGATGAACTAAAACTTTGCATAAAGCCCTATTTTAGTTTAACTCTAAAGGAGAATATGTGGACAGAGAATAGGACATCAGCTGAGATTAGCTTGTGTATTTGATGTGTAATATATAAACAAAACCTGAAAGAGATGTTAGACAAAGATAGTAGAGAGAATATTATTACTGAATCATTATTAGTTTAATATAAAAGAGATATACCGAGTATTTGGAATTGTCATGTAAGAAGAAGGAGGGGGTGAGAGAAGAATGAAGTAAATAATGTAACTAATGTTTATCTACATGCACATAAATATAGAATCAACATATTCATTAGAAAATGATGAGTGAATACTAAGTATGAAGTAACATTGTCCTGTAGATAACTGAACAAAAATATTCGTTATTTCTTACGCGCTGTGCATGCACAAAGGCAATGAATAACGACAATAAGTAACAATATTGACGCGAAATGGTTCTATTCTGTCAATAAGACGCATGCATGAACTGTATATTTATATGTCTGTGAGTTTATTGAATGGACAAAAGGTATGTATATGCGTGTAAGGGTACAAGGAACAAAAGGATATTGGTGTATATTAAAGCTGAAGATTGATTATAGTATGTGTAGGTTGAGAATGAGTGCTGTCTTCATCTGAGCTAGCAGACCATTGAGAAGGATGTACTCCGTTACGAGGACAGGTGCTCTAAAGATAAAAAGAAGTTACTATTGTCTTTTTTGTATATGTGTGTGAGCCTTACAGCATGATTTGGCATCCATTCACCACATAGTTCGCAGGTAGCAGGTAAAGTGTAAATTGGAATAGGTTGCATATTATTCTTTGATAAAGGAAAAAAAAAAAAAAAAAAAGAAAAAAAGAAGGGAAAAAGGAGTTTATATAGAAGTCATTTATATCATGACTGAGACGCCTTTTTTTATGCTAAAAATGATTCAAAATAAACATACATGATTATTTACACTATTAAGGGCGGGTTAAAAAAAGAAAAAAGGGGGATATTGACAACTTTTTTCTTTTTCTTTTTTTGAAAAGAGAAGGAGAGGGGAATAAATTGACTGACAACATTTTGTTATTCATATTGACAACATATTGAATAAAGTGTACATTCAACGTCGTAATGCAGGTTTAAGTTTGATAAGAAAAAGTCATGTGTTTGTAAAGTAATGATATCAAACAATATAATCTTTATTCAAGATTTAGTAACAGTGCTCATATGTTTACCTACATTAAGCCTAATGATCACGGGATCAACAAAACCTGAAGGACTTGTCCGATGTGCTTACTGGTTTTTTACTGAGACTATTTCTTAAAAAATGTAACAAGATATCATTTACGGTCTTATTAGCTCTTTTTCTTTTTAAAAAAAATACAGTGAACAGGATCAGCCAGTAAACAGGGGGAGCTCAAGCGTTATTTATGATACTCTCCTATGATCTTGTACTGACATACTTTAGTGTTAAATAGATGTATATGTTCTTTTTGATGTATTCAGTTTGATTGTACTCAAATTCGATATCCATGTTCTGATCACGACAAACAGGTACTAAACATAACCTTGTAATGACCTTGCTCGTGTGCCCACATTGCCATATTCAGTTGAGAAATATCTGTTGATGCTATTTCAACTGCATCTGTTTGTATATAACCCATGGATAGTTATTCCCAAAGTTGTCATTAAATATTATATATTCTCTCGATTCACCGGGAACCGTCCTCCACCCTGTCCGATTCATCATTCTCTCTCTCTCTCTCTCTCTCTCTCTCTCTCTCTCTCTCTCTCTCATTTTCCTCTTGTTGTCTCTGTTTTTTTAGAATTATCAATCGAGTCTTTAATGGAAAGAGGGAGGATAGAATAAATGGATGTCATCATATGCTGTTTAATCAATTTGCAACTCATAAAAAAGGCGACGTTCTCAGTGATTATGATGTTGTACCAATTGTGGTACCTAGAGTCAAGCATGAGCTAATGAGAACCGAAGAGATGAGCAGCGTTGCACAGGTAGAGCTGAGAAACCCTGGGAGTTGCTGCTCATCATTCAAATACACGTGCCATACCCATCTTCAAAAGCTTAAACGAAGAAGCTGTATAAAAAAGGCTGATGGTCAAATCATATTCAAGTTGCCTGGCTGGGACAATGTATAGAGTCAAAGTGTACGTCTAATTAACCTCCTAAGATAACATCATGGCTTAAAACGAAGCACTCAAGATCACAAAGGAAATTTCTCAGACAGGAGGACCTGACCATAGATGGTATATGTCATAGGTTCCATAATGTCATACACCTTTTCCGAAAAGTGTATCCTAAAGTTTTATAATACAATTTATACACATCAACTCATAAACAGTGCAAAGGGTTTCATTGGTACTCTAGAGTAGACTTACAATTCCCGAGCATGTCCACAGTAATTGCATGGTCGACTACTTAGACCGCAACATAGATCAAACAGTTTTACTATGTTACCATTCCTATCGAAATTGATTTTGGAAAAGAGTGTCTAAAGAGGATCATTTGGCAACTCTGTCTCTGTGGTAGAAACCAACTTAAAACTCCTCTATATCTCCAGTGGGATCATCAGCCGAGTTTCTTTTCTTTTTTTTTTCTTTTTTTTAATAAATATAAACACCCTAATGACAAGGAAGGCATTTCGACCTATTGGAGTAGATGTCGACGCTGGAACTCACGATGACCGCCTCTATAATACAGTATTTGACGGCTGGAGAGCTAATCTAAGAAATAAACTTTTGCCTCTTGTTCGACATGAGACACCCATCTTGGCTTCTATGCAGGTATTTCATCACAACAGACGATTTTTTTCAAATTGCTTATACAACAATCATTATAGAAATCGATTCGTACAAGTGCATTTGATAATTATTTCGTTTGGACAGCCAACTTGGGCACTCATACCTTCTTTATGGTATTCTTGCCTATTCTCATTTGGTTCGGTAATGTCGAGCTTGGGAGAAAGTAAGGGTTATATATGTTATATGTACTCTCTTTATTTAGCCTCTTTCTCTCTAGTGTGTGCTTTTTGACAGCTTCCGGTGTATTCTGGTCAGGGTTTTTAAAGGTATAGACTTTATACACATTACTATTGTTATTGTTAATCATATACCCATTAGGATTTCTTATGCCTTCCTAGACCTCTTTCGCCACCCGTTCATCGATTGACCATGTCTCCTTCTGTTGCTTTGGAATATGGATTCCCTTCTACTCACTCTACTAATTCAGTCTCCGTTGCTTTGTTTTTTATCTCAATGGCATGTGAAAAATTTACCCCTGAATCACCAGCAAGACTCATATCCATTCTCGCATGTCTTTTCTATGCAACAAGTGTAGTGTTTGGAAGAATATATTGTGGAATGCATTCAGTTACAGGTAAAAAAAAGAAGAAAGAGAGAAAATAGAACATTTCATGCTCACTTTATCAGATTGTATTGGAGGGGCTGTCTTAGGTTACATCGTCTACTGGGTACAGTGGACTTTTAAAAGTCATCTTGATTCATTGTTTACAAGTGATTCGTATTGGAGTAATACACCTTTGTGTTTGCTTTGCTCGATCTTTAACCTTTTATTTTTCAATAGTATTCATGGGTATTCCTATATGTCTCATGCTTGTCTCTCTGCAGTAAATGATATGAATAAGTATATCTTCACCTTTTGCTCATCTTACTTGATAGTCCTGATCCAATGGAAAGATGTCCATGCTTTGAAGACAGGTAATAGATATAACTATGCTGATGTATGTGTGTAGTTCATTCAAATGAATACATAGTGTTTGCTTTATGGGTGTTGTCATTGGTCTCATGCCTGGAAGTTGGTTGTGTAACCAGGTCGACAGTTGTCAAGCAGGATTGACCTCGAGTCTTTCTAAAGAGGCAGGTATGATGGCCATTCTATTTTTATTACTTAAACTCGTCATAGGTAAGGACAAGAGGGCTAAAAAGAGAGAAAAAAGAGTAAATCTAACATCTCTTTTTCTCTATTTTGAAGGCGTTGCTTGCTTATTTATATGGCGAATTGCATGTAAAAAGCTATGTTATTATATTTTGCCACCCATTTACCGTATATTTAATTTACCACATCGTAAATTTGAGATTGGCGCAAGGTAAAAAGCTGATGACCCTAAGACGCAAACTACTTACACACTATCATAGGACATACAAGAGCTTGCGTAGAGAAAGCATTCATCCTGTTCCTTCTGTCTTAGACTTCCACTCGATGTCAGGAAATATTTCAGAACATGAACACGTTGGTATCCAATCAGCTATCGATTTACGAGAGCATAGAGAAAGCACTCTCTCTTATCGTGGAGGACGAAACCTGGAGAAAGAAGCCATGTTTGATCCTACCTCGTTATTGATTGTTGAAGACGCTCCATTAAGATACGACGTGGACATTGTTACTAAATTAATTGTTTATTCAGGTATTGGCTTTATTGCTGTATTTATTGTTCCCATTTTATTCCATTCCATGAGAAAAGTATTATAATAAATAATTTATACATCACACAATGGCCTCCATCGCTCCCCTTCATTCTCTACGAGGACTGCACTTATTCTCGATTTGAGTGTCTTCATCTGATCTGTATGATACTTTAAGATCGCAGAGCAATCACACATTCCCTTTTTAGCATGGGAGCATTGACGTGGTTTGGAACTCATAAAGGCATACTTTGGTGGTTGATCGAGACTATATTTCTTTTGTATGCTGGGAATCAAGACTTCAGATATACTCTGCTTTTTATGTAAAACAGTAGGCGGAAATTTAAGATTGGGATAATAATCTACGCGAGTAAATACCAAGATGACATGATTCCACCAGTTCTTGGGCTCAAATACGTCCATTAGCTTGTGAAAGCCTTCCAATATGCTCATTACACTAGAGATAGTTAATATGTGTACCTTCTTTTTTTTTTTCCTTTATACCTATTCAAAGGTGAATCATATTGAAATACCAATAAAAATGCATCAATGCCTAATCGATGACCTACATCCTGAATATAGTCTCGAAAGGCCGCTTGAAATTGCTGATCTCTATGCATCGAGTCACCCAACCCTGGTGTATCAGCAGCAGTAATGATCTTTTTCACGTCATCATCAATAGCCCAAATACCTGTACGTTCACTAATCCTATCGGTGACAGACTTTTTATTATTGTTATTTTATATACATCACTGACAATCATATCCTTACCCTTGCACCAGCCTTTGCCTTGAAAAGATCATCATTAAATATCGTGTTCAATAAACTAGATTTGCCTGCTCCTGTCTTACCGATAGGCAATAGTACAAAATGTTGTAGCGGGTCTCTATTTGGTTCTATACAAAATACTCTTTCTTCGCCTTTAGTTGTTGTCGTGATAGGTAATGGTTCATAACCACTTATTGGCTGATATAAACGAAAATTGACTTTATATGTTTATGAGGAAAAAGGGGGGAAAGCAACAAAGGAGATGAGCAGAGAGAACTTACTTGCCATTTTATTATTAAAAAGAGAAAGAAAGAAAAGGAAAATACACAAAATGTTACACGTGATTAAAAAAGCGTTAATTGGAAACTACCACTTTGCCCTTTTCAAGGAATCCATGTTCTCGATCACCTCCCACAAAGGCAGGACATATCGAGAATCGAACAGTACCACTTGTTCTTCCTTTGACCTCTGTCATCGTTTCTTCTTCAAATGGTTGCTTTCCTTCTTCAATCGTGACTGTCGTAATCTCCACATCCTGTCCTCGAATGGCAATAGCCAGCTTGAGTGCCTTTTCTACAATATCACAAATCTTGTGATAATAGCTCTTTTCGTCTCCTACAGTTGAATCATTCTCTCGCAAGAAGGGGTGATAGATATCGGCTAGATCGTCATAGATTGCTGTTGCTATCCTCTGTTTCTCCTTTTGTGCGGCTGCTTGAATTTCACTTTCTTTACCACTTTTGGCAACCACGGCTGCCATTTGCTGACGAAGACGTACTGAAAACTGAGACGAGTGGGCATCCAACCAACGATGAAGGGCATCATAGGCATCATTGACTTTGAGTCCAGGGTAAACAGGTACATTAAAGACCGATTTGACGAGGTGTTCATGCACTAGTTTTTCTGACAACAAGTTGATAAACGAGGGCTCAAGTTCACCATTCTCAGGGTTAAGGATGGCAAGGTGAGGCCATGTCTTTACAAACTTTTCGGCTGCCTTTGCCTTGTCTGCCTTCTTGTTGAGTGTCATGATGAGTCGAGCAATGGAGTATTTGAGTAACTTGAAGGAATCGCGAATGGTCGAAAGGTCATCATCCGTTGCTCGAATAGCGCGTGTGTGTTCAAAAAAGCTGTGTTCAATAGCAGAGTACTCTGCTTCTCTTTCTTTATAAGCTTTTTGTGCTTCTGCTAAATCTGTTTGTAATTTTTCTCTCTTCATCTTTTCTGTTTGAATTTCTGATGTTCTCAGGGCAATGAGTTCATTGAGTTGTTCTAGTTCTTGTTGTAATTGCTCATCTTCTGGTGATTCCTTTATTGTCTGTTCGTTGCTCATCCTTTGTAATATCTGTTCTTCTTCTATTTTATATATGTTTGAAAAGGGCGTTAAAATAAGGATATATACCCAAAGGGGGAGATAAAGGGAAAAAGAAAGGGGGACCAATATTAATTTTTATTTTATTACCTTGGTAGTAAGCTTCATGTATCAGTTGGTCGCCAGGACCAAAGGATACCGAAGTTGTTATCGGTGGTCTTTCTTCTGTCTTTCGCTTTTCTTTTGGTTTGAATAACCCCTTTACTTTATTACCCGCTGAATTGAGATTACGCACAGTCTTTGACCTATGCATCGCTTTCGAGCCTGACATGTCAAGTTCTGGGGGTGGAGGTGGTATCTTGTCCTGTGCTGAGGGACGTCTGATATCTGTCATTTTATATAATAATAATAGTAATAGAATGAAATAAGCTAAAAAAAAAAAAGAAAAAGGCTAGTTCACGCACAGAGCTTTGCTTTTGAATATTGTTTTCATTGGCTAAAAGTAAGCTTGATCTCCGATAAAATTTCACTTTCTTTTATTCTCCATCCAAGGTACACGCATAGATACGTTTATTGATCAATATTAAAGTAGACTCGAAGCAATATAAAGTTACATCTATTTATTACTATGACAACCTAATAAGCTAATGATTATGCCACTCGCCTTTCTTTTATATACCGTAACTCCTCTCATTCATGACGTATTTAAATGGAATCGGATCCTTATCATCAGCTCTTTGAACTTTGACAGTTACATTACCAAATCCACAAGTATACTCCTAGAGACCTGACTAGGAAAAAAGGAAAGATGATCAGTAAGATATTAATTTCAGCAGATAGCAAAGCATATTCAACAAAGAGCAAAAAGACACTGACCCTTTTTACTATATCAAGATTATTAACACGCTTTCTCAATAGAAACGATATTAAGCACATAAATTCAAAGGTGGACATGAATCATCCTTAACTACATCTTTTCTATTGAAGTCTATTTGGGTATTCAGGTCCCTTAAATATTGTTCGGGGGCAAGAACGGTAACTGAGCATTTCATTTTGCAACATGATTCCCAGAAAAGGATTGCACTTTGAATCAAGCTGTTTGACACTTTCAAAAATAATATACAATGGCTCTAAAAAGGATATACATCAGCACAGTTGAGAGGTGTACTTTTAAAATATAAAGTTATTTGAAAGATAACTTTACTGTTTCTCGTCTCTTTTCATACTAGAGACATAGATCCGCTTATATACAACTGAAGTAATATTCCAATACAAACTATATGTTGATATATTTGTAGTTGACAAATCGGATAAAGACGGCTGGCACTACGGCCATGTGTCCGGGTTGCATATATTCTAAAGTTTTAAGGTAACCTGAGTATTTATAAAAACTACCTTTTCACTTATTGTCAAAGCAAGCAAATTGCATATAATCAAGGCCTCGTCCGATAGTCTTTGCATAGATGTATGAGGATAAAAACAAAACAAAAAAAAGGAAGCGCGACTTGTTACTTTGGAGTTTATCTTCCCATAAAGAATAGAGGATATGCTTTTATAAATCTGGCTTTATGCAGAGTAAGAGCCAAAAAAGGATGCGGGATACACAGCACCAAGCCATCTTTGCCATAATAGGGCTTAGACTAAGAGCATTATTACGTTATGGATGGAAATAAAAGAATTGAAAAGAGAGTTCTTTGGGTATGACAGATGTAATACAAGATGCAACTTATTTAATAGTCTCTCTCTTTCTTTCTCTTGTTTTCTTCCCTTTTCCACACAAAAAAGATGACTTTTGAAACAAGTACTTTTCCCATTGGTTATTTTTATATCATTTCAAAGCTCAATGGTATGGCTTTGGATATCGACACGAGCAAACCGGTTGGAGTAAGGGCATATAAAGGAAGTTAAAGTCGACGTGGAGCGCGTATTAAAACAATAATATAGAGCGGTTCAAAAGTAGTTACTGCACCCAAAAAGGAACAAAAGCCTGAAAGAGATACCCAGTTATGGATCCATCAGGATGGTAAGTTGCTCCAAACACCCCTTTTTCTCTCTTTTTCTCTGATCATTTGTCTTAGGTTTCCTCACGAACAAGTTTACTGGTCTCGTGTTGGATATTGGAAAGGCAAAAACATTCAAAGGTAAAGTTCATAAAAAGACTGAATAAACCTCTTTTTAACATTTCGAAGCCATCTTTACGGGCGAAGAAGCTCTCTTTGTGGATGAAATGAAGACAGAGGAAAATGTAAGATAATAACCTTTTCGGGAACTCATTCCGAAATGAAGCTTTGTAACACGATGTTCTTTTAGGCCAACGATCAACGATTTGGATTCTCCAATGGTTATCTTTATCCTCTATCGGAACCTAATAACGTTGTTGATATTCGCAAGAGCAACGCAGAAGCAGGTGCTGATATTATTATTCACGTAAAGAAAGAGGAAGACGCTTTTAACCAACTCTGGGAATTGGAATTGGCCGATCCTCCCAAGGTCTTGGACTCTTCTGATGACGAAGAAGATGACAGTAAGCGCGCTCGTCTTAGAGCATGGTTTGGCAACTGGCTAGGATGGAAGGATCACGATAAAACCAGACTCTTGAAGGAAGATGAACTTCAAAAGGCACATGACAAGGTTTACAAGAAGAAGAAATCTAAATTACCGTAAGAAGAAAGATACATCTTAAAGAAAAATTCTGACATTATACATTAGCTATGAAATCATTGCTGGTGCTGTTGCTGTAGAGGCTGTTAAGCATTACATTGCCAAGCAAGAAGAGAATGGTGAGGATGTTCGCTTTAAGGGAGCTAAGGAAGCCATTGCTGGTTTTGCTGCTGCTGAGGTTTGTTTTGATTGTCTTTTCCGTTATATCTTTCTTATTTATTATTTATAGATGGTTAAAATATTCATGGAAAGAGGCACAGATGATGATGATGAAGACGATGATGAAGAAAGAAAGCAAAAGAAGCAAACCTTACTTCAGAATATGGCTATTTCTGCTGCCTCCAACTACTATGACACCAAATACAAATAAAATAAAAAAAGTTTTTGCGGAGCCTCAACTTGGTGTCCCCTTGCCTGTCTTGTTTTTTTTTTTTTTTTTCTTGTTGCATTAGTTATGGAAAAGTCATTTGCCAGCCTACTTCGCCATTCTCGCCTGGCATCCTATGATAGAACGATAGAACAAGTGTACAAAATACCCAAACAATGTAAAAATATTGGCGATTGGGGATTAAAACGCAACCTGCCTACTGTGATCCGAACACCACATGTCATCATTAAAGCACTGGATACAGCTGAACATCAAACACCATGGGTCTCTGGTGAGAGCAAAGTGTTATTCTTGAAGCGCTGGAAAGAAAATTTCCCCAATTCTCATAAACCTGCTCCTCGATCGGAAGAAGTTTATTACAATATAGCCAGTATGACCCCTGCAGAGTTCAAACGGTTCTTGAGAAGCATTGAAAAGAAGGCACCTGCTTTCAGGGAAGCATTGGCGAAGAAAGAAGCTGTGCCTGAACAGGTATTTGAATATCTTAAAGTCAATGTCACCAAGAATGAGACTTCCAAAGGCGATGGTGTGGTCGGACCTACTTACTCTGAGTACACAGTCGAATGGGATTACCCTGTCGAAGGTCGTATACTCAACATGCTCAGAAGCTTTGATGGCCATGCGGTCGGTATTGGAGGTGTTGTGGCTCATTTGCCCAGACGACACACACTTGGACTTCGAACAGCTGTAGACAGAGGTGTGCGTACGTTCTATGTTCAGGAAGCAGAGATAGACGAGGAAGGTAAACCCAGAGTGGTTGTTACGCCTAAACGTAAATCAGCCCCCCTATCGGTCGCTTTGTTGAATGGTCATGAATCTGAAGAGTCAGTCGATCCTAATACAACAATGACAGCTGAAGATATGTTCAATACTCAATCTCGTACTCGCCGTCGCCCAATCAGCCGCCCTCAATCAGAAGACAACATCAAGCCTAATCCTGAACATAAGGACTTGATGTCACGTATATCAACCTTATTAGAAAATAGCCACAAGAAAGAGGAAAGTGAATAAGAAAAAATTGCATAAACTAATAATAATAAATAAAAATATGTGAAATTTATTAATTTCGTTATATTTCCCTCCCTCCTTCTTACTCACACACACACTTTTTTTTTCTCCTTTTTGGAAATGACAATAGTAGTCGAAAGCGTTGCCTGGGGTATCTATGGCGTAGTAGTTGCTGTAATGCCAAGTTGGCGTTTTATCTTAAAGTGTTGTCTAATTTAAATCTAGATGCTATTCTTATTCAGTGTATTATTTACAAGATATTTTCAAGCCAAATATGATTCCGAATTCTTTGCTACATTCATCACCATTTTGGCATTAGGACTTGTCTTTTCAACATTAGCCTTATTGCCTGTTGACATTTTTTTAGTTTCAGCTACAGTAGATCCTACAATGGGAATCAAGAAAGAATGGGCAACACCAGAAACTATTAACCGAATGACCAAGGTGACAAGTATAGTGTACTATGGTCAGTTGCATATTATAAAAGTATGCTGTACATTTATATCAACTTGCATGAATAGCCTTTTATGGAACCATTACGATGTTTAGCTTCTTTTTGATACCCTTTGCTTATTTTTTCTATGAGGAGTATGATGAAGATCAATCATTAAAGGACAGGATAATGGGTGCGCTCAAGTACACTTCCTTTTTTGTCATCATATCCGTTCTTCTATCTATCTTTGGCTTATTCCTCAAGCCAACTGCGAGACCGCCCAAGATTGATCTGGATTGGTTCAAGAAACTGCTTACAGAGGATTGTAAGTGTAGTAGTAATAAAAAGGAGAAAAATGCTAACGTGTAGAGGCTAGATGGCGGAAAGACCATCTCATTTTTGCTTGCATGCCTTATTTTGTTCGGAATGCTTGTCTTTATTGGATACACCGTAAGCTAAACTGATGATCATATCACAAATATTAAATCTATAAACAGGCACCAGGGTTATCGCTTTTGCCCATGGATTTGATGAAGGGCAGACGGCGATTAGAGGATGAAAGTGAAGATGTAGAGAATAGGTTAATCGCAGCCAAGGAAAGACAGCGAGCGATCAAAGCCAAATATGCCAATAGATCACTACCAGTTAAGGAGCAACGAGAACTTGATGAACTAGAAGATGAAGAAAGACTACTCTCCAGAAGGCTAAGAACCATTCAACAATATCGATCAAGCTTATTTCAAAAGCTATTCTACATTGTTCGACCATTTGAAGTATATGATACCTTTATTATTATTCATTCATTTATTCATTCCATGTTCATATCTCTTTAGTTTATATTAGGTGCCATATTATTATGCGTTACTTTAGTCATTGCTGTATCCATCTTTATGACAATGTAAAGTAACTCTGTATACGATGATATATATTCATTATTTGTCTATAGAGTGGATAAAATTGCTTATGCAGTATGTGGAAGTCAATGTGGCTATGTCATTAGTCATCCAAACATGTTTAACCCTATCAACTTCATATTTGTTAAATTATCCAAGATATTCCCATTAGACTATCTATTTATGGTTGGATTGATTATTTACTTCTTCTTAGCAACCATGTCTGGAATCATCCATGTTGGCATTCGATTTCTTTGGATTACCTTATTTCGTATCAGAAAAGGAGCTACTGCCCCTCAAGCCTTGTTAGTAACTGCTGTATTACTCACATTAAGTTTACTGGCATTAAATTATACCGTGACAACCATCGTTGCCCCTAGTTATGCACACTTCGGAAGCCAAGTCTATGTAGAGTAGAAGAAATAGCACATGTATAAATTAATATATATGGATTCTAAGCCAATTTATAGTGTAATCAAACAAACACACTTGGACAAAGAGATTGTACTCAAAGTAAAGAATGGATTGTTCCCTGTGATATTTATGGGCCTACAGGTATAACCAAAGGATGAGCCGTTATCATGCATTCCAACCTTTTTATTTTATAGATATATGTACACCAACAGTGTCATCAACATTGATAGATAAAATCATTGTAAACACGCCCTTTTTTGGCATCTTCTTTTATTGCTCACAGTGGGTATTTCTGATCGTGTTTATCCTTGGTTTCCTATATTCGATTTTCCGAAAGCCAAGAAATAGTGTACAAACTGATTTACAGGAGCTTGTGGATGATGAAGAAGAACAAAGTTTGCTAAGTCCATCCCGAAGACAGGATGAACGTTACCATACAACATAAAGAAAGAATCTCGTGTGCGTTACATGCAAATCCATACACACACTCATTCTTGTACATGTTCGATCAAAGGACACGTTTTTAGTTGCTCTATTTGATTAAAATATAATATTCCCAACTTTGGGTAATCTCCATTGGGCCTTTTTTTTGGCTTCTCCTTTCGATTATTTTTATCTCTCCTTTTTTTTATGTGTTTTTTTTTCACTTGTAGTATTGTAATGCTTTTCATGCAAGCGAAAAAAAAAAAGGAAGCAAACAGGTATTGGAAAGAGATTATGCGTAATATAATACAAAGTGACAATGAAGTGAATAGGAAGAATATGTAGAAATTTTCACTGGTAATTAGTTGCATTGTTTATATGAAAGATCGTCAGTTTGCAGGATGCAATCTCGTCAATCAAAAAAGTAATAGTTGCTACTTTTGGTAGTATAGTAACACAAATTCCTTTTTTTTACAAGTGAAATAACAAGCTTGGTGCATAAAGTAACCAGATCAAAAACGTCTAGTTCTTTTTCGATTATTAGAAGGGAAAATAAATTTTAAGGGATAATTTTTGTCAATTAAAGTAATTGACAATATGTTTCAATCAAGATAATTTTGTTGATCTTTCATCATGTTTGTACTTCAATCACTGTGTTTATGTTTGTTATTTGTTATTCTTCAACAATCAATTGTTCACTCACAAAATAATAATATATCTGATGGTTGCCGTGACACACTTTACCATGGAAATAGGTTGTCATAGTTATTCTGTTTTTCTTGCTTTTTATAGAGTGAGGATATAGTTTAATAATTTCAGAAATGATAGAACAATAATGAGCAATATTCAATAGGGAGAATACCATTATAAAAAGATCTGTTCTGTTTGTGTGACGCTTATGAAATAGGGGCAAGTATATGTCCAAGGGACGTCAAGTTTAAAGATCTCATTGGTCTATTTATTTTTAGCATCCAACCTATAAACAGCGTATAGTTTATGCACAGAATTTTCAATATAAAAAGTAGATAATCTTTTTGTTTTCTTCTTCTTTATCTCATTCATTCTTTTTTTTTCTTTTCTTATCCATTCTTTACAAGAACTAACTCTTGTATCATCCAACACTTCATTCACTTGCTACCCAATTACCTTCCCTACTTTCTTTTACCTTCAAAAAGCTTTTAGATAAAGATTTTTAATAACGTAAGCTGCAGATACCAAAATGTCATAGCATAGATACTAACAGGACTTATAGATGTACTCAACCACTTCTGCTTATCAGCCTTCATTTGAATTATCCTCTGTTTCTGCTCCTCCTCAGTTATCTCCACCAGAGATTGAGATTGACCATTGCTTAAACAACTATCAACGACATGACAGTATTGATTACAGTCGTCGCGCAAGTTATTTCACTGGTCTCTTATCCTCTAATGAATCCAACTTATCTGATCAAGAGCAGCGAACACCCAGTCCATTCAATGGTTACGAAGACTATCAGTATCACCATCCTTTGGATAATTCAAACAAGAGACGTATGAGTACGTTGATTGAGCTCCCTCAACTGAACTACCAGCCATCATCTGATTATGGTTACTCCACTGTTATTCATCCTTGGCTTACAACCGACAATGTCATGAACTCTGACAATCGCTCTCCATTGATGTATGCTAATCCTGCCATCGATATGTATTCTCCTCAAGCTTACTTTGGTAATAACGGTGGCAATAGCTTTCATCCTCTCATGGCAGGCGATTCCTTGGGCCTTCCCGTAGACGGCGTCTTTCGTGAAAGAGCCTCTTCAGCATGCTCCTCTTCCTCTGCCGATAGTTCACTCTCTATCAGTCCCCCACCTACACGCCGATCCAGCAAGGCTGCCGTCAGCCTTTCTAAATCACCCGTCAAGCGTTCTCGTGGACGCAGAGTGTCCAACAGCCCAAGTGTAGCTGGCCAAAAGGTGTTTACCTGTACACATGATGATTGTGGTAAGGTATTTAAGCGATCAGAACACTTGAAGCGTCATATTCGATCCATTCATACTTTGGAAAAACGTAAGTACATTCTCCTTATTCTGAAACCCTTTTATTGATCTTATTATTTTAGCCTATGAATGCCCTTATCAAACGTGCTCCAAGAGATTCTCTCGCTCTGATAACTTGAACCAACATATTCGCATTCATCGTCACACAGGAAAAGACAAGAGCAATACTAATAACAGCAGCACCAGTAATCAGAACGCTAGCGTCTCAAACAACAACTTTAATAATTTTATGCCTACTTTTTAATGACCTTAAGCAACATATTTTGGGTTCTTTTTTTTTCTTCGCATCTCTTTATACCATTATTGTTTGTTTACACTATTTTATTCATTTGCATGCCTCTTTTCTCTCTCTACCACCTATTTATTTCACAACCTCATTTGCCCTTACATATGTCTCCTTAAATTTTATATTGTCAATTTTATATATTGAATTCACATCTATTAAATCAACCAACTAAAAAAAATGGAAAGCACATAATTCATATATCCTTTTTGTATGTATTATACAGCATCTAATTGTTGTTTGCACCAATAAAAAAAAACTAGCTACTCTGTTTTCAAGTTCTATTGTATTTATCATTTAGAATGAATAGTTCATCTTTTTGTTTACCATTCACTGAACGCGTACTCATACCTTTTACACTGAACCAAAAGAGGAGTATTGACATCAAAATTCGTGCAACCACTACTTTCGTATATACTACCACATGTTTTCATGCAAAAGGGCTCTTTTTTTTTAGTTGGCCTATTTAGTGACTTTTTCATAAATTCTGGTTCATTCTAATGGTGGTGTTTATGCCAGAATTTATCCCCGTGCTCTATTTCTCTGGCATATTTAGCCTGATGTGTAACCTATAAAACGCCCGTGTGTTCTCCTTACTTTGTTCGTCATTAATATAGCTAAAGTATACATTTTATCATAATATATACCTACATGTTGATCATTCAGGTGTTATTAATTCATTTCTTTAGTAATAACAGGCCTTGAGGAGGCTGCTCGAAATGAGCTAATGGCATGCATAATTTATTAGACAGTGCAGCTTCAATAAGAAATAGAAGCGCTGTCAGTCACTTCTATGATATGACATTATTTCCTTATTGGATATGAAGTGAAGAAAGACTAGATTTTTCTACATACTATCTTATGCCTAATTTGTATATTATATCTTGTTTTATGATTCTTCCTTTTTATTTTTGGAAATAAGAAGAGCACGGTCCACTAGTGAGGACAACAACAAAGAGTGAAAGAAATTAAGTCAGATCATCACTCCTCTAATTTTGATCATTCTACTCCCCTTCCTTCTCCTTCCTCTTGTCCTTATATGTCTTTTTTTTTTTTAAGTAGCAACAAGAATAATCATTGAAATAGGAGTGTAAAATGGACCAAAGTATGAAGTAAAAGTGGTACCTGTGTCATAGGCTACATTGAACAAAAAAAAAAAAAAGAAGTCATGGGGTCAATCGTTTGATCTTTTCCATATTGAAGTAACCACCGAATCTGATTCTATGCAGTTTTTACTTTTTTCAGAATGTTATCTTTAAAGGTCTTACTATGTCTACCAATAGTCTCTCTCCTTTTTCCCAAAAGAGTTTTTTTTTTGACCCCCATTCCTTTCAGGTACACTGATATTAGCACTAGTCAAGACATTCTGGCTATAGGTATTTCTCTTTTTAAAATAAAGTTTATCGTAGCTTCTTCAAGGGAAACTATAGATTATTTGTGAAACTTTCAAGGAGATGAAATAGAGTTAAGTCGTGCGTCAAAGCCTCCTGAATTACGATCATTTTCTTACAAAAAAGTAAAGAAAGGGCATTATTTTTATAGAAATTGGTAATTGACTTTGAATGAATATTCTGTGAACCAAGAATAAGGCAGCATCTCTATTCATATTCATCAAAGATCGGTACTAATCAGAAGCTTGTCTTGCCGTGACTCGTTCATTTCATGATCGACCTTGTTCAACTAGCTATTTTTGTCACTTTTTTCAGGTATTTGGCAGCTTATTTAAGCTTATTTTCCTGCAAAAAAGCTTCTTATATTAATTCGTCTACGATTAAATAAAGAAAGGAGTCATGCTGCTTGATTTGTATTTCCATTCTCGATCACGACATCGCTTTCCTGCAATAACAATGCGATAAAAGCATATATGGATATATATACCTTTGAGCAATAAGCATATGCCACTTGAGCTTATTATGAAATCAAAAAGGGTGATAAGGTTTAAGCATAGCCAAGATGGACTATGAGTAAGCAAATAGCATCATATTATGGGATTTTTTGAATTACAATAAGAAAGAAGGACAAGCAACATATGCAATAAGTTGTGGTTAAACCAGAGTGGCTTGATGCTCACAAAATGCCCTTTAGGCGATCATTTGGACAGCGTATAAGATAAAAGCTCTTCATATGATTATCAGGGCAAATACACACACACAATAAGTATTAAAAACCAGACGTCTCAGAGAACCCTTGGCTTGTTATAATAAAGATGTGAGCATATATTACATGAAATAATAGGATAATTTATTTTTAGTAAACAGTTTCCGAAAGCGGTGTGTAGACTAGCCTTGGACAGATGAATACTATATCGTATTTTATTCTCATCTCAATCATGGGGACGGAAGGGTAGACAGGGAGATCATGGGGCATTGTTTTTTATTTATTTTGACTCAGCCATCATTCGAGAACACCTTCAAGACATCTCTACAAGATGTGCCTAGAACCCTTGAAGAGTGGTAAGTGTCTCTTTTATTCTGTGCAAGGGCTCGTGCGAGTGCAATATAAACAAATGGTACACAACAAACATCCTTACACAGTGTTACTATGATATGGTCTGGGCTAGAATGCTCCCTTATGACGGCATTTATAGTGTGCAGAGTCATCCGGAAACACTATACTAAGTAACCTACCGACATATAAGACGACACCCAAAAAAAAAAAAAAAAAAAAAAAAATTTAAAAGCAAATGAACAAAAGCTTTCTCTTTTCCCTTTTCCTTCTCTTTTCCTTTTTCTTTTCTTTTCTTTTTTCGTTTCTCTTTTTTAAAAATACATGCCACAAGAAAATCTCTTCTCTCAGAATTTTCAACCACCTCAACCTCAACATATATTTGATCCTAACACAGGGCTTTACCAAGCTGATATGCCTTTACAATTTGCTGCCTCAGTTCCTCACCGTCAGCCACAGCACTCTTCAACGCCACCACAACGACAACAAGGACCTCCTCATCAACCCTTGGCCTTTCAACATGCACCATTTCAAAATCCAGAGGTTATGATGCCGCCCTCTTGTAAATAATAGCCAATACTAAAAAGGGAAAAAAAGACTAATGACCTTATAGGTTTAACCAACTATCCTAGTAGTCCATTTGAGAGACAGGAACCCTTGATGCCCACGGGAGGCGGTAGTACAAGCAGACAGGTACAGACTAAGGCCGAAAGAAGAGCTGAGCATAATGCCACCGAAAGACTTCGACGAGAAAACTTGAATGCTAAATTCCAACAACTGGCACACATCTTACCTAACCTTCAAAATGATACTCGACATTCTAAAAGTGCAATCATTGATCGAACGTTGGATTATGTAAAAGGATCGATTCTAAAAGAAGAACGTATGCAAAACCGAATAAAGGAACTTGAAAAGATCAATAGCTATTTGTTATCTCAATTGGACGATCGTAGTACAGGGACGAGCTATAAAAGAAAGAAGTCGACTCAAATCGAACCTTCTCCGTCACCCGTTCCAGCTTCTTCGCCAAGTCCCAATTCAGTCATATCTGAGGAATTGAATCATATGGAAGATCCGATAGCAGAACAGCCACCGATAATTCATAAACAAGGATTACAAAACAACAAGACCAGTGGATTCTTTGGAGAACCCCATGTTTCGAGTACGGTCACGAATCACTCAACACCCAACACAACCACAACCGTTCGAGCCCCTAGTAATGATAATAATAATAATAATAACAGCAACGCTCGTTCTGTATCACCTTTGTCGGCTACGGTTACCCCGAGAACGGCGTATCATGTAAATAGTAACTGGCCCAATAATAATAATGGATTTATGAACAACCAACATCCTATAAAGCAAGAACAGATGCTATATTGTGATATCGAACGACTTTGTACAATGATGACGACAGATCCATTTATGAGATATCGAGATGAAGAGGATTCAAATGGTAATCATTCACCACCTATGAATACATTTGTAGAACAACAACAACGCCAATATATCTCTATGATCAATCACTCACAACCCATCATGAACCACAATGAACATTTATATCATTTAATGCAGCGACAATAAGTATATTATGAATTTTATTTATTACATCGTCCTTCATTCATCCATACCCTACGTTTATATGCCCCTCCCCCCTTTTCCTCCTTTTTTTTATAACTATATTCTACAGCAAGCATAACATAAATAACACTAATGATTTGTATGTATCTTTTCCCTTTCCGTAACCAGAAAAAAAAAAGTTTTTGCCTTGTTTTCTCTTTTACAATAAATAAATAAAAATCAGATGATGATCAACTATTACATAATAACCAAAAAAATAACAAAAAGAACAAGAGAAGAAGAGAGAGAGTTTATTTTTTTATCCTGACAAATTATTCAGTAGTGACTGACAGTGTACAACTTGCCCATTTAGGACAGATTCACTAAATTGCGCGCGCGTGTATAGGCCGTTTTTTATTATTTTTCAAGGCACGGACAGAGCCCCATCAGCTTGTTACGAGACACACAAAAGGATATTGCTCATCGCTTTTTTACACCCAATTCCACCCAATAAGTAGCATGGCCCAAGGAAAAATACGGGTAGAGTCATCAAAATGGGAAAGATCTTAAAAAAAAAGAAGGCACCCTCATTCATAGAAAGGACATATTTTTTTCTTCTGAATTAGGGAAGTACGATCAAATGATGTTAATTCAGATGACTGAAACTTTAATTGTACAAAGAATCCTGTGAGATCACTGACGAACGCCCTCCTCAGTTAGCCAATTTCTTCATCATCTGAACTATGTCTACAAGAAAGAGTTTGTTGAATATCACAAAAAATATATAGTTTATTAAAAAACGCATGAATGAGACAATAAAAAGGAGAAATAGAATATTGCGCGCGTAAATAAAACTCTAAAAGGATAGAAATATATAGTATATTCCCAAGCTTAGAATGAACAATATAAGGGATTCATTCTCTTTTGTAATTGAGTTGAATAGTATATTCTGTATTTATCAAAGAAAAAAAAAGGCTAGTCATTTATTCATGCAGATATAGACTCAGTGAGGGACATATCCCTCATTCATCATACATCCCAAATAATGCAATAGATGAGAATATTATGCCGCTTCAGGTGTATCATGTGATCATCGTATCTACGCAGGCGTAAACCATCGTTTCTCTAGGATGGGCCATAGTCACATAAGCTTTATTTGACGTTATTTGTATTCGATTTATTTTGTTTCATTGATTTAGGATCATTGATCACGAATACTTTTCAATTCCTACGCATTCTTGTTGAATTACCTCATCTTTAAAGCGAAGGGCTATACTATTTAAGCTGTGTTCCCATCAATTAAAGCTTTATAGCTTCTAAATATATCTCTACTCTGTCCTATTCCCTTCAAGCAAATGAGCTATTATGGATGAGAATAAAACACCATAGCACTACATGCATATAATCTTTCCCAGGATCTATATAATACTAAGCCTGCCGCTGATCTCATGACCAATTTGAGAACGACACAAACTGACGTTTACGGCGTACTATACTTATTGTTTGTCGCATGAGATTAGTCTCTCTCTCCTTATGGATCGTATATAAGCTGTAAGCTAATCGTCTTGGCGGGAAAAGCTCATGGATCCTACATCAGAGCCAAAAAGAACTTTAGGTCTATTTTCATACATAACTTTAGATTGCCCTTTTTTTTTTGTTTATCTAGGTTGTTTATATGAAATATTGTATGAGGGTATCCATTGCTCTTTTTTTTTATTTCATTTCATAAGATATACACTGCTCTTCATCTATTGTTTTTCCTTGATGGTTACCACTTCCTGTTGATGCTGTTGAGGGAATCTTTTACGTAACATCTTGATCATCCGACTGAACCACCAAAAATTTAAGCAGCTGGTGGCGAAATTGGCTGAGCCATAAACTATCCAATCTAACGTATAGTGTAAGATGATAATGCTACTTTTTTTTTAAAAAAAAAAAAACTTACAACGCAGAGGAACATGATCTTTGACTGCATAAATATCAACTATGAGAAATATTTGGATAAGTGACATGGCTAATTGACATAGGCGTTGTATACTTTACTCCACATTTTAACAGACATGACTGTACCAAATACGACTCGTGCACCAAAGAAGGTTAGTAGTAGAACGACACCATTAATCAATTGAATTCTTGAACCGGACCAGCCGATCTTATCCTATAATAAAACATAAGTGACATGAATGTTGTGGAGACTATTATCTTTTTACCATAAACCAATGGAAATTTAAAAATATTGTGCTTAATTCATACATGAGAAAGATCGCACCGTAATAATTTACAAATGGACGCTAAAGATGATGTAAATAACAAGAAGAATATAATACAAGACACTTACGAATGAAAATATAAAGACAGAGAATGATGCAATACCATGCAATACCATACTTATACCTTGATCTTTGTAAAAGTAAATCGCAGTGATTGTATCCCATAAGAAGTAACTATTGTGGGTATTATAAAAAAAGCTCGATGTAAACTATATAGTACTATACCCGCAAGAGATGGAGTATATATCAGCAGCCCATTTTGTATATCCAAATACTCTATCATGTTCTAATGAATTATCAAAAAGGATAAAAAAGGATCCAACAACCACAGCTATGCAATGTACTGTAGATACAACATGGATATGCCAATTGGGTGCATTATACTAAAATGATGTAAACTTCTATATGTAGTTTGTATTTATTATGTATATACTCTACTCCTTTGAAGAACTGAAATGTCTTTGGAAACAAAACAGGCGAAAGTATTCTCGATATTTCATAGACAATAGTAAAGAACATGGCGGAAATGAGCACTGATTGCCAATGATATTTTAATGTTGATAACGATAACTGATCTAATAGCTGATAAAAGGGTGCGTTCATGGTGTTTAGAAGATAAAAAGATGAAAGGGAAAAGCTTTCATTTGGTATAAATGGTTTTATATCATTATTGAAAGTCAGGTATTTATTATCCCCAAAAGATGAGGAGAAAAAAAGGTACAACCAACAGCTTAAAAGGAAAAAGGGGGACTCGGAGGTTATTGCAGAGAAAGAGAGACAGAGAGAGAGATCATTAGCTGTCACTCTGATATCACATGGATTTAACCTAAAACAGTGTTTTGATATGTTTTACATAAATTATGTTATTCTTTTCATATTCATAATTGCACACTTTCTGCTGCTGTTGTTGTTAGCTCAGATCCCTTTTTTGTTCTCAATAGCAATAGCAATAAAGACCTTGAAAATCTATTTATAAACCAAATTAGCAACTTAGCGTCACACAACTTACACGCCAACAGATTCATTCTCCACGCTCAAATCAGTAAACGGTCAGAGTAGGGCGCGTTTATCACTTATGCGCAGCAAAGTGTATTTTGGTGTTTTTCTCTCTTTCTTTTTTTTTTAATTCTATAACATGCCTTCCAAAACCATAACAAAGCCTATAAAGATTACAAAAATCAACAAGAGAAAAAAGGAAATTGTACAAACGTTCATCGCTAATAATAAGGATATTGATAGTAATGACCATCTTTATCATAAAAAAACAAGCTTATTCACATTCAATAGCTCAAGTCTACTATCCTATCTCTCAAAAGGAGCGTGAGTCTTTTATAAATCCAAAGACCGGAAAGGTTGTCACTCCTTTTCAGTATAAAGTATATGACCTAGTAGCTCAAGTTCCAAAAGGACAAGTTACTTCTTATAAAGTATTGAGCGATACTTTAAAATCCGCACCTCGAGCAGTGGGTCAAGCACTTCGATTAAATCCCTTTTGTCCTTTACCCGTTCCTTGCCACCGGGTGATTGCATCTGATTTGACGATTGGAGGATTTTCAGGAAGCTTTGGTGATAGTCAATTCGTAGCAAACAAGAAGGCTATGCTTGAATTGGAAGGTTGTAGTTTTAATGAAAATTACGTGTTCAAAAATAATGTGGATGGAAGTCAAATAATGTTTAAGGATTTTAAATAAATGTATATGTTGTATGGTGTATGTTGTGTATATATATGTTCTTCATTAATGTCCATAATGATATACTTTTATGATGCCATCTGCTCCTCCACTTATCATCCACGGGTAGCTTCGATGGAAATTCACACCTAATACACCCTCATTTCCTTTTCGTCGATGAGCAGAGAATTCTTGTACGTTTGTAAAATTATCCAAGTTCCAAATTCGTATCGCTGAATCATGACCTATTATAAAGGTGTATTTCATTCATATCTTTAGAGAAACTGATAATAATGGTAATTGGTATATTACCTCCTGATACTAAGATATCATTTGCAGGATCAATGTCAAGACTAGTTACTGCATCCAAGTGACCAGACAATGTATTTATGCATTCACCTAAAGTAATATAAGATTTCTTATGACCATTCTAGTGCTGTAATCCATACCTGTTCTCGTATCGAATACTTTGATATGGCGGTCTTCATGCCCAGAAATAAGTAATGGCATAGTAGCATGTGTTACGATACGGTTAACCTGTGTGGCTCGTGTGTTATCTATTTCATAATAAACTGTTACAACAAATATCGGTTTAGCACACATGCGTCATCCTACCGTAAGTTTCATCACTCTTCTTTAGAGATACGGCCACTTGACCCTTTTCAATATCATACACATTTATTTTTGCATTTGCAAATGAAATAGCAAGCTTGCCTATATCATGCTGGCAGAAATCAAGCGAAGTAGGTGTCACTAGCACCCAGTTAGCAAACAATAGACGAGTTGATCATGCTATACCTTTATCCCTTTGCGTTTCTCCAGATGATAATATACCATCGATCGTCCAAGTACTCTTTAACAAACTGCCTGAGCTCTGTGTATCCCATATTTTCACGGTCCTATCCGCTGATGCAGAGGCTAACAGGTCACCATGTGGTGATAATTTAAGATCCCAGATGGCATCCGTATGACCAACATAGGTTGCAAGACTAAGTGAAGGATCTGCGAATGGTCAATTCAGTGAGAAAATAAGATGACAAGTCTTACCAACTGGTGAGAATGGGCCCCATTCTTCTGATGGCAATTTCCAAACACGAATGGTCGAGTCTAAAGAAGCAGAAAACACTCTATTTTGTAAACTAGATATAGCAAGTGATGTCACAATGTTGGTATGTCCTCTAAAAGTAATGCTTGGATCTGCTTCTTCAAAGGATCCTCTAACAAAAGCTAAGTTTCTCCTTCTCTCTTTCTTGATATATTTTACTAAACTCACTTTTTACCAGCATTGCCGTCTTTTCCGGTTACTTTCTTCAGATTCCATATTTTTACTGTACCATCATCTGATCCTGAAGCAGCTATCATTTCTTTAGGATGGAAACAAACTGCTCTAACTGAATCGAGATGTCTGTATTGAAATCAATAGCTATATCATCAATAAGACTAGGGACATTCTTACCCTTTAATCGTCACACGCGTCTTCCATATCTTTTGTTGATTTTGTGGATGATCATCCATAGCTTCTCTAAGCTGATTTAAAGTTATGTTTATGCGTGGCTATGGTATATAATGAGCTTACCTGATAAGAATCTAGATCACCCCCTAATAGACTATCCTTGCTGCTTGATGTTCCTTTGCTGGCATTTTTCATCATTTTCATAACCTTATCTTCGGATACATTAAACTTTTCTTGGATTTCAGCGGACTATATTTTTACTTTTATCAGCATATCTCCTAACTCTTGTATTTGTTATTATTTTTTTTTTTTTCATACTATCTCTTTGTTATTATCCGGTGACTTGCTCATATTGTTCATCATTGCCACCTCATCGACATTAGCTGGCACTTCCAATTCTTCTAACTCTTCTTTGGGTGGACTTGGTACTTCTTTAGGACTTGATGACACTGAACTTTGCTGAACTGCTTGTCTTCGTGCCTTCTGGGTACGTTGATTTGATTGTCCTTTTGGTAAAGGTGAATCTGTTCTAACGAACTTTGTTTGATCTATTGTAGAAGCTAATGCATTTGTAAGAGGAAGCTTTGTTGGAATAGTAGTCAAATAGTTGATTTCTTCAAGACAGCTGTTTATAAAAGAAGGGGGGATAAGCAAAAAAAGAAAGGAGTTGGTATTTACATTGGGAAAATTACTTACGATTTTAACAGTTGTTTACTCTTTTCCCTTAGTTTGATATTGGTATCATTATCATCTTTACTGCTTTCTTCTAAAGAACTTGCAGGAGTGCTAGAGCATTATGTATTCAATATCATTATCGCTAGGTTAATAAATATAAGCATGTACTTGCGTATCATAGGAGCGGTGGCTGCTCTGGTATCTGTATCTTCTTCTTTATCAGAATATCTCTTTCTGTTACGAATAGTTACTTTAGTAAAACCGATACACACTGTTTATTATAACAAAACCTTTCTTGTCTTAAAGCATATTCAAGCATCTTGACTCTCTTCATCAGAATCAACCTGGAGTTTTCAATTCCTTTTCTTTCACCTTCCAACAAGGCAATTCTAGCCTAAACTACAAGTTGAGTGTACGAGTTTTGATGATGTGATGAGTTACTTTTAATTCAGCTCTTTCAATAGTCCACTCATTTCTTTCGCGTTCAAATCTTCGCCATTCTGCTTGTAAAAAGTGCAGTACACCAGGTAAAGTATATTCTAAAGCCGCTTGTTCAGACATACTTGAGAAAAAAGAAAAGAAAACAAAATATCGACCAAAAAAAGGAGAAGAAAGTAAGCAAACGTGACGTAACAGTAGTGTCCGTAGGGTGCGCCCAAGACATATGCATTGTTTGATCTCTATGGAAACTCAGAAACTGAGCCTCAAACAAAGCACTTTTTAGGACTGAAATTTCTTGAGCGCATAAGGTATCAAGATTTAATTGACGAGGGCAACATATGAATATGCGGATCATGTGAACAAAAGGATTATGTTTAAGCCAAACCAAATCGATGTATGATTGGCTTAAAGCATCTCTGTGCCTCAGGAGTCTTTTGCTCTTTCCCCTTCACATTTTGAATGGCTGGTATTCTGTTTACGCAAATATTCTTGACTCAGCGAGCTTCTCGTAACGTATGAGATACTTTTCCGTACTGTTGCACGGGCAAATAACGAGATTTTTGTGGGGTGTTTTCACCGAGCTTATCGTAAACAGTACATCTAGCGCCAAATAAAGTGTCTTCAAGAGAGATAGTCGCACCCTCTGTTATTCATTATGTGGTAGACACTTCACGTGGGTTGGTAAGACGACCTCAGCAGCTGCTATTGGTATAGAGTATGGCCTTATCATAGGCAGTACAGCAACGCGTTCTATACTTGGCGAGACTACGCTGGCCTAGGGTTATCGGCTTTATTGGGCTCAAAAGTCTGCCTCCACAACGCTAGAACAGTTTTACATCCTGTGGGCGATAGATCCAAGCTATGTTGAATAGCTTTGTTGAACAAAGATTCTAGCTTCACCGACGAGCTTTGGATTGAGATATCGGAGTGGGCACTGAATTCCTGAGAATGACAACATAATAGCCTCTTTCTTAGTAAAGCTGTACTGTTATGTTGTAAATCAGCTTTCATAAAGTCTACATAAAAAAAGGCTTAAATAATGCCATTCATATATCGTTTCATTTAAAGTCGTATTTCTACTTTTATATTATAGAAGACTACATCCTTTTTCGTCAAATAAACAATATATTTCGTACACAAGCCAAAATTATAATACATCATATTAAGCCCATAGGTTCATGAACTTAATATAGTTCATAAGATGTAATTGGTTGACAACATTTATTCTTGCATATAAAGATCATTTTCCCTTTTTGCCATTAATTTCTTTCTTTCTCTGCTCATAAACCACTTATTCTATCTCGATGTACTCTTATGTTTCTGAAGTAAAAGGTTTGTTCGACAATATCACAAAGCCCTCAGAACTCAATATTCGATGATCTGATCGAAAGGTTCACCAGCAAATATAAGAAACTATATTTCATTTACTCTGAAAATATAAATCAACAACGCGAAACAACTCCAGCAAAAAGAAAAAAAATCCGAAAACAGAACCAATTGAAGTTACCAACGACCGCCTCAAGAAGCAAGTGTTTTTCTTAGAGCAATCGTTGCAGCTCGCTCGCGGAAATCTGACGCCTGTTCATCAAACTGCTGAAAAAATCGAATACATGCTCAGAAGAGTAACCTCTGCCAAATACACTTAAGAACATGTCTCTTCTTTAGATTTCCCAAAGGCCGCTCATGCTTTGAGCGAAAGCAACACAATAGTGACGGACATTGAGCAGTTTGTCAACTGTATCATAAAGTTCAAATGCTGCTATTTTTTAGTGACAAGCTTTGATTTATTCGCATCGCCGACAGCAAAAAGAAAAAGAAAAACAACATCCAACAAAGCATACAAGGAACTGTCAATTTTTGTTGACTTATATGAGCTATTGGTTGTGGAAGGTTGTCTGCTGAAGGACAACATAATTACGCCTTTTCTTGGCTCATCCTTAGAAAGCATTGATCCATCTCTACATTTATATTAAAGAAGACTATACCCTTTGGCATAATATAATCAATAAATATATATATTTCGTATACAACCCAAAGTCATCTTGTTTATACGATAATATTGTTAAGCCCACAGCGTTTATTCATAGCTTCTGTAGTCTGTAGCAGTTGATGACGCATCATTCTTCATAAATGTTATTGGTTGACAGCATTTACTCTTGTACTTAAAGGTCAATTTCTTTTTCTTTCTTTTACCAAAAGGTCCACGCCCACTGTGCCAGTAAACTTCTTGAACATTGCAGCCAGACGCATAGAGACATCAACATGTACCACTTCACTTCCCAAGTGTTAGCATTGATTTCTCGTGGAAAACTAATCAATGAAGGTAGTAACATGTGTGCTCCTCTTTCAAGAATTGACCAAGAAAAACGATCAAGCGCCGGTTAACTTTGTCCACTGCCAACAATGCAGATGGTCATATTTTTTTACAAAAATTTGTTAAAGATAGTAACAAAAGTAGAAGCATGAGCGCCATGTTTCTTACTTGGTGCTTATGATATTGCTGAAGCAAGAAAAAAGGCCCAGAAAATTGCTGAAAGTGGTCTTGAAGCTGAAATAAACATCGCCCTGATGCAATCAAGCTAGGGTAAATAGAAGCCTTATTCAAAATACGGCTTGAATGGCTAAAGCGTTTCATTAATGATATACATGTTAAAGTAAGCCTATTTACAAAAGCAAAATTCCAGTTGTCATTATTTATTCAACACACGTCTGGCTCATAGTTAGCCGTAATGACTTAAAGACTTTATGAAGACTGAATACAATCTAGCTAGTGAACAAATAAGAGACGTTCATAAAACAGTAAACTATATAGTAGTGCTGAATCATATTGCTTCGGCATGTATTCAAGATAAGAAAAACCCAGTGCTAATTATGGATTAGGACTTTGATTTCAGGGAATAGTGCACGTACACGTAATCTTCTATTGTTTGCGGCATGGAGATTCTCATTTACCCTGTGTTGCACTAGTATTTTTTTACCAATAGATGGTACACAAAATTGAACCAATAGGAAATGTCCGTTTATTTTGCAAGCTCAAAAAGGCTGGTAAAGCTGCTTTTTTTTCTGCCATTTCTTTCTTTTGAATAAACTTTTGTACATTTGTCAAGATGGGTTCTCCAAGTATCATTACCAATCCCTTGTTCAATGTGGGCTTCTTATTAGCTTCTATGCAACTAGCAAAGAAGGTTGATTGGAACGACCCTGACGTGTTGACTATGGCTCGTATTGGTTACTACAGTGCTCAACTTCTTGTTGTTGCCATGGCCTACGGTTTGATTACTTTGATTAGAAAAAAGAATGGTAAGTAACAATGTAAAAGGCTTATGGGGGAGAGAGAGATTGGGTCATCATGTCTGGCAGATTATGCTACATGACCAAGACAAGTGTGCGTGTTGTCAACAAGGAAAAATAGATGCCGAGATGCTAAATGATATCCGATGTATTTAGATACCACCGTCTTGACTTATACACCTCCAGCTAAACCCGGCTTTGGTGCACCCGCACCTTCCGCTCCTGAAACGGTTACTACTACAATTCGCGATTATGATATTGATCAAGTCAAGCAGTTCATCCAATCCACACTCACCTCCGTATTGATCATCTCTCTTATGCACTGGCAATTCAAGTTTACTCAGCCTCTTTTGATGCAATCTATCATGCCTATCAAGAACTTTTTGACTCATAAGGAGGCTTTGATTCATTTATGGGGTGACAAGCCTGAAGGTAGCCTTGCTAGACCTTTCACTGTTGACAATCCCTTGGGTGGCCTTGCTAGTCTTCTTGGTGTCAGTGATCCTGCCGCTGCTCCTGCTACAAACAACACCAGTAGCAATGATGAAAGTCATGCTCATAGAGATTAAAGAATTGAGAAACACTAAAGGATAATGCTGGATTGCTACAGACTAGAAATTCTTTATTACTGTAAAAAAAGATATAAATAAATAAAATGGGTTTACGCCAGAAAAAGCGTAAAATAAAAGAAAGCTTATTACAATGTTAAATGAATAAATAAATTAAAGGTTGCCTTGGTCCATTTTAGACATGACTTGTTGTATATCATTTTCCTTTAGCACAGGCCCAATCTCTGAGCATTTTGCAACATCCTTGACAGCCTGATAAAGCTGATCTGTTGTGAATTCTTGAAATCGAGCATGCTGTGTGAGCTTTGACCAAATTTCAGGTGCAGTATACAGTCTTGTATTATCTTTAATCCTTTCAATTATTTCCTTATCCCTTGATCTTTGTGCTGGCTCTTTTCCTTCTTCATCATTTGGTATAGGATCCGTGACAAATGGTACTGGATAGTTACTGATTGAAAGATTCAATTTCCCCATTTGATCAAACAATGGCTCGCTCAATAGACGGTCGAATGCATCATTACAGACTTCATCGCATAATCGTTTGCAAAAGGCTTGCCCTTCGACATCGATGTGACAACCTAGCATGTCAAGTTCAAGTTGACGCATGTTTCTACGCTGTGTGTTGGATGTGGACGTTGATTTATCATCGCTAAATATACTATCATCGTCCGCTGCTCCAGCATAGTTGGGTGTAAATGCTATGCCTGTACTAGACGAGCTCTGACTGCCGACACTAATGACGCTATTTGCCTTTTTGACAATAGGCGAAGGTGATAGCTCAGTTCTTCTCGACGTCTCATGTTTAGCTGAAGGTGGAAGGTTGTCGGGTGGGTATAATTGGACAGGTTCGATTGCTTCTACCTTGTTTACCTGTTTTGGTCCATTGCTTGGGCGTAAAGAAGCCGGCGTACTGATCGAGAAAGTGTACTCGAGTGGTTGGTTGTTTGGAGGAGGCGATGACAGCTTTTGTCTTGTTGATTTCTTCGGAGAGTGTGACTTCGTCTGGGACGTTGGTGCTGGTTGAGGCAAAATGTTTTGTCCTGTGTTTGCTATAACAGGAGACAGTGGATACTGATGAAGTGGCGCAGAGGCGAGTAACATGGCGTTATTCACAACTGGAGAGGATGCTAAAGGAGAGTCTGGAGATAAATAGGCTGGTAAGAGAAAAGGTGTATGTGGTGCAGATACGACAGAGCTTGGTAGTAATGGGGCGATGCTCGGGTAAGGCTGGGTACTGCTACCTGTGCTGTGATGGCGTTGATGATGTTGTTGAAAGGAAGCTGGGGACGACGGTGAGAGCCCAATAGAGTGTGGGATAGCTGATAGAGGTGAAGGATAGGGAATTTGGGTACCCTTGAGTGCGTGGTTTTCGGCTTCTAATCTATAAATGACTGATCTTAATTGATGATTCTCTCTTATCAGCTGAGCAGTAGCAACCAAGTGTGTATCCTGAACCTGTTTTAACTTTGCTTCAAGTTCTTTTACATAACGCTCTTTTCTTTCCCTGAACGCTCTCTGAGCAGCTCTGTTCTGAGCTTTCCTTTTTATCTTTGGATCTTGTTCTGACTATTAATAAAAAAAAAAGTGTTATCAATTCTGCAGCGATAGATCTTGAATTCATCATTATTTACATCAGATAGCTCTTCATCAGGCATTGGCTTTCTTCCAGGTTTCTTGTTTACTGATGAATCACTCTCTAAGGCAAACTATATTAGCCATATATGACCTTGATGATCTTTGATTTACCTTGACTATAGTCTTCCTCCTCGTCATTTAGGCTGCTTACAGTAAACTCTTCTTTTTGCAGAGTGACATAGGTCTCACCATCGTTGTCCTCTGAGAAGAATAGGTTAATATACAAATGTCTCCAGATAGTATATACTTACTTGCTGCTTTCACAATGTTTCCTTCCAGCTCCTTCTTTTCAGCAACAGTAAATGATTCATCCCACTTCCTTTTTTCCTGACTAAGCGAATCTTTTCTTGATACACGAGTTTTCTCAGAAGGTGTTAATTGAGCAGAGTCAGAAGGTAGAGGCTCAATTGGATCATCCGCTGGTTTAGATGGTGATGATGCTCTATGTGTTGTACCTGATTCAATGACTTCTATTGTATGCTTGTTGTTGTCCATTTTCATGACGTTAGTAAATTTTGTGCAACAAAAGCAGTAAAGGTTAAAAAGAACAAAATAAGTGATAAGGAAGAGAGAAAACAATAAGAGAAGAGAAGAAGACTAGTGAATTTTAATCAAGTATACCGCTTGGGAGTCGGGATAGCATTCAAAGACCGTCATGTGTAGTACTTTTTCCACATCAAACATTTGCATATAGAACAAGAGGGGGTGAACATAGCTGGTCTGAGGTTAGCGAAATCTAGTTTGGCGATAAAACAATTGCTTTAAAATAGGTTAAAGTAAGGTTTAGATGCGAAAACGAGCAAAGAATGGATGCTAAGACCTTTATTAATAAGGTAGGTAAGCTCAAAGCTGTCAAATTTATGGCCTACATGCAACTTGGTTAAAGCAGCATACTCTTTCTCTATACTCACAAAAAGATTAGCTCAAAGATACCCGATAAGCTTTGAGTCGGATATTGAATTATTTGTCATAAATTGGGTATTCTTCTCCCTTGTGGTCTTGCCATATTTGATCATGGGATTTTTTTAAGAAACTTCAGTTACACTTTCCATTGCGTACAGTGACGTAGAGGTCACGAGCCAACGAAAAAGGAATTGAAAGCAGTGAAAGCAAAAGAAGGAGGAGAAAGAAAAAGGGACAGAGAAAAGAGTATTATAGAATTTAACACTGAGCGCTTTGATCCTTTTTCTATTAGTGCGGTGCATAATTTCTGAATAAAGTATAGGAATGCAGTTTAGACAATTGACAAATGATTCTTTGAAGTTTTATTTTCAAAGAGGTTTATTAAGGATTTCATAGACAACATTGATAATTCTCGCTTGGGAATGTCTTTGAATCTTGCTTAGTTTTGCCTATCACTTGACTTTGGGAATTGCTTGATGGGGTTAAGCTTAGGTAAATAATGAAAAAGATACACAAGTGTGTTTCTTCCTTTGATCTCTTCTTTTACTTGCTTTGACGTATAAATTGGAGCACTGTCCATGATATGCAATGCATTCTCAAATTGCTGTGCTTAAACCATACTATCCAAAGCTTCGCTAAGAGATCTCAGGTAATGACGAGTGGTCATCTTTTGATTTTCTCTGTCTGGAAGCTTCATTAGATGCTTCTTATATGCCATGCAAATGACTGATATGTTGTCTTTATGCTCTTCTTCTGATTTTTTTACGCAGGCCATCTATTTCTCTTTCTTTATGTAAAACAGCTGCAACACTTATAAAGGTAATAAATACTATCACCATGTACAGTTTTACCAGTGTGCGCACTTGCTCTATTAATGAGCACTATTCCTGTGTGAATAATATGCTGGTCTGCATAACAGCCCTTTCTTTAGCTGAACGTGACTGTAACACAGAATGATAAATGTACCCGAGAGACTTTCACATCTTGTCTTTATAAATTAATGCCTGGAGAAGAAGACGATCAAACACACTTGTTTGCTGCAACTGACGACCAGCAAACTAGGTAAAGACGACCTTTATTTCTTTTTTCTTGATGAGTATCTAATGAACTATAGTGGATTACTGTCCATGACCTCAAGGACTCAGCATAGATTAACAAAGTCAGAGATTGTCAAGGGGATGGCAAATAGATTTATGTATTCCAAGTTTTATATTGGTTTATATCTCATACTCGCTTTCTTGAGCTTTGTTTCTATTATTATGGTAAGAAACAGCTTTAACAAATGAATCTAGTGCTCATTATGTACCTTCTTTAGTCATTGACAGAAACATGGTATTTGAAAAATAGAGACAGTGTCTTACTTCTTACTGACTGACCTAGTCCCTCTCATTTATTTATTATCTTTGAAGCTATAATTAACCTTGCCATGATTGTAGAAGTATCAACTAGGCTTTTAGCTTTAGGCAGAGTAAGTTTTATTGGTAGATAGCATAAAGAGATTGACGATGGGCCATTAGAATTACTGGAAATCAGTATGGAATGTAGTGGATATTATCTTGGTGATGTTATGTGTAGTAACCCTTATTGTGCTAACAACGGGGTGCTCCATTGGAGAGAGAAATGAAGCTATATTCGACACCATCTTACTTGTTATACGTAATGGGTTTCAGTTGTTTAGACTGTTTATGATGCTCAGAAGGTACAAAAGAAACAAGAGTATGATATGAATACTAAGTTGTTATAGAAACCAATATTCTATCCGTGCAAGATCTACGCGAATTGATTTCGATGACATTTTAGATAGCGCAGAGGACCCTTCGAGTGATTTCAATATCGAAGATCGAGACAGAAATTTACAAGAAAGCTTTCTGGATGATGATGATGATTCAGACCTTGAGAGAAGCAGGCTGTAATAATAGCAACGATGTACATATATGCATAAATGTTTACCCTTACACTAATAATGCTTAATATGGCATGTTTCTTTGATACAAAACAATAACTTGATTTATTATATTTTTAAAATTTAAAGTGCAGCACTGAAGACTTCAGGGAAGTTCTTGTCTTGAACAGCCTTTTCAAATGATTTACGGAGAGCTTCGAGGGCTTCAACGCTCTTGTTCTTGGCAAGAATGTCATCGAGCTTGAACAATTGAGAGTCGATTTGATCAGGTGTAGCAGGAGCATCAGCAGGCATAGCATAGTTGTTTTCCTTCATGAGGGCCTTGATAGTCTTCTTTTCCTTCTTGATGGCACGCTTAACCATTTCCTTATCCTTCTTGGCAGCTTCAGCAGCAGCCTTAGCGTCAGCTTCAGCCTTCTCCTTTGCAATTCTTTCTTCTTCAGCCTTTCTGGCAGCTTCTTCAGCAGCGGCCTTTTCAGCAGCAGCCTTAGCGTCCTTCTTGGCGTTTCTTCTCTTCTTTTCTTCAGCCTTGAATATGGCAATACGAGGATCCATACCTAAACAAGTATCTACGAGCTTACGAAGACGAGCATTATCTTCCTTCTTGAGTTGAGCACGTTGAGCACGGTTCTTCTTTTCTTGATAACGCTTATCATCACGGTTATCAGATCCTTCAGCACCTTCCTTATCAAGCCATTCAAAGGTTCTCCAAGAATCAAAGTTGTACCAGAAATCGTAAAAGCCTTCGACTTCTTCCTTGGTAGACTTTTCGTCACCAAGGGTAGGAACAGGTTGCTTGTTGGAGAAACGGGCTTCACGTTCAAACACAGGGCGCCAGAGTTCATAAAAGTCTCCCTTGCTCTTGGCATTGGGCACATCAGCTTCGATATCAGCCATACCAAAGTCGACGGAATCATATTGACGACGGGTAACAGGGTTCATCAAGGTATCATAGGCCTTGGCAATACACTTGAAGAAGGCATCATCATTCTTATCAGCCTTCTTATCAGGATGGTGCAAGAGAACCATACGACGGTGAGCTTTCTTGATTTGTTCTTCGTTGGCCTTGTAACGGAGCTTGGTTAAACCGAGAACAGCATAGTTATCTTGTGTCTTCCATTGAGTAGGGTCGGTATTGACGCTGTCGATATCAACATCTTCGTATTCAAAATCAACAGTTTCTTCTTCAACAACTTGGTTGGCTTTTTCTTCAGCTTGATGACGTTCATCTTCAGAGAAAGTACGGTTGTGAGTCTTTCTGCGAGCATGAGCAAGGAAATGACGACCAACTGGTTCAAGAAGACGGTCAGCGGTGGCACTCAAAGAGGCATGGGTAACAGAGGGTTGGTCAGCCTTGTAAGAAGCAGGAGGAGGAGGAAGCAAGAAGTCGAGGGTCAATGACATTTCGAAAATAAGCGAAGAATAAAGAAAGAAATCACAGCAAACTTTTAAGTAACAAGCCACCGACATCGTTCGGCTATTGAAAAGTGCCTGACCGTTAAACCTATCAATGCGAATAATAGTGGCTCATGTGTAACTGTATTTTATCCTCTTTTTTTTTTTTCTTGCTTCAACCGTGCATTGTGTGAGTGCAGAAAAAAAAGAGAGACAAGATTTGGCATGTCTTTATTTGGATGAAAGGTAGAATTTTTTATTTGGTTCAATGTCTGAGTTTAGAACGTTTTTGTATCGCACGGACCTCATTAATGATGGTAGAGAAAGAAGCTGTTGTTCAACGAGTCAGTGTGTGAAATAGATCCGTGATTATTCTTTTATAGGTTTATTTCTAAAATCAATTTCATAGTCATTAACGCACATTTTTAACTTCCTACAAGTGAACAAGTCGTTTGCTGGTCGAGCTTCCTAATTAATCAATGAAATATTGCTACTACAGCAATCCGTTACTGTCAACACTACATGCACCAGAAAATAGGCTACGGTTACGGGCGCTTTCTTGGGACGCTATCTATGTTGTCACTTTACAACTTCACACTACCAAAGCCTAGCCTAAGGCTGTCCAGCTCACTCTCTCTGATATGAAATACGAATTTATCATAATTACACGTGATTAATCTTAGTTCTTTGCTGATAGAGCTGACAACATAATAATTAAAGAAATAATAACATTTCTTTTTTATCTCTTTTTCTTCTTGAAAAGAAACACAAACTAAGTTGGCGGCTTTATAAAGTCATGTTTAGCGTGGCACCACACAGTGAAAGGCTTTGTTGGACGACATCATAGGTATTAGGTAGAGGTAGCGTCGTAAAATTAGACTAACTTCTGGTGCATGTAGTTTCTCCCAAAATAATTGGCGACAGTGACCAACGTAGTCGCTCGAATGAAACAAAAATTTCGGCCCTTCGTTCGCTTTGCGTCTCTATGCAATCACAATTTAGCAAGATTGTAAATACCATAGCCACGGACTTCCATCGAGCTCTTCAGTACGCCAAGAATGAACAAGCACATTGTGCTTCATTTGAGCGCAAATATGAAGACATTTGTGACCAGGGAAAGTAACGTTGTAGAGAAACACCTTTTATAATGTGAGTTGATCAGTATATTTCTTTGGTAGCGTCACTCCTATGGAGGATCCAAGAAACATTGAACTGGCACAAACGAATCGTGTGCCTGAAAATGGCGTTTATGAACGCAACTGGGACCGGGATTGGGATATTGTAAACACATATAAGAAAAACAACCCTGGGAGAATGAATTGGATGGCCTGTTACGAATTCGGACAACAATAGGGCCATTTCAAGGGATTCATAAGCCATCATAGTCTGAAATCACAGTACTACAAAGCCCAAAAGCATGACTACAGGCAAGCATCCTTAAGCAAACCCTCTGCAAGCAAACGTCGTTGTTAAGTGAACAGTATTTGATTTATTTCATCAAATCTTCCTTTTCCTTAACTTTTCTTTATATAACCATATTCTTTTACTGACTTCATTCATTGTTTTACCGTGTCTGTTTACACACTTGTACGTTGAAATAAAAAGAGTGAAGAAAAAAAGGTCAGTTGATGTGATATTTAGGATATTTTGGGAACAGAAGACACTGGAGTGTAAGCAGAAAATGTACGCATATTCAAACTCAGACCATCCACAGAATTTTTCCAATTAAAGATCCATATTTATAAATTGTAAAATTCCTTTTTTTCTTTTCCTTCCCTTTCTTCTAATCTCATATGAGTCATTTGCCTGTTGACCCATTTCAACAGAGGCAAATTGTATATGAAGAACATGACCCTTATAGAGTAACAAAAAAGAATGCACGAACAATAGGTAAATAGTAAAAAGAGAGAAAGAGCTTGCTGACAATACCAGACTCGGATAGTTCTGAATTCGACATTGTTCATTCTCGTACTGCTTCTGATAGTAGTACAAGCAAATTATATAATTCTGCAGCCGTCATGACGGAGTATGATGACCCTTATAGAAAACATAAACCATTCAATAGAGAACCAGAAAGAGCCAATTCATATTTACCCTATTCGCATCATCGTAGGGATCCAAACCAACCTCCTGCATTACCCATATATATTGAAGATTACATACCACATACATCAACTAGCCTGGGTGTAAACTCTATGCTACACGACAGTTTAACGGAACAGATAAATAGCACGAGCACAGTAGTTAAACAGCCAACATATGATAAAGAGAGCATGATAGAAGAACTGTCAAAGAAGAGAAAAAGGAAACGAAACCAACGATGTTGTGGACTAAAATCAACAATAGCTACCATCGTCTTACTTCTTGTTATCCTTGCCATTATTTGCTACTTTGTTTGGCCAAGAGTTCCTAGCCTGAGCGTCGCTGATGTGGATGATAATGTTGATATACAAGTCAGCCTGAATACGACCAAAAAATCAATCTCTACCCAATGGAAAATGAATTTAACAGCAGATAATTCAGCAAACTGGGTACCCACACGAATTGCCTCGATAGACTTACAGATATATGATGAAAGTACCACTGCTAACTTTGGCAATGGTAGTTCAGGCTTCATGATCTTACCACCGCGGAAGAGAACATCGATCATTATTCCCATGACTATTCACTATGAACCAGATTCAGTGAATGATACAACGTTTCAACATTTATATAATGCCTGTAACATTCAATCTGTTCCAAATGCACCTTCTGAAAATAGACAAGATGTTTTAAATGTTACCCTGCACGTATCATATCATATTGCAGGTATTGTTTGGACACCTACCACTAACATAACTGTACATCGATTGATCTGCCCAAGAAGTTAACCTTTTTTATATAATATACCCCTCCTCATCTCTTTCTATATATATCTCCCTTCTCTTCTTCTCCCGCATCGCCTCTCAATTATTTTTTTTTTTTGCTGTCTTTATATTTTTATGTGTGTTTTTAAATAGCCCCGGGATATTTTAACCCCGTTTCTTTATGTCAGTTTCAAAAGTTGTGACGAGTCAAGTGAAAAAGAAATATTTTACAGAACTTCCATCAATCAGAGTACTTTCAAGGTCACCAGAAGATAGGTCCGAGGTGACAGTCTATGTGAAAGGGTTTTTGTCAGAAGGAGATTCACCAGAGAATTTTCAAGATTGGATGCATTCACATAGATTACTTGTTCTAAGTCCAACTCATCGCTGGGGTCCCTCTGCACTTGGGTAAGAAGGTTTCAATACCCCCTTTTTTTTTGGTCATGTTAACAAAATCGATATACAGTTATTCTTGGCCATCAGGGTCGAGCAGCTTGCCTATTCCGCTTGCTTCTCTAGGTTCCACTGCATACCTCATTGCCAAAAATATCAATCAATTGAAAAACCTGAGATTTCCAACTCCGGCTTCGATGGTTGCAGCCTTAGCCATTGATGTTAGCCTGCATGCAGGTCGGTTAGCGTACCAGTTTAATGTGGCCAATCAAGAAAGCCGAGACAGAGCAGAGATGTTGGCGTGGAGATTACTTAATCTTCGAAAAAAGCATGAGTATCTAAGAGTCGTTGGTCATTCATTAGGTTGCCGACATATTGTTGAAGCATGCACACTGATGGATGCTAAAGAAAGGTAAGAAGCAAAAAAAATCACGGCATTTCTGCCATTAAAAACGTGCTTTTTTATTTCTGAGCTATTTATTTTATTGTTGTTCAATCTAGGCCAGACTCCATCCATTTGTGTGCTCCGGCTTTGGTAGCACCTGACATTATAGACCAGATCCGTAAGAATACGGGCGGTTTAGGTCGCCTCAATACGACCATCTACTATTCAGAAAAGGATCTAACATTGGGTGTCTTACTAAGAGCCATACTTGGAGGGCAGCAAGCCATAGGAGAGATAGGTTTACCAGACAAAGTAGGACAGGACAAGGACTGGCTTGATCCATCTGTCAAAGTTATGAACGTGAGTAAATCATTGGGCGGATTTTACATTGGGGCACACACAGATTATGCGAATAAATTTCACTATTTCGCTCATCCCTCTTAGCTTGATCCCCTTTTTTTTCTTTTTCTTTTGTTGAATCCGAGGCTGTGATAAAAGAGTTTTAGCACATTACTGGCTTTTGATTTATATAATACAATACGTAAGCTGGTTCTGACGGAAGAGAAAAATGTGATTCGGTCGCACGAGCCAAGAACCAGAAAATAGAGTTCTTTCCGATGGCCGGAGAAAGGTATGCCCATATTATACTTTTGATGAAATGGGGCTATAGATGGATCATGATTTTGGGGGTCTCTTTCCTCGGAAGGGTCGTCCTGGATTTTGGTTATTGTTGATGACATTATTATCTTTTTACAATTAGAGTATGGGAGGGATACTATGCATCAAAGAGCACGAGAACAACAATAAATTAAATAGAACGATCTCATTAAACAATAATAATTAACCACACTGAAAAAAGAGGGAGGTGTTTGTTTATTTTTGTATACGATGTGGAACACTTTTTCAACGGCGACATAAAATCTTTTTCATCAACAAGTCCAAACGAGAAGTTTGGATAAATAGGGTAGTGCCCTTGGCTAGTCCCTATAGCTCATTTCGTGTTCCGATCATTGCTTCGAATAAATGACAGTTGTTGTTTCATGTATTGCTCCAATTGTTATGTATTTATACGACAAATTTCCGCTAATAAAATTTTTAAGCTGGATCAACTTTCATTTTCTGTGACTGAGCTCCCCCTTTTTCTTTTCCTTTCTTTTTTTTTTTCTCCTTTGTGCATATTTTACAAATGGTCGGAAAATCAAGCGAGCTCAAGATAGAGCTGTCTTCCACTGATGTCATTCTCTTTGGTCATGCCTCTGAATCATCTGGAAAAGCATTACAAGGTTCTGTCATCCTCAGTCTATCCGAGCCTATGAAAGTTCGATCTATTACATTAAATTTTGTCGGCAAAATGAAAGTCGCTTGGTCTGAAGGTAATGAATGCTGTATACGCAAAAAAAAATAAACTAATAAAAGACTAGGTGTTGGCCATCATCAGCATTACCATAAGCAAGAAAGAGAAATTATCGAACAAAAGTGGCAGTTTGTTCCTATTCTCGATCAATCTCACAAAAAGGTCTTCACTCTAGGTCCTGGGCAGCACAAGTGGGATTTTGAATTGACTTTGCCTGGTGATCTACCACAGTCACTAGAAAGCGAAGGAGGTCAAGTTGTCTATCGGTTTAAAGCAACCGTTGAACGCACAGCCTTTGTACACAACATTGTCAAGAAACAGCCCATTCAGATCATCCGCTGTATGTTACCTTCCGAATATGAACTTACGCAGACTCTTGAAATTCACAATACCTGGGCAGAAAAAATGATGTATGACATTGTTTTACCCTCCAAAGTCTACGCTCGAGGACAATCTATACCTATCACGTTTCATATTACTCCAATTGCCGAAAGACTTCGTGTGCGATCCTTGACAGGCTCACTCAAGGAATACTGCACGTACACGACCAGCGAATGTTCCAAGACGGACACTAGAATCGTAAAGTCACGCAAACAAGATTTCCCCTTTGGTGATACAGATGAACGCTCAGAGCAACAAGAACCCATTTATTGGACAAGGACACTTTCGCTCGATATTCCTCCGATGTCCTCGCACATGGCATTTTGTGACGCAGACAATGACATGATCCGTATCCGTCATAAACTCAAGTTTGTCATCTGTCTCATCAATGCAGATGGTCACTTATCAGAGCTACGATGTTCGGTTCCAGTCATTATTATATCCTCTATTGCTCAACAAACAGAACTTGGCAATACCCTTCCAGCATACGATCAAACATGGCAAACTGTTCTCTGTGTTGACCCTTTACAGCAACCAAGTCAAGATGAAAATATAGAATGGTGGCAAGGTCAAGACCTATCTCGTGTGCCATCTTATAGAACAGCAGCACAACAAGATCCTGTACCCTTGTCATCCTCATTACCAACTTATGAGCAACTCAATGTAGGATCACCGAGACGCGCGACTATGTTTGGACAACTATCCATGTCACCAGCACAACCATAGACATACACACACATATATTTACATATCATTTTTACATTTTAAATAATTACACATTTTTTTATTGCTACAATAAGTTCTTTATATAACATTCAAGATAAACCTATAATAAAGAAAATAATCAATATACTTGTATAGAGCATTCATTATGTATTCCTTTCAATCAGACGTGTGCATATTGACTTCACCCTCGAGGCACCGGTGGGTCCATATGATGAAAAATCACCATATTACCGATGTGACTCCCCAAGTGCAGACGCAAATTACGATCATCATGTTGAAAGAAGTATATTTACTGGATTGATTAGTTTACCTTTTAATGAAAAATACAGTAAAGAAAAAAAAAAGAGACAGATGTCGTCGTTGAGGTCTATTTATTCATGAGCTGGAAAAAATTTTTTCATATAAAATAGTCACGTGTAACAAACAGTCATTGGTTTTTCTTTCACTTTCTAGAAACACCCTCTTCAGATATTTGCTTGCAATGAAAGCGCTACTATTTCGGAATTATAGCGTCTTTACTGTAATTCAGTGCCCGTTAAGCTTTAAACTTATGCCCATGTCTATGATATCTTTCTAATCAAATAATTCAATCAGCTGCAGATGCTGGGTTTTCAGGGCATCATGATCCCTCTTCAGGACTGGTAAGAGAAGGACATCGAGCCACTTCTTTCTGAGGCATAGATGTGGATGACGGTGTTCTATAACACGTCTAATCACTTGAAATAAGCTCTTCCCTATACATTTGCTTAAAAATCTTCGCTGTATCAATATCAATACTAATTTTACTCGAACAAACATTGTTTATTTTGACTCGTGATTTTGGACAGATTTAATGCTCAAGTAAACTTGACACAAAGGTACAACTTCATGTAATAAGACTGATCAACCTGATTTACTAATCAGAAGAGAAGCAAAACCTTACGCTATTTGTAATAAATTCTCTCCCCTTTTCGTCTTAATCCATAACTGTATATAGGCACATCAACGCACATCTGTATTTTTTCTTTATTATTACTTTGACTATATCACAGCGACGTCCATAACTAAAATTTTAGAGCAAGATGGAGCGCAGCAAATCAGCATATATTATCATGATTACATATCTTAACCCAGCCATAAATTAACCTGTTTTTCTTCTTCTTGTCATAGGCCCTTCTAGTTCCCAGGACGAAAGCATTTGTACGTCAGTCGCATGTAGGAAAAAAAAAAGGGGGGGGGAAAGAAAGATATTAGAATATGGATTTTTTATTATTATTTAACAATTGAACTAACAAAATTCACAATTATCGGCTTTATTAAAGTCACTGCGCCCCTCCGTCGGTCGTTGTCAAATGATGAACAACATAATCAGCTATACATCCAGAAATATATCCTGGTACAAAGCATGAATACACTGTCAACCAGCTTAGCACTTGAATCTCGTCTAGTCACTGACAGGGTCCTTCGGGTCCTCAAGCAGGAATGTATTGCTAATTATAATTTAGTCTCATGATGAAGATGATAAGCCCAATTATCTGTGGAGATTCCCGTGTACCAAGTTTCTGTGTGACAAAAACGAGGTTGGATCACTGTGGGCTGTGGACGCACCAAGCTTTTGCAAAAAGATGGCTAATTACATTACACGCCAAGAACCTATGTCTACGTGTGTATGTATCAATCTACAGTGGCGCTACTTCAAAATTGGCGTATAAAGATGAAAGAAAAATGCAGCATCAACTAAAAGACATTAGCCAATTTTGCTACGTTACTGCGGATTGACAAGGCTGGCGTGTCTACGGATTATGATAATAATTCGAGTAATCTTACAGTAAAGCATATTCATCTTACTTTCCATCCTTCTATTGTGTATTAAATGACAATAACACTGACAACATTAATTTTTTCCTATATAACTCACACCTGTCGTACTTTAATGATACACTTCTCATTTCAATAAAGAATCCACTTTGCAGGACAGGGAAAATGACCTTTACTTTCTCGAATTAGCGGTTCCTTATCGGAAACCCACAAGCAATCTGATCCAGTCACTGCAATGGCGCCTCCTTTAACGTGTGATATTCCTTTTGAGTAACATATTAAAGCATTAATAATCAATGCTAGTCGTGAAACCGCAATCTATTACGAGTACAAGCGTATAAAAGATGGTAGAACAACGATATAATGCTCATAAAAAAGTCCAAACATACAGTAACAAGCGATGTTATTCCATGTTCAAAAGTATCTTTCCAGAAATGTGTTAAATTATGGTTTTATGATTTATATGTTACGCATACTGCCTAAGCTGGTAGATGACCGGAGACGGCATTAACGGTAAAATTTCTCCGTGTCGTTTTTCCGTACAAAAAGCTCAGGCATATAAATTAGCTGCTCTTTGAGTTCTTTCTTGACAGTTAAAAATAGTTAAAAAGAAGAATATGGTTGCTTCATCTGAACGTGTCTTTGTCGTTGGAGGTACTGGAAATGTTGGTACTAAAGTGGTCAAGGATCTGGTTGCCAAGGATATTCCTGTCACACTTTATGCACGCCAGCCAGAAAAAGTGAACGCATTGTTTAATGACAACAGTCTTATCAGTGTTGTCCAAGGTGACTATAGTGATCTTGCACCTCTTAAAGAAGGATTGAAGGGACATACAAGACTCTTCCTCTTGATTGCCGATCTGCAAAATATGGTTCACTTAAAGAAGACTATCGCTGCCTGGGCTTATGAAGCTGGTGTTAAGCAAGTTGTGGATGTATCAGGCATCGCTGCAAGCTTTCCCAACAGAACAAGCGCTATTGGTACAAAAAGTTACGAAGCCGAACAAGCCATCTACAACCTTCCTAATCGTGGAGCCTTTGTTGCCTTGCGTCCTGGCCGCTTTATGTCAAACGTTCTGGTATTTGAACGCATTCATGAAGACGCTATTGTTGATAAAGCTGACCCTAATGCACGTGAAGGATGGGTCTCAACCAATGATATTGGTGCAATTGCTGCTGTTATCCTTAGTGAAGATATTGAAAAGCATGGTGACTCAGTTTACGAACTTATCAGTGATGTCGTCACACCTACTCAGCGTGCTGAAATCTTCTCTCGTGTTCTTGGCCGTCCTATCAAGTATAAAAAAATCACCACGCTCGAGAAGTATGATATGCTCATGCAGCACGTCTTCAACCATTCTATAGTTTTTAGCCTTTGCACATCCTATGCCTCCTTTGACCATCGCACGCCTACTGTTACTGACGGCATTCAAATCCTACTTCGCAGAGAGCCAGAAACATTTGAAAAGTTCATTACGGACAATAAACATTTATTATAGTAGTTCTTCTACTATTGATTCATGAATAAAGAAATGTGGTATATTTATTTCTAGTTTTATATTTTTGTGTGTATGCAAATGATCAATGTCTAATAACTAAGGAATGAGAGCTTAATCGACCCTGGTTGATCGTAGTGATTGTTCTATAAGATCTATCTTTAAGTATACTTGATAGAATTTCTCATCAAGTGCTGCTTGCTCTCTTTGATCCTCGTATATTATCCTCTTGTACTATACAAATAGTTAAGATATGTATACATAGTATATGTATATATCGCCTACCTCTTCTTCATGAGTACTTATCTCACGCATAATTTGCTTAAGCTCTTCATATGCGCCAAACAGCTTTTCTTCAAGATCCTTTCTTGATTCTTCAAATTCTTTTTGACGCGTCTTGTGTCGTTCTCGACTGTTTTCAAACTTAATCTTTACTTTATTCAAGTTGTGTTCATACTTTCTCATTTCTTTCATGACAGCCTAATATGAATGTCTAGTCATTCAATAAGTCAAATTCATATCGTTATTACCTCACTTGACTTTTCCTCAGATTCAAGCTGTACTTTACGGTTAAATATCTCTTCTAATAAAGCAGTATTCGTGCTCTTGGCTTTATTTAGTTCTGCGTTTTCACCATAAACGTCGCGAAGAAGCTTTAAAGTAGTTGAAAGCGCCTGTAGAAAAATAAGATGGGTTCATTGCACGATAAGAATAAAAAAAGAGAGGGCCTTACTTTCAAGATGGCCTTATGACGAGGGAATGTAGTTTCTACTCTCTGCAGTTTAAAGTCGTAATCCAAAATCATCTCCTTTGATTGCTCTGTTTTCAGTTTAAACGTTCGTGTTGAATCCATCAAATGATCAATGTTTATTTCTGCCTTAGATTTGTATTCTACCAGTCTTTCTCGACTTAGTCCCAGTGTCTCTTTATACGAATGCTATTTTCCATAGTAAATATAGGTCAACATGGAGTAAACTGAATCTCTTTACCAAACGTTCAATCATTGGTGCCTGCTCACTTTTGATCATCTGATGCTCTACGTTCAGCTCTTTACTCTTTTTCTCCACTTGTTGTAGTTCTTCCAGCAGAATTTGATTGTCCTTTTCTATCTCTTTTATTTCTGATTCATGTTCGTTACGAATAGCTCTGTGAATTATGTGCGTAAGAAGGGTATTGTTGTTCAGCTACATATAAAACATACTTCGCTTCTATAAATCTTTCTTTAATTATAGCCTCTTCTTGACAAACCACAACAGCATTTTGCATCTTTTGCATCTAATATCAAACATTGAGTCTTCTTTTTGTTTATTGTGGTTGAATCATCTTCCTACCGACTGTTTTAAAGGTTTATTGACAATATTCCACGCTTTATGTCTAAATGCCATATAATGAACGAGTACACTTAATACTGATATCAGTCGTGGTTTTGTAGGTGTTACAACGTCCAGCATAGTAAAATCTGTATAACCTATTGACTGTAAAAGTTTCTTCATTGCTTTATATAGTTCAATACTCCTTGCTGAGTCCTCTGTTAATTTCTATTCAATATATTAGTCTCATTCTTTTGCATATATCAATGTACCATACTTTAGATAACATATTGATCCTTTCTTCAATATGTCTTATCCGCCAACCCACCAGGATATCAATAAACACCCAGTATAACGCCTGTACTTTATCTGGTTGTGGGCTATTAAGAAATTCTTCTGATATTTGAAGACCACATGGTACTAAGGTTTCAATAATCTGTGATACAGTCAATGTTGGTGGTTTTGAAGGGGGTATATAAACTTCTTGTGAGGTCCTTCTGGAAGTTTGTGACATTGAAATAAGGAAGAATAAAAAAAGAAAAATTGTTAAAAAGCTGATTTAATATTGTGACGACAATTTCAAGTCGCGGGGGGGGGGAACTGATCTTGTTTCTAACTCAAGCTTAAAACTAAAATGATTAAGCGTCTCTTTTGATATGATCTTCTCTGAGGTTGACGTAAAGAAAACTTCCTTTTTTCTTTTTTTTGGGAAACAGTCCTTGGTTTATATCAGACAATTCAGCAATTATAGAACAGTAGACAGTTGCTAAACAGTACGGAACGAACATATACTGCATCCTCAATGTAAGCTAAGAAACAGCATATGATCTTTTGGTAAAGAGGTACACAGAGAAGAGGGCTTTTTGGGCAAGAGTTATGTAATGCCTTTAGGTGCTCTGTCACTTAAGGCAGACATAGCTCATCTCCTTTTTTTGATTTCGCCAAAATATAAATATCGTCTGAGAGGTTCGATTATGCAGCATATTAACTTGTTAAACACCTACGACGCTATGAAGGCTAGTAAGCGGTACTTATTAACCGTGTTGTGATGCTCAGAGGTCAGCAATGGTTGCAAATTCGGATGAATGGGAGCAACGACAAAGGTGTCTTTAAGTCAACTCTGTACATCAAGACGCCCTTCACTACTAGCTTGTGCAATACAGGAACATTTTCCAACTTGAAACGATGGCATAAATTTGCTTAGCTTCTGGCGACACAGTGATTCCATACCGTAAGAAGGAGGGTATTACTGCATTCACTGTCTATTGCCCTTCCAGAGATAGCTTTAGCCAAGTTGCATCTAAGGTGTTGATTGTTTCGTTCACTGAAATATTGTAGCCATACAATAGCTAAGAACGACTTTGTCAGATGAAGCGATATATTTGACATAGAACGTGAAAATGGAGCAATCAAGAAACGAACCAAGACAGTAAACGAGAACACTTTGATCAAATCTTTTCGTCAAAGTAAGGGGTTGAATGTTTCTTTTATAGATGATATCTAGTCGTTTGATGCTGTATAAACCATAATGTGTTTAGTATTAGGCTTGCTAACAAAGATACGCATCCTCTTCTTTTAGCATTTATTCTGAAATAGTTTCTTTCAGTATTCACCAACCCTTTAATCAATATGCGAGTATAATAGCTGATGCAATTGAATAAACGCAGTCAGGTTCACACATCTCTCTACTGCTATCAGCATACGACATATAAATTGTAGATGAAGGTCATAAATAAAAGCGTCTTGAACCTGAATACTTGAATAAGAAGAGCACTTGAGAAATATAGGACTGCCTTCTGGTCACTCGATAACCTCAATAAGAGGCAGCATAACTGAGATAGGCGCTGTGACATATCCAACCCCAAGGAGAGCTTATATTTCTGTAAGCCTGGAAGGTTATAAAAAGTTCGAAACCATAAGCAACTTGGTACAGCCACTACAATGATGTACGATATTCCTTTTGTGGAAACATCTTAATGCATTAATAAGCATCACCAAATATTAAGCCAAGCCTATTGGCGGTATTCAAAACAAGTATACGTGTGCTGCCTAAACTGGGACGGCATTAGCGGTAAAATTTTCCCCGTGTTTTTAAATGTTATTTTTCCGTATGAAAAGCTCAAGCATATAAATTGATTGCTTTTTGAGTTCTTTCTTGACAGTTAAAAATAGTTAAAAAGAAGAATATGGTTGCTTCATCTGAACGTGTCTTTATCATTGGAGGTACCGGAAATATCGGTATTAAAGTGGTCAAGGATTTGATCGCCAAGGATATTCCTGTCACACTTTATGCACGCCAGCCAGAAAAAGTGAACGCATTGTTTAGTGACAACAGTCTTATCAGTGTTGTCCAAGGTGACTATAGTGATCTTGCACCTCTTAAAGAAGGATTGAAGGGACATACAAGACTCTTCCTCTTGATTGCCGATCTGCAAAATATGGTTCACTTAAAGAAGACTATCGCTGCCTGGGCTTATGAAGCTGGTGTTAAGCAAGTTGTGGATGTATCAAGCATCGCTGCAAGCTTTCCCAACAGAACAAACGCCATTGGTACAAAAAACTACGAAGCCGAACAAGCCATCTACAACCTTCCTAATCGTGGAGCCTTTGTTGCCTTGCGTCCTGGCCGCTTTATGTCAAACGTTCTGGTATTTGAACGCATTCATGAAGACGCTATTGTTGATAAAGCTGACCCTAATGCACGTGAAGGATGGGTCTCAACCAATGATATTGGTGCAATTGCTGCTGTTATCCTTAGTGAAGATATTGAAAAGCATGGTGACTCAGTTTACGAACTTATCAGTGATGTCGTCACACCTACTCAGCGTGCTGAAATCTTCTCTCGTGTTCTTGGCCGTCCTATCAAGTATAAAAAAATCACCACGCTCGAGAAGTATGATATGCTCATGCAGCGCAAGTTCTTCAGCCACTCTATAGTTTTTAGCCTTTGCACATCCTATGCCTCCTTTGACCCTCACACACCTACTGTTACTGACGGCATTCAAATCCTACTTCGCAGAGAGCCAGAAACATTTGAAAAGTTCATTACGGACAATAAACATTTATTATAGTAGTTCTTCTACTATTGATTCATGAATAAAGAAATGTGGTATATTTATTTCTAGTTTTATATTTTTGTGTGTATGCAAATGATCAATGTCTAATAACTAAGGAATGAGAGCTTAATCGACCCTGGTTGATCGTAGTGATTGTTCTATAAGATCTATCTTTAAGTATACTTGATAGAATTTCTCATCAAGTGCTGCTTGCTCTCTTTGATCCTCGTATGTTATCCTCTTGTAGGATGCGTTGTATCGTTAATACGACATTTCAATGATTTTATTCATAAAAGACAATAATCAAAGATCATCGACCATAAAAAAGATAGCTTGCAAGACAAAAAACATTGATGGTTATGACATTACTCTTCTTAAGTAAAGAGACGATTGCGTTGTCTAATGCAGGCTATTATAGCATCACGATTTCCCTCTTTTTCGCAGGCACGCACTGTACGACTACAGGAATACATCGCATAAGTTACACTGTTGAGGACAAAGAGAACCATGAATAGAATGACAAGAAGAGCAGCTAGTGACTTTATCAGCTCGATGAATAACTCTTTATTTCTTGAAAAGTTACTCTGTATCCATATATTTTCAATTGGTGATCTTAAGGGGGCTTTCCCTTAATTCCCTGTGGGTGTGTGCTTTAATTAAACGGTCATTCCCACTTTCAATTTATGTGGTATATTTAACAGACTGGCTTGGCTTTCTTTCTGCTGTGAACACTAGTCCAAAGGCTATTCGATCTAGATAACTTATTTCGTTTTAGCGCTTTGACAAGGAAACATAAACGCTGTAGTTATACAAGTTCTATGCAAAAAAAAAAACAGAAGAATACAGTGTTTAGTTTTTAAGGCACCGGAATCCATCAGAAGCTAACGCGAGTAGCTATTACAAAGCTGCCAAAAGCCATTAACGCTTAATCTGATACTCCGAGACTACGCTTTCAGTTTATGAATAAAGAAAGTGCGGTTACTGACGTAGAAAGTCTGAAAAAGGGTTCAGCAAAACACAGGACGTCGACTGCATATTGATTTACATACTTGCACAAAACACAGACAATGAGAAATTAAGTGTTTATTATTTACGAATGTGTTTATTCATATAAACGAAAAGGAATTAGATGTCATATGCCCATTCAACAGACTATGGAGTGCTACTGAGCCTTGAGTGGATCGATTGTCTTACTCGGCAGTTTACCCAGCATCTACATTTAATCATAGTGATGAAATAACAAAAGGATGAAGAAGCGATTCGTATACGAAAATAGTTATATACAGTCCTGCATGACTGTTTATAAGAGACAAGCTAAAAAAAAAAAGAATACAATAAGAACCGAACATTAGAGAGAAGATATAGGATATATTTGTAAAATTATCTACAAGAAAAGTATCTTTTTGATTACTTTATGTAGCTAATAAAAGTAATAGCCAGACATGGTAAAAAGACATTGACTGTGCATGCTACAGACTGAGTTGATAAAGGATGATTTGTAAGCAATAAAAAAAGTCCAGAATTACTGTTTTATTAAAAATAAATTTCAGAAAGAGGATAAAATTATGGCGTGTATGAAAAAAATAATTAGTACATATTAAAAAAAGTATTTACGCAAAGGTTAAAAATAAAATGCATGCAAAGGAGACGACATACAAATGAGAGTGATAAGTATCAAGGAGAGAATATAAAGAATTATACAGTTAGTTATGTAAGAAAATTATTATATGTATACAACTTACCCCGAAGGCATCTAGATGTGTCCTAGCGATAACTAGGACGGAGAATCATCGTCTAAGCGTATTCTAGTTCTTGGTTGCTCCTGATCATCCGCTCTTCTTTGACGTCTTGTAGGAGCAACAGCAACCCGGCGAAGCCTATGAGGAACCATGCCATTACGTCGAAGCTCACGAAGGATGTGCATGTAGTTGAGACAAGCAGCAACATCCCTGCTCCATAAGCGATATCTATCTGGTGCTGCCATGGCAGGTCTACAGTATAGATTGGTGCATCTATAAGCAATGTTCAATCAGTATAAAATCATCCAAGTGGTTAATATATTATTAACTTAAAAGACCATGGCAGATAGCAGTAGGATATCGCTCACGTTGATACGGTCGTGGATTTGGAACACGACGGAACGTGCGGAGGCTTTCGTTGTGGCATGTTGGACAACGCCTACTGGTCTTATACTCGTCTATAAGAAAGACTTGGAGCCCATGCTTCTTGAGAAGTCTTCGGAAACCATGGCCACGGAGAGGCTCATGATGCCTAGCATGGGGAGCGGACCAGTTTCCCATCACAAACACGACGTCTTCTCCAAACTTGGCGCGTAAGTCTTGAATAAGCTTTTGATCGGCACGTTGTCTGTTGAAGTACGCTGAAAGACGGATCTTGCGAAAGAGGGGGTATCCATTATCATGGCTCGTGATGGTATGTCCATAGAATCGACTGAGAACGGCAGACTGTTCAGATCTGGCTTGAAGGAAGCGGCCAAAGTCTTTTACGGATACGGTACTGCTTGGCTTTTGAGAAAGGGCTTGCTCAGCCTGAACAACATCAGGATCCTGGGCTTTGAGATCTTGCAAGATTCGACGGTACTTTTTGGTTTTCCACGTCTTGTCTTGCTGTTGTTTAGTGTACCTGAATTTCACTGATTGCTCTGGTGTAGAGTTTTCGTGTACAAAATACAACATATCTCTTCTTCCTGGGTTCGCAGCGACGCATCAACTAGAAACCTCTTGATGATTTCGACGAGTTAGATTGGTGATGTAGGAGGTAGCTTCATACTCCACTGTGAACCTTGCCGTGTATCTTGTTTACCTATCGAACCTCTTCTTGAGAACCGTGACACCAACGCCATCAGTTTGAATAGTGCCACGGAATCTAAGTTGTCCACCTTCTTGCGGCTTGAGGGCTTTTGAGTCAAGGTTGACAACTCGGCGCCAGTAGTCCAGTTTATCGACAGCATTAGGCCATCGAATTCCCAGGATGTTTTGGCAGAGAATCTTGCTGTCGATAGTAACGTAACAAGGAGACCATGAGCACCGGAGAGGAAAGCAATTGAAGACGGGCAAACCAAGATGTACAAAGAGACGAGAGAGTTGATAGAAGGCCTTAAAGTGGTTGACAGGGTTACGCTTGACATCATAATAAAG